TATCAGATCTCATTTAAACTCCGGGTGTTTTCCAACTGGCGCTGTGCATATCTTCATTAGCCATTTCATTTGTATGAAAACATTTAATTAAGTCGAACAGTTTTGAATAACCGTTATACATTGCATCCAAAACAAAACAAACAAACACCATCGCCATAATATGGAACCAAAGAAATTACAATACAACAATCATTAAACAATAAGTATACCTACCATCATACTGTGGCACCATTTGCATAATGAACACAGTCTATCAGATCCGGAAAATTCTTCTTTCACACAAAATTTACACTCACATACACTTCTCTACCAGGAAATCTATACACCTTTAAACGTAGAGCTATGTGAAAATTCCCGATTATCGAAGCACTAAATAAGTCTTTCAACGTGGAAGTTTAAATGAATTACAGAATATTAGATAAACAATACTTGCTTACTCAGAAGATTTAAATTATCGATCTAGATTCAATAGGATAAGGGATCATGGGAAGTTTAAAGATACACGTGTAATCAACTACCAAAAAAAAATATTTCCGATAAACACTTTGAAATATTTCCTTGCAATTATAATATATCATAATTATACACCTGTCATTGTTTTTACTTCCTTCACTTTTTTTACATCCTTGATATTTCACCAAAAAGACCAAGGAAAGTCGGTTTAAAATGACACAATATTGAAATTATATGGAGAAAAAAATATATAATAAATATAAATCTTATCCACGTTCTGTCTACGTCCTTCACTTTCTTCCTGTCTTCTGATGTTATTACAAATTGTGGAATTTTTTTCAGTTATATTATTTCTGGCAAATTAAATCTTCATTATCTGCAATCATTAGAACTGCTTACAATAAACATTAACATTGAAATCAGGGGTCTTGGATTCATCAGAATATCATATCACTTTTAACAGGCTCGTCCTCATCGTGTCTACAAGGTTACTATAAAAAGACATGTTCACCCATCATGGCCGTAGGAACGGGGGGGGGGGGGGTGCTCCCAAATAATTTTGCCGATGTATGGTACACTATAGAAAACAGCTACATGTACTTTATCCTGCCCCCCCCTCTCTCTCTCTCTCTCTCTCTCTCTCTCTCTTTAGCTTGTCAAGGAATGTTTGCTTGCTAGTGCCCCTGAAAATGTTTAGTTATACTCCCCAAAATGAAATTGTTGCTTCCTAAGGGAAACCAGGCAACTTGTGTTTTTCCTTTCATTTTTGGACATAAATATACACTATATATACAATTTATATATAAATGTTATTCGCCTTATTCTTTCTATAAAAAAAGGCCATATAGATGATAAAAGAGCTTGGTAATATTTACATTCGTATTCACAACAGATCGGAATTTAAGAGCAGACAGTTTGGTAGAGGAGAACAGACAATGTCATTAATTTTAGAAATAAATAGTTTTCTTAAGTTTGTCATCAAATTACAGAATTTTATAACATTTGGATGTACATTATATTTTTGTAACAAAACATTTTTCCGAGTATGACATATTACACTGCATTCCAGTAAGTAGTGAAATTCACCCCCAATTCGATAATTATTGCACAGATAACACACAGTCACTCTTTCATTTCTTTCAACAATATTCCATCTACCTACCTCTATTGGAAGACGGTGGTTACTTATTAAATTTTGAAAATAAAATATTTCTAAATGTAGAAAAAAATCTAAAGCAGTTACATATAAATATTCCTCACGTTCAGACTTTGTTTTAAAAATTCTGTATCTATTATCCTTGCTGGAACTTTGTATGTTATCGTGCGATTTCTTTGAGTTTTTGGTTTATTAATTAGCAATCCACATAACACCATGAAAACTTCTGATCATTCCTTACACAGACATTAAATAAAATGTAGGGAGAACTCTAGAGTTCGGAGCTTTAATTTCATTGAATACAAGGATATAAACTAAACTATACTACAAAATGGATGATAAAGTTTTGTAAGCCAATACTTTACTAGATATATAGTAAGTGACTCCATTTTGTTCCGATCGAGCTTGCCGGAAAGACTCGATCGAGAAGTTCTTATTGAGATTGTGGGAATGACGCGAGAAGTTGCGATGACAAGGTTAGAATACCCTGAAGAAATCTGTAAACTGTATTTTATTCATATGCATAGCAAATATAAGTTGACTTGTATAACATAGGAGAATACATTGGGAAAATTCTGCCAAACGTCAAAAAAAAGTCAAGTTCTCTCATTGAGAAGCACCAATGAATTTAAAGTAGACAGATAATGTAAACAGAAAGGAATCAGTTGACACCTAAAATGCACGTGTTACGCATTGTTTATCACCGAAAGGCTTAGTGTGATTGGTTGAGAATTAAGAAAAACAATCAAGATTTGTAGTTTTTCTCCGAAAGATGACCCTGCAGTCAGCCCGCGATATATCGAGTGAAATTTGTCAGGAGTCCAACGGCAACATGTTGACTCAGGACCCCTGACGTTGTGAGGATGGAGAAAGCATTACGTAGAACAATTTCTAAAACGAAGCACTTATTGACAAACAAATTGATACAAGAATATCAACAGTCTTCTTTAAAGTTGTACATGGTCGATACAATGACCTTGTCAGCAAATACAATCTATATCAATAAGTCGAATACTGACTGACGTTTTTCATTGTTAGGGCATTATTAACACACTGACTTATCTACGGATTTTTTTTTCATTTTCCCAATCATGACAAGGAGCAAACGGCGGGTATGACCGGTCGGCAGGGGATGGTTACTCCTCCATGGCACCTGATCAGACCTCTGATGTTTTTGAGGTCTTTGTTTGCTCTGCTCCAAATCTTTATTGTTTCAATGGACTTTTAAGGTTGATTACTGTTCGTTCCATATTTGAGAAGTTTTAAAACTTTTGTTGTAATATGTATTTCTGTAGGGTGGATATTAAAAACAAATATGGTCCGCTTTAAAAAAAAAAATCCTGTATTGGTGTTACATTAAAAGTTTAAAGCTAAAGTTTAAACTTATCTATAACTATCTAGACAGTTATAGATAAGTTTTAACTTTAGATTTAAACTTTTAATGTAACATTGGTCATGGATAATGAAGAAAACGCAAAATACAATCAAAGTCAATATTAATCCCCCCATCCCACACACACTTTCGCACATATAGAAATCTTATTTATAAACTATGACAGTACTGGCCGTCATAACTTAAAAACGAGACCCGTGGACTACAACGCTCACTTGAGAAACCTCGGCCTTGCTAATTCCTCTTAAGAGATCTCAAAAAGATTTTTCTCCCTCTTTATTCCGATAAATACATTTGATCCCATATTTTGTCCAACCAGGGGTCGTGACTTTACCAAATCTGAATCCATAAAACAATGAGATATATCAAAACCAATATGTCTAAGATGATCTTGCCGTTCCGGAGAGGAAAAAATCCTGTATACAAATGCATTATGAAAAATTTGATTCTCGATTTTTAAACACTAACATCAGGGTCCATCATTTAAAAAAAAAAAATAAAATAAAAATCGATTCTGTTTCATGAGAGATTTTCTAAAGCCCCCCTCCCCCCTTACATAGTCCATAATAAAATGTCATCCTCTATTATGGCCCCATGTTAGCCAATGGACATTGATTAATGAACCCCTTTATTAGCCGGGGTGCGTATCAATACCGCTACATTTTCAAAGTTTTCATTACCGCTACATGCACATTACCGCTACAAAAAAGGATACATTACCAGTATACATTACCGCTACATTTCCTCTTTCGTTAGCCAGCGTCTTATGCGTGCACAGTACAACGTATACATGCATAAGACCTGTTTCCCCTGCTCGCCATTGGGAGGTGAAAGTAGGACTTTGAACAGGATTTTTTTCATTTTTTATTTAAAATCTACTTTATTTCATAAAACATTTTAAAAAGTTTAAAATCAAGCACTGTCCATAGATAAAACACACAGTCTTTACACATTCTTTAGAAATTGGTAAAGCTTTGAATGCCATTTGCTTGACATACTGTTGTCTTGTAATTTCGCCACTGTCATATTTTGTTTTCAGTTCTTTTTCCTATGTATGTAGCGGTAATGAGTTGTTTTCGGCATTCGTCCCTTTGATAAAATGTAGCGGTAATGAGTTGAAATCTATCGCAGTGTAGCGGTAATGTTGACCTTCCATTAGCCGACCTGATGTTATATTCTTATAAAGCAGCATTTATTAAAAATTTATAATAAACTGATGGCATAAAGTATTTCTAATCGATCAGTTTGTATAGATTTTCCATTTAATTCATTGTGATTTTCTACAAATATGCAAATGAGCTGTTACTAAAAAAGATGGGAGGTTCGAGAATTCTTTGTAGATATTCTAACTTACACTTTTATATAGAAAATTTTAAGCCACTAAAAAATTTTATGTTACAATTCACCATTGATTTGGACGATTTTTTTTGTATTTTGCATGGTTTCGTAGCAGACTAGCTCCTAATGGGAAAGATTTGTTTGTTTGTTTGTTTGTTTTTTATTTTAAGTCCCTCTCGAGAATTTCTCACTCATATGGAGACGCCACCACTTGCCGGTGGAGAGCTGCAAATTTTGTCCTATGCTCGGCACTTACGGCCATTGAGCAGTGAGGGATCTTTTTCGTACCAACACCTACTGCGACACGGGACCTCGGTTAATGCGGTCTCTTCCGAAGAACCGGTCTCCACGTCCCACAGTGGCTAATGGGAAAGATTTAATTTTTTTATGAAAAGATATTTCACTATGAAAAACTTTTATCTCCTGTTTTGCTCCCCAGGTGTCAAACTATGAACAAACTTGAATCTGCACAAACAGAATGCATCAAGCAACAATGTTTGTGCAGATTCGGGATTTACCCGGAATAATATCTTCCATATATTTTAGGTTTTGCAACATTCGGGATCTACCCGGAATAATGTCTTCCATACATTTTAGGTTTTGCAATTTATTTGCGGACACCTGGTTCCTGTTTGGATTAGTAATTAGTAATCAAATTTATCAACAAATAATATTCCTAATCGGAAATTCAGATCAGACAGCAGCTCTGAGAATTGTTTAAAAATAAGATGTCTACGGAAGAGTTTAACCTTGAAAAGTTGGACAGTTTGTTTGCTAAATGTAAAGATGGAGATGTAGTTGTAATGGACGCTTATGTAGATGCATATGAAGAATTAAGCAAGTATGTTAACATCCGTGGGTGTGGGTGTCGTGGTAAGACTAGTTAGAATAATCTAGCTGTGTCTCGGGACAAGCCCTCACCACAGTTAGAATATGTCCCATATACTTGCAATGTAGCAAATCGGAGTGGATCCACTCCGAAATGATTTTGATGAATATAAAAGGAGTTGCACTGAAAATATCTACCAAATTAATGATAACAAACATTTCTGAGATTGTATATGCCTTTTAACCTAAAAAATAATCCATATAAATACGAAAATTCAACTCATTTTCTCAACGTTTTTTCCTCGCTTCAAATTTAACGCAATGTTGACATTCGGAACTCTCTAGATTGTTCATAGAAAATGCACAGAGTTCGAGTTATCGCCCGTGTTTATTTTGCAACATTGCCAATACACAGAACGAATTCTATCGTTAAACCTGGTCCATAGGACAATATCATTTTAACGATAGAACATTCTATCAATGGTTAGACGTGCATAAGATATAATCAATGGTTGTTACCTGCGTTGGTAACGCACATCCCCACATTGATAGAACGTTTAATCGTTAAAATGTATTCTCTATTGAGAAGTTTATGGCTCGTTTTAATACTCCCCCTCAACTTCTCTACGAAAGGTCTAATAAAAGCAGTTCAGAAATTGACTAAATGAAGAACCAAAACCGGTCCCACTGTGGTCGGTGTTTTAGGATTGATGCATTATCATAGACATATTTTGGATGCACAGATGTTTTGCTATGGAAATGCGATTAAAAATACCGATTCTGCTAGCTGACTTAAAAAACATTCTTCACGGTAGAACACTTACTTGCGATATATGTTTTACCGGATTCGTCTATTCATTCAGAACTGCGTTTGAACCCGATTGACCTCTAAAAAAGTCTAAAACTATTTCTCCGGATAATTATTTAACACGGAAACATTTGAGCCAATGTATCCGGATAAAAAGTTTTAGACTTAGAATGTTTTTTAAGTCAGCAGAATCAGTATTTTTAATCCCATTTCCATTGCAAAACAACATCAGTGCATCCAAAATATGTCTATGATAATGCATCAATCCTAAAACACCGATCGAAGTGGGACCCGGTTTTGGTTCTTCATTTAGTCAATTTCTGAACTGCTTTTATTAGGCCTTTCGTAGAGAAGTTGAGGGGGAGTATTAAAACGAGCCATCAACTTCTCAATAGAGAATGTGTTAAAATGATGTCTGTAGAACACGGTTTAACGAACTATGGCGAGGGTTTGTCCCGAGACAAATTTTAAGGTTCAGTACAATCTTTTGATTTAGCTATATAGCTTTTTTAAGCTATTCAAATTAGCTTGATAAAGCTATTTATGTGCAGTTTTTCAGTAATTTTTTTTTTGTAAGAAATAGACAAAAAGTCACAAGTATTTACTATTCATGAATGTACTATGGGCTATCAAAAAAGCAACCCAAACCAAAGATAGTTTTAACCTTGCATTAACATTTTGAATACTTTTAAGCAAAAGACGTATTTCCATTGTTTGATAACTGTACACCACCTTGTGTACGTTGAGGCGTGGATAAGTACATTGTGCTGAATTATTACCAATCAATTATCTTGTTGACCATAAATGACCTCCTTTATATTTTCATTCAACAAGTAACCTGTGTGGTCACAAATCAATTGCTTTATATAGCCCCAAAAGTTTGAGTACAAATTCTCTCAAGGAGATGCAATTTGATCAGCAATTTTTACATGCATTGTTTTCAGAACAGTTTAAGATTGAACACTATCACTGCACCTAAGTGTGACTTTTTGTACATGCTGAAAAAATAACACATTTTAGGAAAAAAGTGAGATAAAATAGCTAAATCAAGCTATTCTGAATAGCTTAATAAAGCTATATACAGTGTTTGAAACTCACTGTAAAATAAGCCAGACATACAGGGCTGACTGCTAGTAAAAGTTGTCAGCCCTGCCAAAGATCTACTAGCCCGAGAAAATAATTGTCTTTTATAAGTTTTTTTAACGATTATGTGACTGGAACCAGGTCACCTTAACCAGAATCTATAGACTGATGAATTCTTCCTCCTGGCTTGTTACACTTTGCTACCGATACTATTACTTGATATGAAAGAAATTTATCAAATACATGAATTTTAATTATAAAAAATTTTAACACATTCAGTCGGGCATCAATACATGCAGATTTGTTATGCTGCAAAATTTGTGCATCTCAGGTGGTCGGGTGCACGGTTATTTCAAACTCTGCTATATAGCTAAATTAAGAGATTGTCTTAGACCTGATTATATTTTAACTAGTCGGGAGACACAGAGTATTCAAACTACTCTTCACAGTACCCAGACCTGAAAGGGTCTTACTTAGAGCATTTGCTTAGAAATCTGGTGTTCCTGGGTTTGTTGCTATTTCCTATTGGACTGGCACATTACAGTAATCTATTTGAATGAGGAGGATCTAAACACATAAATTCTTTTTTTGGACTTCAATAAAAATTATACTATACAAAGGTGTACATATTGAGTTTAACTTTTTTTTCAGCAAAATATACCTGATATATTTCCCCAGGAAAATGTTCAAAGACTATTATTTAGTATTTAGTGAACTGAAGCCTCTTTTATTCAGTTTCTTCAGCTTTGTTTTCCTGTAACACCCCCCCCCCCCCAAACTGGAATTAGTAAAAACTTTGTAGAAATGCTTTGAAGGGGATCCATTTGAATCTTTTTCCATGCATTTTCAGAACTGTACAAGGTAGAATAGTTAACTTGGAATAATCTGTGTCTCAAAAAAAGCCTTCACAGCAAAACCTGGTCCATAGGATAATATCAATTTAACAATTCTATCTAAATTAAGTTAGAACATCATGTCACCAAATATACTGCAATTTTTTGTACATTCTGAAAAAGGGAACATTTAAAAAAAAAATTGATTATAAATATAAGCTTAATGAAGTTAAATCATGTAAATCAAGAGGGTGTCCTGGACCTGTGTTACATATTTGATAAATTGAGCCAGCTTCAGGTCATCAGATTTTGATAGCAACATGTAAGGGGATGTGCTGATCCTGTTTACAGTTATTAAAGTACCTGATCTGAAATATTATTCCTTTGCATTGTCCTTATATACAAGTTACACACTTTAAAAGAATACCATTAACAAATCAAACAGTTCATAGCATTTGTATCAGCTTTGAGCAGAGACCAATGTACTTGACTTCACTTGCATTTTTTTGTCAAGTAGCTTTGCTTCCAAATTGTACAAACCTCACCAAGTGATACCAAAGCTCTACACTGAAAACTAACATTATGTCCATATTTTATAGATTGTTTTCCTTACTGGGGTCAGTGTTTGGCTTTGTTACATCAGATGTAGTGGAAAAAATTGGCATTCTTAGAGAATATCGGAGCAGTGAAGTGTCAGAGAAGTATGTCTCCATACAGAGCATGATTCAGTATGAAGTTGAAACCAAGACCACTAACAACAAAAAGAAGGCATCTGGATCAAGAACTCTTTTACGGCTTCACAGAGCTCTGGAATTCACATCGAGGCTTCTTTCAGACCTAAAGATAGCTGACGAACATGAAAAGATGTCTAGCCTCACCAAAACTGCTTATGACGATACACTTGCTCGTCATCATCCATGGCTTATAAGGAAAGGTGTGCATGTAGCCGTTTACACATTACCCTCCAGAAAACATTTCCTAGAGAAACTGAAAGTTGAGGATATTGAAAAAGCTAAAGATTTACTAGGAAGGGTATCAGATGTCCAGAAAGAAATATTCATCATCACTGAGGAGCTGTATGCCAAGGAGAATCTACTAGATCTACCTTAGATTAACATAATTATTTGTTATACAAACTGTCTGTGATTTAATTTTGTTTTTACATTTTGGAGGCAATTTCTGTTTTTGGAATATTTCTTCTTTTTTATTTACATTATTTGTGTGTGTATTATTGCACTAAGAAGGACCATGCACCATACCTAATCTTTTATGACTGCTGAGGGAGTATTCAGAAAGTTTTTGTAACAAATACATCAAATTTAGAGCAAACACATTGTGGTCAACAGAATTGTTAATATATCTTACAAAAAGCAATGAACTTTCATGAGCTTTTAAGATATAAATTTTAATTGTAAAGTTTGGACTTCAGGGCTGGAAAGTTTATACAGTAACACAGTACTAGTAGATTCTATGAAATGAAATGACAAAAATTTTTAAAAGTTTAATATGGAAAGTTTAAAAGACACATTCCATTAATGTACATATGAATTTAGACAAAAACTTATATGGTAAAAAGGATGGTTTCTAGTGAGTCTCTTTGTGAACCCTTACAACCTCTTTGCTCTGATATTTACACCATGTGGGTATACAAGATATTGAATGTACATAAAAATAATTTTGATGCGAAACAAGCTATGCAAAGTGGAAGTGAACATTTTTGATACAAGTTTAAATTTTGGTGTACTAGCTATGCTGGTATTTAGAATTATTATTTGATTAAGCAGAATTTAAGTTAATTATTTACAATATACTTAAAATGCATGGTTAACTTACTAATATTAACATTAAGTAACATACAAAATTTTACAGATACAGTCACACCTCATTATCTTGAACTCCTTCGTACCAAGAAAAAACTTCAAGATATCCAAGTATTCAAGATGTTGAAGTACATAAAGAAAAAGTAGTTAGGACTTCTAGTGACTTCGAGATTTTGGTGTTCCAGATAACGAAGCTCAACTACATGTATATATTTATTCTTATTTTATAAATTTATGGAAGTATTTAAATAACAAAATTATGCAACTAACATTTAGATCTACTCAAAATAGTTTAAGTTACTATAAAAAGATATATAAGAAATAATTGCAATGTCTTTCCTTTTTCCCATGATTTAAAACCACTCTTGAAGGACATTTTAGTGTTATATATATTTAAGTTATTCTTTTTTTAAAAAAAAATGGCAAACTCTAGTATTTAATTCATATGATGCATAATTTAATTTTGTTTTTAATGTTTTGCATTTATACAGTGATTTTGTATTACCGGGTAAGTTACAACTGTCTGATTCACAATTAAGAGTAGAAGGTTGAAACTAAGGCCAAATTTGTCACAAGCTCCTGTTTAAAGGGTGCATAAACTCATTATCAATTGAGTTCTATGAAGAAAATGTTAGGTTACTGTGCAAAATACTCTGCAATTTAAAGTTTTCTCTTCAATTTTTCAATAACAGCAGATAACTCTTTAGATTTCCCTAAACAGAGAAATTTTGAACTACTTAATACCTTTAAGTTCAAACCAAAATGATAATATTGCAATGTATTTTTAAGTTTTTATATATTAGTTGCCAATGCGAACATTTACTGATATATAATGTTAATAAATGCCCATTAGGCCTACACATCAAATACCAAGTATGTCTCTGCTACATTTATGTGTTCCTAATTTGTTGCTGCTTGACAATATTTATGTCCTACAAATACACCTTTATAAATATGTAAATTACTTATCTAACCACAGTTCACAAAGTTATACAGAAAATAAATAGAAACATAAGAAAGATATGCTATATGATTTCTATGAATTTCAATATTAAACGAGATAAAATTTGGAATGGAAAAAGAGAATATTTAACGCAGATCCTTACAAACCCTTTAGGTATTTTCTTATTTGTCTTTCTCTTTTTCTTTCTTTCTTTCTTTTTTTTTTTGTGTATTTCTAGTGTATTATTACAAAAATTATTGATATATAATTTGACATCAATACAGAACTAGAAATGTTAGCAGAAGTGTGTATTCTTTGGAGTGCTTTCTACTCTAACCATAAGATGTTGTTTGCACTAATATTTACCAAAATTTTACTCATTCATTTTGTTATGAAGATCTAAAATTCTTATTTATTTTTGTTCAATTTACAAATTTTTTTCTTTTAATATTTGCACAAATAAAATATCTGTCAAGTTAAAAACTGTATGTGGTTATATAGTACCCTGTAGTAATGACGATGTCTGTTTTATTTGATGCAAAAACCTAAGTATCTTTCAATCTATAGATACATGTACATCTAGCAGAATTAATCTATAGTGGAAGGGTAGTTTGAGGAACACTGATCACTTTAACAAAATAATTGCTTTGACCATTCTGAAGCCTCAATTCAAACATCTTGAAAATAAAAGACATTGTAGAGAAAATATTTTGAAAAAGATGCCTCATCTTCACTAGACAGAGACTCAGATTCTTTCTCCTCATCTTTCATCTATAATGGAGGGGGTTAGGAGGAGTAGTGGATCTGTACTCTGGTTAGCACTTAACAACGATTAAGACATCAATACATTTTAGAATCATTTGGTCATTATAGATCAGCAGTACTTTTTGACCACTGTGATGCAAAATATTGTCAGTATTTAACTTTTAACCTAAAATCTTCACATTTCCTACAGATAAAGTGTCCAAAGGATAAACATTATTGATTAGGCCATTTCACAAATAAATAATAACCCTGGAAAACTTCAAGACAGCCTTACAATTTCAAATTTTATTAAACATTTGATCATTGTTATATTCAGCCTTACATGAGCAGCACAGGCTTTAAGATCACTTTCATCCAACTTAAAAAAAAATTGGGGGTGTGAGAAAAGAAATTTTTTTACACCCCAAATATTTGCAAGTTGGATTAAAGCAATCTTAAAGCTTGTAATGAGGAGATTATTAGTTATCCAGGTCCAATCAAGGGTGTATGGGGATTTACCCCGGGTTTTATTCCATACACCCTAAGGCCGAAGGGTGTATGGAATACAACCCAGGGTAAATCCCCGTACACCCTTGATTGGACCTGGATAACGAATTTATTTCCTATGTACCCAAATAATTTTTTTGTAAACAAGTCCAATCAACTGTGTTTCAAGCTATCGATAAGATTTACTAATTCGTCCTACAATGCATCGTGATGTCATGTTATTTGCTTTTTATCATAGAGAAACTATGGATTGTGACGTCACGTTTTTTACCCCTGGCTCAAGTCAGGTGAACGGAAATTTACACCCAACTTTGTAACCAATCAAAGCTCGTGTTACAAACTATATAGGAAATAAAATGTGGTATACAAGTAATGCATCGATGCTAATTAAAATAATTTCTTAGGGTGCAATACATTAATGCTACACTTTCATAATAGCCATTACCGCTACATTTTCATAATAGCCATTACTGCTACATATTCATAATAGTATACATTACTGCTACATACATTACTGCTACAATACCTCTTCCGTTTAGCCAGTGCCTTATGCATGTACAGATATAAAGTACAACATATGCATGCATGAGACCTTTTGGCCCTGCTCACCACCCAGAGGTGAAAGTAGGACTATCTGGACTTTGAGCAAGATTTTTTTTCCTCACTTTAATATTTAAAATCCTTTGCCATTTTATTTCTTAACATTTTTTTTTATTTTTGAAAGTTTTAAAATCTTGCATTGTTCATAATTTTCACAGAATTGGTAGTGCTTTGAAGTCATTTGCTTCACATACTGCTGTCTAGAAAGCTCATGATTTTCACATTAGGGAATTATAATGAACAGAACTCATATTCTGTGCCATTGCAGGCAGATTTATGTATGTAGCAGTAATGAATTGTAATCGTTAATTATCTTATTGATAAGATGTAGTGGTAATGAGCACCTGAAACCTAAATGAAAAGTAGCGGTAATGAGTTGGAATTTTTTGCAATGTAACGGTAGTGTTGAACTCCCATTCTTAATAGTTCACATGATAATTACCACTGATTATTACAAGTCACTAAGACAGACCTGAATTGTTGCCTTTTATTTATGGATTTTATGCTGTCATTCACAAACTGTTATCTGGTTATACACATCATATTACAAAATATCTAAAGATTTATCCTCCATTTGAGCGGGAGCATTTTTCTTATCCTCCCTATTGGGTCCAAAGCACTCAACATAAAACCCTCCCCTCCTAGCTGTCTCCAGGTCCTGCATCACTTTTTCCTCTGCATTGAAATTAGCAGAATAAGTCCTGAATCTCTCGATAACTTTTAAATCTTCTTTAGCTCTCTTCTCCAACTTTCTGTGTCTATGCTCCCTGATATCCATCAAATTTTCGTGTCGGTATCGACGTAGTTTATGTTTGTTCATCCTACTTCTTTGTCTTCTTAGATCATCCACAGCTTCTTTGAGATGAGAATCATAAAGAGTTGGTGCCTCTTTCTCGGTATAAAAACCTGTTAATGGATTTGGTAGGAGGAATTCTACCTCTGTTTTATGAAATGTAGGGCATGACTTGGGATTTGATATAGATACATCCAATATGACACAGGTGAGGGAGTTCGTTGGACAGATAATGCCTTCCTTATTTGAGGAAGGCCTTCCATTCTTCTCAGTTTCCTTCATAATTCCAAAACTTTGTCCTCTGTTTGGAAAACTTGATGATTCCATGGCAACTGGAATAAAATCAAAGTTGTATTTAATAAGAATTAGATTCCGACATACTTTAAATATGTCTGTGAAAGAAGATGGGTGAACATGACAAGCGAAAAGCCTATAGTGTGACAAACATGAAGGTGAAAAATTAAATCTCAATTAAATCAAATTCTTCCTTGATATTTCATCTAACATTAAAATATACTTTATGTAAAATCTCTGCAATTTGCAAAAATCTCACAAAGATTGAAATTACTTGCTTATGAAATGTTATACACACACTAAAGAGAGCAAAAAGAGTCATTTTCTCATACTACAACACTTTTTTGATATGAGTGGTTCTTCGCTCCATTTTTTTGAAAGTTAATCTTCAGAGTTTGCATAAAAATATACATTTTTTGGTTTACAAAAATATGGAGCAACGACCCACTATGCCTTAAAAATATACTTTTATGACATAACATTTGGTTCTTTTCGAAAGAAAATGATACGCAGGATTTTTATTGCTAGGGTTCGAACCCCACGGATACCACATTATTTTTTAAATAAAAGAATATATTTTGCCGAGAAAATTTTCCTCAGACAAGTTTTGTTTATCATAATTTCATAAATTTCAGTAATGAGAACTTTACTCTAACTACTAAATTCAAATTGAACATGATATTTATATATCTGAAGCTATAAGCTTTCTGCACACTATGTTCGCGCCCATCTCCTTTCAAAATTCTTTTGGTTCAAAACTTCAAAAAAAATTTGAATCTACTCTACTTGGGATACTTGCATGTTAATTTTATTACTTGTGGGGTTGCTACACATTTACATACATTTATTTCAATTATTGATGCCCAGTTGTTCTCAAAATGAAAATTTTCTTATACACTGTATATTTTATATGATTTGAAACTTCCCTCACCTCCATGCCATGATTTTAACAAATTTGATTATACTACATATATTGGATACCTGCAATTGTTAATGTTTGTGGTTTGAAAAGAAGATTTCTAAGAAATTGAACCCCTACTACCCTATCCTCATGACCAAGAAGTCATAGTCTGACAAAAGAATTGTATTATACTACCAGTATGTATTTGGATATGCTTGCATATAATTTCAAGTGATTGATGTTCTGATATTGTCAACATGGATGATTACAGGTGTTGTTAATTACGCAAATTAGTTTGGGGGTTATTTTAGCAATACCAAGAATATGTACTGTTAAAATGATAATTATACATCTACTGATTTTTTCCCTATATTATATGTCTTTACATGTAATTATCCCCTTGCTATCATTTCACATTAAAAACTAGAGGTTCTCTGAGAACTAAAGATTCTGCAAAAGTTTTATTAAATTGTGCAAGTGGTATAGGAGGAGTTGTGGATAAGAGAATAAAAGATGGGTGCCCCCAATATTTATATAGAAAGAATGGCAGTGTCCATATTCTGCTGTGGAAAACCCCCAATATCTGTCCAATCAAAATGTAATATAGGAGGTGCACAATGGCACTATGTAATAAACATTCTGTAAAAGTCTCATTAAATTTATTTAGTGCTATAGGAGGAGTTGCAGGTAACTGATGGGTACTCCAAACGTACATACAGAAGGGTGTACAGATGGACACCTCCATCACTATATACCCCCCAACTTTTCAAGCAGGTTGGAATATATAATAATGATTGAGATTCCCCTTCATTTAATCATGCTTTGTCCCTATAGTTCTTGGAGGACAGAATTGATTTTATAATACTACCAGTACTTAAGATTGCTTCAGCCTTGCATATAAATTTCAAGTAACTGATGCTCTGTTATTGTAAATGTAGATATTTATGTGTGCTATTAAAGAAAAGTTGAAAATTAACATAGACAGTATGTGGGAAGTACAAAATTGGATGCAAAAATCTCATCAGAACCTTCAACTTCAGTTTTGTTAAAATGCAGTAATAAGACAGTAGTACCATATGACTATTTTTTTTCTCCTACATTATTGAATATATATATATAAATCCTTTTACCTAATGATAGAGAAGACATCTGCCGTAAGCTCAATCTCTGCACACACTGTCTCAGCAAGTCTAATGATAGAGTCAGCATTTTTCATCAAGATATCTGCAATGATAAATTTAAGCATATAATTTAATATATCATTTACTTTATCACACCAACACAAGTGATTATTTCAGTTTTTGACAGAAGGATTTGAATAAAATATAAAACAACTACAGTGTTCCAAGGAACGCATGTGTCTCATGCTTTGCAGCTTCAATAAAGATGTAAATAAATCTTGAGTGGTCAGCTATTTATTTACTACTAGCATGATAGTTAAAGCATTTGCCTGCAAAGAAAAAAAAGCATCTATGGATAGTATAAGACTGCCATAGAATCTGGCAATTAAAGAAAATATGGTTCCCCAACCCTCGAAATTATTAGAAATTATCATTTTATAAATACAGTTTCCCAAAAATCCTCCAAAAGAGATTTCAGTCTGTCTTTACTACAATTGTCAGTCTACACAATCCATTGTGGAATACTGATCCTGATGTATTTTCACAGTATTTAAATGTAAGTCAGTGTAGTAACTGGATATCATACAGTTTATTACAATATAATGAGCTCAAAAACATGTATAAATCCTAATTATCAAAACCAAGGCTCTCAAAATTCATAAATTAAATTGTCCAGGTATTTTTTGTAAAGTAGGTCAAAAGTCAAGGTCAAGTGGATTGTAATGCTGGTATTTTTCATGTTTTATGACAAACAGTGCACATGCTACATAGCAAAGACTTACCTCTTAAATGTCAAAAATATGCTGTATATTGGCACAATGAACAATTTTGAAAAGTAGGTCAAAGGTCAGAGTCACGAGGTCAGTAACTATGGAAATTTACAAAAGCCATAGTGCCAAACAATATATGTGCAAAATGTCAAATCCACACCTCTTACAGATCTTGAGATACGGACACAAAGACAGACACTGGGTAAAGTGATCCCTAAGTGTCGCTCTGCTCAGCAGGCGACACAAAAACAGCAAATGGCATAAAGCAAGAATAATTTTTAAGATTTTATGACATATTTATATGATAAATAATGCAATACTCAACCCAGAGCGATCCATTTTATATTGTGAAATAACAAGGGGGGGGGGGGGTGTCTTACACCTGCTTTTATATTGTGACATAACAAGGGGGGGGGGGAGGTTCCCCCCAGACACCACAACATAAAAGCGAAGGTTTGAGTCAGGGGAATCTTGGATAAAACAAGTGTAACTAAGATTAAAGAGGTGGTGAACAATCCACCAAATGTGTCAAAGGTTATACTTCTGACTGGGGGATTATTTTCTATATCTCAGTTGATGTTTACTAAACATATTGGAGAGAAAATTGTCCTGTTCAATTTTTTTCACATTCCTTGGAATGGTGCATGTTTAAACTGATCAATGTGGAATAAAATACAGGTACATGTATTACTAGTACTTGTACCTATGAAAGAAACAAGAGGCCAATGGGCCACAATGTTCACCTGAGTTACTTCAGATTGTTAAAGGATTTTTTATTCCCTTGAAAAACTGTGACCTTATATTATGGCCCCACCCTAACTCTAAGGGGTCTCTGAAACCAAACACCATGGGGATGCTTCAGTACTGATATGACTAAAATGGCCATTCAGTTATGGAGAAGAAAATTCTCCTGTATACATGCATTATGTAAAATTTGATTCTGATTCTTGCTAACTTTATCCCGGGCTTCATAATAAAAAAAAAAAAAATCACACAACATGAGAATGTTTGCAAAATTAATGGTTTCTTTAGATTAAAAAAAAATCCTTAGATAGTTCCATACAAAATTTGATCCCATATTTTGGCCCCACACTACCCCTGGGGGCCATGAGTTCAACAGTTTCAAATCTACATTACCTTAGAAAGTCTTCACATAATTTTCATCTTTTCTGGTGCAAAGGTTCTTGAGAAGAAGATTTTTCTTATATTTTTCCTTTATTGTGGTCCCACCTTACCCCCAAAGTGCAAGATTTGAACAATTTAAAATCTATATTATTACTGGAAGCTTTCATCTTTTCTAGTCCAGCGGTTATTGAGTAGAAGATTTTTAAAGATTTTTCTTATATATTTCAATGTAAAACTTTGATCCCTTATTGTGGTCCCACCCTACCCATAGCGGGTCATGATTTGAATAAAATAGAATCTATGCTTCCTCAGAAACCTTCCACATAAGTTTCACCTTATCAGGCCCAGTGGTTCTTGAGAAGAATATTTTTAAGGATTTTTCATTTATACTTCAATGAAAAACTTTCATCCCCGATTGTGGCCCCACCCTAACTGTCGGGGTCATGCTTTGAACAATTTTGAATCTACACTTCCTCATATTCTGGTCCAGTGGTTCTTGAGAAGAAGATTTTTTAATAACCCTACCCTATTTTTACTGTTCCTAAATTATCTCCTTACATTTGAATGATTTAAAATTCGCTTTATTTAAGGCTGCTTTGTGCCAGCTTTGGTTAAAATGGGCTTAGTTGTTCTTGAGAATTTGAAAATGTAAAAAGTTTACAGATGGATGGACGGACAGCTAGACAGACAGAGGGATGGATGGATGCCAGACAACAGGTGATCAGAGAAGCTCATTAGCTTTCGCTCGGGTCAGCTAAACAAGAGGCCCACAGGCCTTATTGGTCACCTGAGTATCATGTAACAACTTTCCCACAATTGATTTTGGTTCATGTTTTAAACTAGGGGCCATGAAAATCACAATTTTGAAAGAGGTACCCTTGCTCATCATAACCATGATAACTATACACTTAGTTTGTTTACTTAATACCTAGAAGAAGAGCAGATGATTATCAAAGAAATAATGCAGTTTCATTATATAAATAATAATCAGTAGAGCCCCCATCCCACAGGAACCTGACCCTTGGACCACACATTTCACAACTTTGGAAGAGGCACCCTTGCTCACCATAACCATGCACTTAGTTCATTGGTTTAATACCCAGGAGCAGAGAAGATTTTCAAAGAATTGATGCATTTTCACTATAATAATCAATTGAGCCCCATCCTAACATCAGCCTCTGACCCAGGGGGGCCATAAAATTCATAATTTTGAAAGAGGCATCCTTGCTCATCATAACTATGCATTTGTTTTCTTAATACCCAAGAGCAAAGGAGAAGATTTCTAAAGCACTAATGCATTTTCACTATATAATCAATAGAGCCCCACAGTAACACCAGAATTCCTGACCCCGGGGCCATGAAAATCACAATCTTGGAAGAATCACCCTTGTTCAACATAACCATGTACTTAGTTCATAGGCTTAATACCCAGGAGCAGAAGAGAAGATTTTCAAAGAATTAATGCATTTTCAATATATAATCAACAGAGCCCCACCCTAAAAACAGAACCCATGACCCAGGAGCCATGAAATTCACAATTTTGGAAGAGGCACACTTTCTCATCATAACTTTGTATTTAGTTTGTTTGCTGAATACCCAGGATCAGAGGAGGAGATTTTTGAAGAAATAATGCTTTCACTATAAATTCAACAGATCTCCACCCTAGCACTAGAACCCCTGACCCTGTGGCCATGAATTTCACAATTTTGGTACAGGGCTTAGTGCTTATTACAATCATGCCAACAGTTTGACTGCTTGATGTCTGGGAGTAAAAAAGCTTTTTAAAGATTCCATTGATTTTGATGCTTTTAGCCCCACTCCTCAGGCCTTTGGGAGGGCAGGGGGCAAAGACCATGAAATTCACATTTTTTGTTTCCCTTCAATCATTGATGCTATATGCCAAATTGGTTGAAATTGGTTTGGTGGTTTCTGAGAAGAAGCTGAAAATGTTCACATTAACACAGGAAGGAACGAAGATGAGCCTTAAACATGTTAAAACAGAAAGCAATAGTGTCTCTGGTGACCTAAAAATTAGAAATTCAATGTGAATTTTTTTGCGCTTTGTCCTTCAAATAATTGGCAAAACCTTGCAACATTTCCAATCTTTATATTTTCAAAAACATTTTTTCATTCCAGAGTGTCGCACCCATCATCTGTGTTTATCTCTTTCTATTTCCACCACCCAGGCAACTAATCAAACAATTTAAACTAATAAAAAAAAAATTGCTGATCTTTCTCAAACCTGGTCAGAAGTTTAATTCAACTATGGAGTAACATAATTTAGTGTCTTTTTTCTTCTTTTTTAAAAAAGAAAATTAAAGGGGAAAAAGTTGGGTTTTTTTCTTTGGAATGCTTAATTTTCTAAATGAACAGGTCCAAAGCAATCTCTTGATTTAGCTATACAGCTTGTTTTAATTACATAGCTTTATTAAGTTATTCAGAATAGCTTGATTTGGCTATTTTATCACACTCTTTTCTTAAATATGTTATTTTCTCAGCATGCACAAAAAGTCCCACCTTGGTGCAGTGAAAATATTCAACCTTGAACTCTTCTGAAAATGATACATGTGAAAATCATTCATCAAATTGCGTCTCCTTAAGAAACTTTGTACTCAAAGTTCTAAAAGTTTTGTAGCTGCAGAACTGTAGCTCTCTGCTTGAGAAAATTCGGACAGACAAAGCAGAGAGCTACAGATCCAAGAGTTGTAACAAGAGGCCCATGGGCCACAGCGCTCACCTGAGTAACTTTGGCCTTGCTGTTTTTCACCTGATTTCTCCCCCCCCCCCGGTAGTATTTATTATGACCCCGCCCTATCCCCAGGGGTCATGATTTGAATAATTTAGAATCTACACTACCCTAGCATGCTTTCAGATACGTTTCAGCTTTTCTGGCCCAGTGGTTCTTGAGAAGAAGATTTTTCAAGATTTTTCCTATATATTTCAATGTAAAACTTGGATTCCCTATTGTGGCCCCGCCTTATCCCGGGGGGTCATGATTTGAACAATTTAGAATCTACACTACCCCAGTTTCAGCTTTTCTGGCCTAGTGGTTCTTGAGAAGAAGATTTTTAAAGATTTTTCCTATATATTTCAATGTAAAACTTGGATTCCCTATTGTGGCCCCGCCCTACCACCGGGGGTCATGATTTTAACAATTTAGAATCTACACTACCCCAGCATGCTTCCACATAAGTTTCAGCTTATCTGGCCCAGTGGTTCTTGAGAAGAAGATTTTTAAAGATTTTTCCTATATATTTCAATGTAAAACTTGGATTCCCTATTGTGGCCCCGCCCTACCCCCGGGGGTCATGATTTGAACAATTTAGAATTTACACTACCCCAGCATGCTTCCACATAAGTTTCAGCTTTTCTGGCCTAGTGGTTCTTGAGAAGAAGATTTTTAAAGATTTTTCCTATATATTTCAATGTAAAACTTGGATTCCCTATTGTGGCCCCGCCCTATCCCGGGGGGTCATGATTTTAACAATTTAGAATCTACACTACCCCAGCATGCTTCCACATAAGTTTCAGCTTTTCTGGCCCAGTGGTTCTTAAGAAGAAGATTTTTAAAGATTTTTCCTCTATATTTCAATGTAAAACTTGGATTCCCTAGTGTGGCCCCGCCCTATCCCGGGGGGTCATGATTTGAACAATTTAGAATTTACACTACCTTAGGATGCTTCCAGATAAGTTTCAGCTTTCCTTGCCCAGTGGTTCTTGAGAAGAAGATTTTTTAATGATCCCACCCAATTTTTGTATTTTCTTAATTATCTCCCCTTTGAAGGGGACTTGGCCCTTCATTTTAACAATTTAAACTCCCCTTCACCCAAGGATGCTTTGTACCAAGTTTGGTCAAAATTGGCCCAGTGGTTCTTGAGAAGAAGTCAAAAATGTGAAAAGTTTACGGACGGACGGACAGACAGACGGACAGACGGACGGACGGACGACGGACAAAATGTGATCAGAAAAGCTCACTTGAGCCTTCGGCTCAGGTGAGCTAAAAAGCTTCGATTTATGCCGCCGCTTTTTTGTTGCTCGTTTCGGGTATTATTTCTTGTATTTAATGCTTTCCCCTGCTTTAAAAGTGGTATCCAATAATTATCCATATATTTTACTCCTATTCCTGATACTTTATTTACCTTTCAACGGTCTCAAACAGCCCTATATGGTTTTGAAATGTCAGTTAAAAAAAATTCCCATTCCGACGTCCATGTTATTGGGGGTTGTGCGAAAAGAAGTAATTCAAAGAACATATACTTGTCAAGAAAATGTAAATAAAAATTTCAGGAGGTTTAAATATCATGTATATTGTCTATAAAGATTAGAATACAACATGTATGTAAAAAAGAAATGAGATAAAACTCGGGCGTGTTGTTTCAGGATGACACCAATGTCGACGTCGGAATGCATTTTTTAAACTGATACTACAGCCGTCTGGAACTGTTGAAAGGTAAATAAAGTGTCAGGAATAGGAGTAAAATATATGGATAATTATTGGATACCACTTTTAAAGCAAGAGAAAGCATTAATTACAAGAAATTAATACCCGAAGCGAGCGACAAAAAAGCGACGGCGTAAATCGAAGGTTTTTACAACGCTTGGATCTGTAGCTCTCTGCTTTGTCTGTCCGAATTTTCTCAAGCTGAGAGCTACAGTTCTGCAGCTAAAAGTTTTGGGGCTATATATTTAGCAATTGATACAGTTACTTCTTCAATGAAATTATAAAGGAGGCCAATTATGGTCAGCAAGATAATTGATTGGTAACAATTCAGTACACAGAGAAGCAATCATACTTATCCACGCCTCAACGCACACAAAATAGTGTACAGTTAGTTACTCAAACAATGGAAATTCATCTTTTGCATAAAAGTATTCAAATACTGCAATGTTAGAAGTAAATTGATTCGGACCATTATCAAAATATTGCTCAGCATCAAGTTTGTTACCTATAATCTGAAAAAGTTTCTCTTCGAAAAAATGTTTTTAAGATTATACTTGTAGAAGTAAAATAAATATAGCAACATGAGAATATTTCAAGAAAGACAACTCTCTTCGCTAGCCAAGGGTTTTTGATCAGCTGCTCTCCTCACAAACCATTGGCATACGGTGCATTCAAAAGTTGAGATTGTTTCCGAAACGTGATCTCGAATCTTCCAACAAACGTCATCGTCATCGACAAAAATAAAAGGCGTATTAGAATTTTTAAGTTTTTAAAGAAAAATTAACAAGAAGATATCGAGCAATGTTTATTTGTTATTTATCATGCAAATCTACATCTACAATAAGATTCCTGATCACAATATTTGTACATCAGCTTAACATTGGATGACACCATATCTATTTATAGACTGGCATGTTATATTATGAATCGCTGTTTACTTGTGTTTTTCATTCCCGAGACTAAAGAATCAAGATATATCCTGAAGGCAAATATCATCATTTACAAAAGCAATTGCTGATTGGTCGAACGATGTCGATCAACTCCAATCACAACTTGAGAAAAAAAACAACTTTTAATAACACCGTATGCCAAGGGTTTGTAAGGAGAGTAGCGGATCAGAAACCCTTGGCTAGCGAATCTTTGATTTCGATTGTTGTTTTGATAGCCCATAGTACATACATGTATATGGCTAGTCAAATATTTCCGACTTTTTGTCCATTTCTTACAAAAAACATTTTTCTGAAAAACTGCACATAGTTTTATCAAGCTATTTTGAATAGCTTAATAAAGCTATATAGCTATTTCAAGCTATATAGCTATATCAAGAGATTGTGCTGGCACTGAAGGCATAATGAGATCATGATTTTGTTGTTGTAAAATGACGTGTTAACTGTAAGTGTACGTACCAATTTAACTACTTTCAACTCAAATGTTTGTTTCTTGGTTTAGGCCTTTTCTGAAGGAATCGCTTTATTTCAAGATGAAGATTATTTACTCAGCACCTACAACCATGGGAGCCGCCATGTTTTCTCAAGGTTGTACTCTCAAATTTTGTGACAACTGTTACTCTCTATTTTGATCAGTTCAGTAACTAGAACTTGAATTTCTTACCTCATTTTGATATATTTGTGAATTTTTTTCAAAAAGTAGATCTACTTAATTGCATTTCTGTATTTTGTTACCGTAACAAAATTTTTAGAGAGTATTCTGTTTTTCCGGGATGCCTCGGGGTTGTTTATCGCCAAAATGTAAACATCCGAGTTGTTGAAATGTTGCATTGTGAACTCGTGACTGTCATCATCATCTGAATAAAATGAGTCCCCCACATTACACTCTTAAGGTAAAAACTGTTTCATTCTGCCTCAACTTACTTGTTTTTTCATCGTTCATTTAAATGTTTCATTTATCTAGATGCTGGACTTAATAATATCTATCTGTCTATAACAGTTGCACAATCTGACATATTCCTTGCTATTATATAGGCTGGGGATGCGAGGAATAGCAGCTCTGAAATGCATTTTGTCTTTCCGGAGAGGAGGAGACATTTTGGTTTTTGCATAGTTGCTTTGAGATCTGCATGTCTGTCAGACTCACTTTATCTTACCATACATCTGGATAAAAACTCTACAACTCTGAAATGAATTAATTCAAACCCTTGTATGTTGCTGGCCATGACCCAAATGCATGTCAAGATTCAGTGTCATATTTTTTTTTTTTAAAGACCAAGGTCATTGGCAAATGATATTCTGAAATTTTGTCAGGTAAATAACTCTGGAACCCTTGATCAGAATGAACAGATTTGAGAAGGCCGATGTTGTTGCTGTAAGCTGGTGATGCTATGCACAGGTGTGCCATCATCTTCACTCCATTTCATATTTCAAAGGTCAAGGTCACTGCACACAGATTTTTAAAATCATGCACGGAACATAAATGGATCGCTTAATTGGAATGAATTGAAACTTGAGTGTTCTTTTTTTATGCCCCCGTAATCGAACCTTCGAGGGTATATAGTTTTTTACCTGTCCATCCTTCTGTCTGTATGTCCGCTAAAACTTTAACATTGCCCATAACTTTTGATTGGTTGGAGCTATGGCTTTCATATTTCACATGTGTATTCCTTGTGACAAGACCTTCATATTTGACCTCTTGACCTTGGAGTTTGACCCACTTTTGCAAAAATATACCCAACTTTAACCTTGGCCATAACTTTTAAACAGTTGGTACTAGGGCTTTCATATTTCACATGTGTATTCATCGTGACAAGACCTTTCCATGGGTGTAAATATTTTTGACCTTTTGATCTTGACCTTAGAGTTTGACCTACTTTTAAAAAACTTTAACCTTGGCCCTAACTTTTGAACAATTAGTACAAGGGCTTTCAAATTTCACAGGTTTATTCCTTAATTGTGACAAGACCTTCCTTTAGATACCAACAAATTTGACCTACTTTTGAAAAACTTCAACCTTGGCCTACACTTTTGAAAAGTTGGTGCTGGGACTTTTATATTTTGCATGTGTGTTTCTTATGACAAGGTCTGCTTACCATTAATTTTGACCCTTTGACCTTGACCTTGAAGTGTGGCCCACATTTAGAAAACATTAACTTTGACCATAACTTTTGAATGCTTGGTGCTTAGGCTTTCATATTTACCAGGTATATCCATTGACACAAGTCCTTTCTTTAGGTAACAACATTTTTTGATCTCTTGACCTAGACCTTGGAGTTTGACTTGCATTTGAGAAACTTTAACCTTTGCCATAAGCTGCAATAAGGGGGCATCAATTTTTCATAAATACATTTTGTCTGTTGATGACCTAAAGGAGTGTTGTGTCTTTGAATGAAATTTGGTTTCTCAAAGGTCAAGGTCACCAGGCAATAACATATTGAATTGTGTTCATTGTTCAGGTAATAAATTTGAAATCTTTGGTTATAAATAAATATTTGAGCTGAAAAAAAGTGACATGAGTTTGAATCAAGGTCCTGAAGTTCAGTTAAGGTCATATCTCATTTCAGTTTTAATGTCTAGTTAGAAGTCTTAAAAGAAAATATTTGTCATCACTGTAATGTATCTATGCCTACTTCCATCCCTTTTCCCAGACCTGATCTGGCTATTGCAACAGAGAGAGAGAGAAAAAAAATTAATGGCATAACCAGTATAGCCCCAGGGTATCAGTAGCCACGGTGTATAGATATCTGCCTGGCTTCGGGTTATTTCAGGGGGGTTTAATTTTGCTTTTTATTCCCAAGTTGAGAGTTTGGCAGAAAATTCCTAGCCAGTGAGGTGTAAATAATAAGTATCAACAGAGGTTGTACCCTGAGAACCTGTTCCTAAATATTTGCATACAATATCAGTAGAATAAGCCTTTCCTAAGGAACAAGATCCTTAGCAATACAAACATTAGATTTATGGAACTGGATTTGTATTAGAAATAGAGGGAATCTTCTTGGTGTGATTTGATCTTATGCTCTTAAGATTTTATTATTGCTGAAATTAGGAATGCATCCATATACATGTACCAAATTATTTTTACAAGCACAACAAATCCCAGCATCCCAAATGTCTTTCTTTGGATTGTTAATACTTTATAGGAAGGGGATTGGTGTGCTGTTGCATTCTACAGTGACTGAGTGATTTTAGCACCTGACATCATTGGGATGTAGGCACAAACATGTTCTCTTTCCTCTTGCCCCCATTTAAATAGGGATTGGGGAGTTGTAACACTTTTTGAAAACATTATACTGTTTGTATAATCAGGACAGAATATGTTTGTTTGTAAAATCTGGGGTTGGGCACATTGGTCTTTGATAGTATTTACATGTCTACAAAATTGTTTTACTTATCCTCTAAGACAGTGTGAGTGAGAAAGCTTCCCTATGTTATAAAAGTCATAAAAGCTTTTTTTTATGTAGCAAAAATTTTTATTGTAAAAATATGAAAAATGAGACACTTCATATTTTTAAAACAATGATGATACATGTACATGAAAGAATTATATTTCCTGATTGGGTATTACTGTATGTTTATTTTCCTGGTTATATTTTATACATTAATGCTAGGGTCATTTCATTTGTATTTATTCATTTACATGAATACTAGTATACTCAGTGTATTCCCCTTGGTGTGTTCCCGTTTTGCACACATTTGATAATTAGGTATAGAACAATAGGTGTGAAATGTGTTTTGATAACAATTATAGTCTGATTTCTGGTTAGGATTTACCTGGATTTTACCTATGCATTCTAGAAAAGAATGGATTTTACCTATGCATTCTAGAAAAGAATGATTAGGGTGAATTCACCATGCATCGGACACCCTTGCACTTCAACAAGTTCTAGCGATATCGCTACCGACCGAATATTATCAAAATGGAACTTAACATGTATGTGGTTAAAATATAATTTTTTGACACAATCGTGCCCTATTTATTGAGAAAATATCATTAAAAACTGATTCTTTCGAAATAAGTCAGAATTCACCATGGATCCGACAATATTCACCATGCATCGGACATACGATATTTAAACCAGAAAAATATCATACCTTGATCTCGGTGCTTTAAAATTAGTGATATCGAAACATTTTTATCTTTTATTTAAAAATTAACCTTCTAATTAAATTTGAATGACTATTTCGATCCACAAATATGAAGAGATTTTAGTTGCATCACATCGCCTTAGAAAGGCTTTACAATGCTAGTACATGTTGTAATATGGCAACTCTCATCTTTGTCTCGTGGGTTATAATCATCTAGTTTAAAGAAATAGATTGAGTCCACTTCTAGTCATCATATATCGGTAATTTGTATTTTCATTGAAAATTTAGAGTTTCTATTTTCTATTTCAATAAAAAAACAGCTGTCATTTGGGTTTTACATGAAAATGGAAGTGATTAACCATGCATCGAAAAGTGTCCGATGCATGGTTAATTTGTGTCCGATGTACGGTGAAATAAACATACTAGTTAAAAACAACTCTAAAATATATTATACAAACATTGAAGTAAAATTTTTGAAAAATTTTTGTAATATTATCAATCATTGGCAAATTTTTTCAAGGTCCGACCCGTTCCGTTGACGTCTATTTTAAAGAACGACAACTCTAAAAATTGCAAAATCGTAAAATTCTGGTTACTCCCCTTTGATGATGCAAAATATGACGTAATTTCAAGGCCATTCTTGTGGTATTTTTATCACAACATGAAAATAAAAATCGACATCATTAAAAAGTTTAATTCTTCATCTTTAAGACAAAAACAAGTAAAAACACGGGGAGACTCAGGTTCAGTGAAAGTTTATTGCTTGAAATTGTCCGAAGCAAGGTATGTGTCCAATGCATGGTGAACTCACCCTAATATTTATTTAATGTATATAATTTTTATTGGAAAAGGGGGGATTTATTGAATATTTTATCCAATATTAATTATTATATCTAGAAAAAATATCTGCCATTTCTTGAAAAATAGATAATTTTAAAGCTGACAATTCATAAATTCACTCTGATTACCATTCACGATTAAATATTCAGTAAAAATTTCTATTTTATTATTCAAGTAAAGAAATAAATAAAAACTTAAGATGCACATATATTTTTTTTTTATTAATTTCGTATTTTATTTTCCTATTCTCTCCCTAAAGGTTCACCTCTTTCCCATTTACTGTATGATACAGACTATAACCAATTAAGTAATTATCTCACCTGGACAAATTCCCGTTCTGCACACATTTTTTGTATGCCTGAAATTCAAATGTGTGCAAAACGGGAACAAACCTTCCCCTCAGTAAGAACCCCAGCCCCTATTAGCACACCTGGTGTGTTTCCCCATTGTCAGATGATAAGGGTCTTCCATTTACTACCTAATCAGAATTCCCCAATCAACAAATCCCACATTCAAACATGTCAAAACTGATAGAAAATTAAACTGATGAAATTAATACCGGTACCATATCATCAGTCAGTGTATTAGGCCAACATTTTTTAATAAAATGATTTACGGGAGTGCCGACTGCAATTTTAGCTAAAACCAAATAAAAATAAAAGTCCCTGTTGTTGATTTTATTTTTAAATTTCCTGCCGATCGTCAATGCAAGTACACTAAGAAAATAAAATAATGTGCAAATAAGTCGCAATTCTGATTGGCTGCTTTATTGAAAGCCATTATTATCATCCAATCAAATCAACTGTTTCGGAAGTGTATAAAATGTGCCAACATGGATGCAGAAATGTCAAATTTTACAGGAGTTGAGAATACTTAGTCCTTATACACGATAGTTTTTCCAAGTCAACCATAGCTAACAGGAAAATCAATTAGAGTATGACGAAGTTAAGTTGGAGTTAAAAAGAAATTAAAGAAATGATCGGCATAATTTTACAAGAGAATATGTTGACAGAACTGTCACTTTCGCTGTGGGTACCGTCTTATACAATTTTGATACCTTTGATGAACGTGATAAAAGAATGGAAATCGAAAACAGACGTTTGAATTTTGTGAAGAATAGAATGTGACGTATCTAACTTGGATATATGTCCAAGAAACGTTTTCAAACTTGTAACTTTTTAAAAAGATCATAGCACTGTACAGACTGGAAATTCATAAGTATTTTGTGTGTGTTAAATAGTTTTAGAATAGATATAAAAAGACACTGCAAACGTAACGGTATTTAATGTGTTAATACTTTCAAGCTTTCAGAAGTTTGTTAATATGCATAAACATTTGCTGTATTGTAAAATACAGGTTTAAATCATGATTCTGGGTTTTATGTTATACTGAGATTCTCTTTATAACAATATTTTCCATTTTTGATTTGTTGGTTCATGATTTTTTCAGTACTTTGAGCAAAGTGAGGTTCTCATTATAAACTTTGTTTCTTTGGTCATCTTGTTATGGTCATGATGAATATTTGATAAGTCCCCCATTTCTCATAAGGGTTTAATAGTCTACATTAATTTTTGTGATGCTGTTATCATACCTCCACACCGTATATATGGCAATTTTTATCGAATAATTGAAAATAAAAAATCAGACATTTTTTCCATTTTTATTTTTATTTTTTTAGTCGACTGCATAAAATATGGAGTTTTATTTTTATTTATCCCCCCCACCCAATTTTTCATAAAAAATTCCCGTAAATCATTTAATAAAAAAATGTTGGCCCTATCGAAGTTGGATTGGACAGAGTCTTGTCAAGAATCTTTTAAAGGAAGGGGCTAGAGTATATAACTGGAATTATTTAATGAGACTCTCTTTGTTTTTAATAACTGCCCCTTTTCTGTAATTTTATAACAGGCAGAATATGATTTAATATTGATAATATTATTTTGAAGGTTTTTGTCATATAAAGGTAATATATCAGTATGTATATTGAATTTCTTAACTATAACTGAAGATGAAGTAAGTGAGTGTCAGAAAGTTGTGTGACTTGTGAATTGAAGAATAATTATGAAGTATAGAATCTCCTGACTCTGTCAGCTGTTGTTCTTGGAACCTTAATCATTGATTATTAAGCCTCTTATTTTACATCTTGTGTTCTTTTAGGTGATTGTTTGCGTCCATTTCATTTTGATGATATGGTAAGTATCTACACATCTTTAGTCAATCTTAAGTGTTCGTATGTGTGTTTTTAATGTCACCTGAATCCCCCAGGTGACATATTGTTATTGGTTCTTGGCCGTCCGGTATGGTGTTTGTAAACTTAAAAACATTTTGAGCCTCTTTTCTGAAATGCCTTTAAGCCAATTTCCACTAATATTGGTGTGTAGCACCTAATATGAATAAATGGGACCAATAAAGTAAATTTCATGGCCCCCTTCTCCCTTGAAAATCTTCATTCTTTTAGCAAGCAAAATGCAGTTATTTGCAAGCAGCTAACTGTCAGAAAAATTCCTTGTTTCCAGGTACAGGCTCCATGGTAGGCTAGCTAAGTTTTTAATATTGTAAATTTATGCATTACACATTTTAAAATCTACTGTCGTAGGCATGGACATATTGGAGGTATATTTTATGCATGATTATAATGAGCAGCTATACCAAAATTGTGAAAATTATGTCCCCTGGGGGGGGGGGGGATTCAGGGGATCATATTGAATGATCATATATCAAAAATTGCATTATGGCTTTTAAATTCTTTACTCTTGAGGATACAGACAGAATTATTGTGAGTTCAGACATCTACTAGTTTGAGGTAGGACTACATTGATGAAAACCTGAAAATATTCATGATATTGTAGATCAACAAATTTTCATGACACCTTATTTTCACAAGATAGGCATTTGGTATATTTATAAGTGAGATAAAATTTTCATGAATTCTGGGAATTGTATAAAATCTATGCTAACAAAAAAATACAATGATATTTTTGTGAGCAGACCAGCTAGTGTTATTACATGAAAATAAAGTTTTTCCAAATAAAAAGTCATTTAAAGTATTAGAATGACTATAAAGGTGGCCCATGGACCTCTCTTCCAGAGGGACAGGGGTTAAATTAGTTTACAAAAGCCTAAAGTTCAAGGTTTCAAGCAAGCATTGCTAATCATTGCTTGTTCATCATCTGGGGCCCATTTTACAAAAGAACTTACGACTAGAAAGATATGTTTATGACATAAATTTTTAATAAAATAATCAATTTTGAAAATTTTTACAATCAATGAAAGTGTTTGGTCTTAGTCCTAAGTTCTTTTGTAAAACGGGCCCCTTTTGTTAACTTTTAACATCTTTTGACTATTCAAAAATGGTTGTGCTAATTTCAATGTTAAAAGGGAGGCTCACACCCTTTTTCAAGGGGAGATAATTAAGCCATGGAGAAAATAACCCATTTGAAAATCTCGGTAATCACTGAGCCACAATGACAAAGCTTAATATGAGAAAATTTCCTTGATAAGTTCTAATCATGACTCCTGGATCTGGGATGGGCATGCAAAATGTGGGCAGAGATTTCATGAAAATCTTTTTGAAAAAAGTCTTAGGATCTAAGAACCATCAAGCCATAACTGGACCAGAAAGAATAAAACTTAAGAGAAAGCATTCTTATGTAATAGTTTGGGCCATGGATCTTGACCTGGGTAACTAAGTAAGTAGAGCACCTGACTAGCGATGCAGGGGTCCCAGGTTCAATTCCCAGTCCAGTCATACATTTTCTCTTACACTTATTACTAGTGCATTCAAGTTTATTCAAATCAAAGCCCATGGGGATATGGTGAGCTAAATTAGATTGTCAGAGTTTAACACAGCTATTTATAAAAAAAAATATTTCAAATCTTTTAAAGAACATCAGGGCTACAAAATTTAAAAAGGCAAGCATTTTCAAAATATTGTAGCATATATTCAAAAGATGACTGCACTTAACATTGGGTTTTGGGGGTTTTTTTTTAGCTCTACTGGTCAGAGACCAGAAGAGGTTATGCTATAGTTAGGTGTCCGTCGTCCATCTGTCTAGCTGTCTGTCTGTCTGTCCGTCTGTAAACAATTTTTCAAAACGCTACTCCTCCTACAGTTTTAGTCTGATTTCAATATAACTTGGCACACAAGTAGACTACACTAAGATACATCATTCTATATATCGGTTTTTGATTTTGATGAGCGGTGTTGCCATGGTAACTAAAAATAGAAATTTCTGGGAAGTACTTTCAAAACGCTACTCTTCCTACAGTTTTGGTCTGATTTTAATATAACTTAGCACACAAGTAGACTACACTAAGATACATAATTCTGTATATCAATTTTTGATTTCAATAAGCAGTGTTGCCATGGTTACTAAAAATAGAAATTTCCTTGAAATACTTTCATAATGCTACTCCTCCTACAGTTTTGATCTGATTTCAATATAACTTGGCACACAAGTAGACTGGACTATGATACATAATTCTTTATATCGATTTTTGATTTCAATGAACAGTGATGCCATGGTTACTAAAAATAGGAATTTCTGTGAAACTCTTTCAAAACCCTTTCAAAATTTGTTAATGACATTTGTGATTTAGTGGAGAATAATCTCCATGACATCTCTTTGATATTTGCGATAACCTTAGTACATATGTAGAATGAAAACTTATGTTTTAATTTATTTAGGATAACATATAACAAACAGTACATTTATTAAATTGATTGAAATCATGTAAATCAATCTACTGCTGAAATGGTATTTCAAACATTGATATCTCAAATACCAAGGATATGTCAAAGTGATTTAGAATTCCCAACAACTTAATTCTTTTAGTATTTTACCCTCAATATCTCAAATCCACAGATATCTGGAAGTTTTTGCTCTGTCCCATTGAGTTTGTGGTAACGAGGTTTGACTGTAATGTAAAAAAATGTTATACCCCCAGTTTGTCAGTCAGATTAAAACAATCTAAAGGCCTGTGGTTCAGGGGACTGGTGCCAGTGATTGCTTTTCAATGACATATGATCGGTCATTCATATTTGACAAGTGCATTATCTGTGTCAAAACGTTTCAAATACATGTATGCTATGATATTTGATCCCTTGACCTTGACCATCAAGTTTGACCTAATTTTATCAGTGTTGCTAACTTTTGAAGGAGGGAAGATAGGGCATCTATACTTGACAGGTGCATTACCTGTGACAAGCATTTCCAATGTTCTATGATTTTTAACCCCATGACCTTGACTTGAAGTATGTATGACCTAATTTTTAAAAAAATTAACATTGCTGATAACTTTTGATTGAGAGAAGATATGGCATTTATATTTAAAATGTGCATTACCTGTTTCAAGACCTTTCTGATTGTATCCTCTGGTTTTTGATATTTTTTCACATATGCATTATTTGTAACTTACAAGACCTTTCAGATTGTATTATGATAATTGACCTCATTGACCCCATGACCTTGATCTTGAAGGTTGATATAGTTTTGAGAAGCTATAATCTTTGCCATAACTGTTATTATTTATTCAATAATTTATGTCTCTTTTGTATGATGCACAGACAAGCACAGGACACACAAACAAGACAGTTACAATATGGCATAAATAATGCAGCCCATTCACTAAGACAAAGCAGGGGACCACAATTCTTTGATTTTGCTTGTTGTCTATTTAGTTTTGTACTGTTAGTTATAAGTTGTCAGCTCCTCAGTCGTAGAAAAATAAAAATAAAAAAGAAATTGAGGAAAAGTTAGATGATTAGCACTAGAGGCATGATATACACATGTGTACAACATTTGTACAATCAGAACATTGTTATGGTACTCAGTTGTAATTATATGGTCTTAAGAAACCAATAATTACTTCTTTTTTTTTTGCATTCATTCCTGTAGTTGTAATTTATAAGCTTGTAGAAAGAGTGGAAATGAGTATGTTAATTAAAATGTTTAAATTGTATAATTTATCATTAGTTTCTTTGTTTTCTACAGGGGAGCACAGTTTGTTAGTTTGATGCCAACTGTCTATTGGCTGAGTAATTCCTTTGTACTACTATTAGGGATATGGAGTATAGCTAGTCCAGATTCATTTGATGCTGTTCTTATGGTAGGTTAATTATCATTTCTTTATTTTTTAATAATTAAAAAAATTAATTCTTTAGCTCAAAGGGAAAATTTCGGTATCCTGTATATGCCTATGAACTTGTAAAAGAAGTTTAGTTTACAAAGAGCTAGGTTCACTTTTCCATAAAACAGACCTGTCCATAGACCAAATTAACTGACCAAGACCCAGTGTCCCATTTCAAATATCAATATTTAAGTAGAGACTTTGTGCTTTCATTTCTTATAAGAAAAAAATTTTCTCTGAGAGTCCAGGCTTCGGGGCCACCAACATATAAAAATCTTAGCTCAAATCTCAACCTCAAATCTTAGATTTCTGCCTCACCTGAGATTTTCCTATAACACCGTGCCACCAACATTTCTGAGATTCAACTCACGTAAGCTGAGATTTGAGAAAAATCTTAGACTTATTCTCGTTGTTATATGCGACCTTTTTTCCTATCTTGCACGGAATTTTTGAATCAATTATTGATTTTACCTTTCAGTTAGTTGTTTATGCAATATTTTGGTGTATAATGGCGAAAATAAACATTGTCAACTTCCTTCGTCTTTTATTTGCTGTTTCGAGTCATTCAACGGAAAGGATTCCATTACGACCTTTGCGACCATAAATGTTCACCGAATCCCCATACAAAAATCCCTACAGAAGAATAACACAAAACCATATCCAAACTTTGCAGTCTTGGCTCGTCTGTCGACATAAAAACACAAAAACATACACCGAGGCGTCATTTCCGCCATTGTGACGTTACGTGTAGAAAGATTACGAAAAGTAGGTAGGCGGATCAAAACTATATTTCGCAGACCGATTTTTCTTTCTTTTGTTTTAAAATGTCAGATATATAAATTTTCTTCTAATTCTCCGTAGGAAAAGAAAAATATTTCAGTTATAGGGACTTTTTGTATACATAGAATAAACCTGAGTGATTTTTTCCCCTAGCAGATCCAAAATTAAAAGAAAAAGTCGACAAATAGCTACATTCTCATACATGTATGCTGAAATAAATTTCTTGAGTGTTTCGTAATATTGGGCGTAAGTATGATAAGATGGACAGCGAACATATCCAGGTGCTGGTAACGTTTTACAGGATTGTTTATCAAGGAAATTTGAGAGGAATTTTTAATTGTCGGGAATTTCAGGATATCACCCCCTGTGAGAAAATGTTATGGAAAGTCTTTGTATTTCTTTTTAAATATATGTAACAATAAGCAACGAATATAGCACCACTTGACCAATATTCATCGTTACACTGGAAACCCAAGTCAATCTCGCATACGCTCATCAAGTGATCAGAAATTGATTAATCCCTTATATCAGATCGTAAATAAACGTTTCACTGCGTAATGATGTAATATTTTTAACGTAACAACTACGGTCCATACTTTTTTTTTTTAAATTTAAAATGTTACTTGTACAAAAAAATAGTTTGTATAAAAAAATTCCATTCGGCCAAGTGCAGTTGAATATATGCAGTTTTTGTTGAGATTTATACATTTACCTCAGAATGGCCATAAGTCAAGTTTATTCTTATAAATAATATATACAGTCAAGAATATAAGTTTACGCACAATGCATTGTGAGTATATAAAGTCGATCCCAATTCTCAATTAAGAATTTTATAGGTTTATTTAAGAACCAAATTAGGCAGACTGCTATCATCAGTGAAATAAATGGTGATTTATATGTTATTTCGGAAGAACAAAATATTTGTTCATGGAATTTTAGACAGATTTCTTTTAATATTTGCGTATAATTTACACGGATAAGTATATTGTACGTCAAGTAGTAATAGTAAAAACTACCAGAGAAAAAAAAACAAAAAACAAAAACAAAGAAGGGGCTGGGTAAGTTTAATTTGACAACATCTTATCTAGTCATATTTCCTTTTCCGATATACACGGATATTCCAAATTACATACACATAATAAATTTGCCATGGCACAAATACATGTAGCACTCTAAAATATGCATTTAATTAATTATTAATTAAATTAATTTCTGAATGAATGAAGATATACATGTTCATGTTATGTATAAAGTGTCACTAGAATATTCCTGTAAATTAATTTTTTATTTTTTCTTTATTATCATTATTATTTTTTTCTTTTAGTAAAGTTTAAAGTGCTTGATACCATGCGTGGAAAATATTATAATAAGAATATTTACATGTGCGTAATTAAGACCCCCCCCTCCTCACAGGAAGATCAAGTTTTGGGAGAAATTAACATTCTTTCTGTGCTTGTGTGTTAATTTCGTGTATTCATGGATAAAATGTGCACTGTCATAACATATGCGATCATTTTACCATGAAATAATTCTGTGAGATTTTGTTTGAGACTGGTATACATCAATCTCAAGATTTTCTTAGAAATCGCAGATTTTTTTCTCAGCTGAGTCGGAAAAAACGTTGGTGGCACGCATGTTTGTAAAAAATCTCCGATTTCAGAAAAAACTCAAAAGATAAGTCTGAGTTTGAGAAAATATTAATTTGGTGGCACAGTTTGGTGAGAAAAACTCAAATTTTCTGAGAAATCTCAGATTTGAGAAAATCTCAGCGTTGGTGGCCCCGAAGCCAGGTATGAAAAAACTGACTTTGTGAAATTGCAATGTTCTTGAATTTTGCAGAAAATGGGTGCACATGTATTTGAGTACCCTCATCAAAGAATTAAAATATAAGCCCACCCCTCAATCCAAAAAAATAAATAGAGGATATTCAATGTTTTGTAGTTGAATATGGAATTTATTTCACGAGTGGGAGAGGATTTTTTTTATAGAAGCATGAGTGAAAATATTAAAAAAAATCATGTCTCGCGAGTGAAATAAATTCCATATCAAACTACAAAACATTGAATTTTCTGTGTTTGATATTACATTTTATTTGATTTTGCCCTTGCCTCTGTCTTTTCTTAACACAGTGTCATAGGCTGTGACATCATAGTTGAGCAGTTGAGACGTCATAGGGTTGCAGTTGTGAGATTGAAAACATTGTAACATGGATTTTAGCAACATATTTGGGAAGAAATAGGCATTTTTAGCCATAGCTGCAATAATGTAGCCCTCTCCGATTTTTTTTATCTGGTATTTTCAGGAGCCCTCTCCAAAAAAAAAAAATGATAATAAAAATGGGAGAGGGCTTCATTATTCCAGCTATTTTAGTCTCTATCAAGATGGTTTAGTTACTATCTCTATCTTATTACAGGCCAGAAATTATTTTTACTTAGTTTGATATCCTTTCACACTGTGACAGAATACATACATGTATCACTTTTGTATCCTTTCACACTGTGAGAGAATATCACTTCTATTATAAATAAATCACAGCATTTCACTGTTGAAAATGTACCGGTAATAAAACATGTTTTGTAATCTTCAGAAAATTCTTTAATGATCTATAAGCATATTTTGGATCAGAGGTTAGGCTTTAAGCAAAATATTTAACTTTTGGCCATTTTTGAAGAAATTTTCAGGATTTAAAAATAATGATGCATTTCATGACATCATAATACATAGACTAGCAAGAAAACTACGTAGAAAAAATTTCAAGTAGATTACAATGAGGTACATAATTCTGTATATCCATTTTTGATTTTGGTGAAGTGGTGCCATGGTTACAAAAAATCAAAATTTCTTTGAAATACCTTCAAAACATTCCTCCTCCTATAGTTTTGCTGTGGTATGCAAATAGACTACACTGAGATACACAATTGTCCAGGGGTTGAAATTTTCTTAGAAAACCCACTAGCCCAGGGGCTACTGATCAGTAAAAAATTACTAGCCCAAACCTCAAACTAACTATAGCCCAAAAATTTCTTATGCAAAACGAAAACATAACTAGTTAAAGTTTCAAACGCTGTGGTGATCGACAGAAACAAATTAATGAAACTACTATGTAGTTCTCATTGAAAAGAAATCAGTCTACATAGAAAAGTGAACGTTACACTGATGAGATTTTTTTTTTTTCATTTTACTAGTCCAATGGACTATTACAACATTTAAATTAGCTAGCCTGAGTCTTAAAATAACTAGCCCCGGGCATCGGGCTACTGTATATTTCAACCCCTGATTGTCTTTATGGTTTTTTGATTTTGATGAATATGTTGCCATGGTAACTAAAATCGAAATTTCTCTAAAAATTCTTTTAAAAGACTCCTCCTCCTACAGTTTTAGTCTGATTGCAATTCATCTTACCACAAAAAGAGAGTAAAACAAGGATTATTATTTATAAATTATACTTCCATGTAAATTAGTTGAATCTGATTCATCGAGAAACATTTGTTAAAAAACACTAATACCCGCTGAATGATGAAGCCACGCCCTCCAGCGTAGCAGCAGTCAACACTGCTTGACGACGGGTGTTATTCCAAAAAATAGTGACTGCGCAGAATTTATGCACCCAAGGTTCACTGTTATATGTAAACATTCAGTATAATATAATAAATATTGCATGTAGTTGAGTGTAACATTGAAAATTTTCACCCCTCGAAAACCATTGTCAACCTCGGCTGCACCTCAGTTGACAATGGTTTTCTTAGGGTGAAAATTTTCAATGTTACACTCAACTACATGCAATATTTATATATTATTGCTGTTGTAAAGTTTCAAGTTCAAATGCTACTTTTCTCTTCCTCTGTTATAAGTACAAACCAGTAGAGCTAGTCTCCACAGAGAATTCTTGTTTATAAAGTGCATCAAATTTGCTGTTTTATTGAAGCAGATTTAACCTCGAAAAACTAGTATATTTATCAAAAGGTAAAAAGAATTTCAATAATCAACAGTTGTTGAAATAGAGTTTATCTATATGAATAAAAAAATAATTTAAAATTTTTTTTTTTTTAAGGATAAGTAATAACAAGCATTCTGAGAGTATTGCATTAGCAATACTAGTCCCCTACCAGCAAGTGTAATCTGGTTCCTGTTAAATTGAAAATGCCATAATTCCGTCAAAAATCAGTGAAGCGGGACGAAATGCAAACTTGATCTATAACTAATCATGGTAAAGTCACATACCAAAAATCAGCCCAATATCTGAAAGTGTTTAGAAGATAATTGTGGAAAACCCCTAGAAATTGAAAAGGCCGTAATTCCATCAAAAATCAGTGAAGTGGACCGAAATGCAAACTTGATCTGTAACTCATCAAGATACACTCAAGTACCAAAAATCAGCTCAATATCTGCAAGCGTTTAGGAAAAAAGTGCAGAAAACCAAGTGGGACAGACTGACAGACAGACAGAGGGACAGACAGATGGACAGACAGACAGACGGACAGACTCAGAGGAAACCTAAAGTCCCGTCCGGTTTCACCGGTAGGGGACTAGAAATGTATTTACTTAACCATAAATTCTAGTGTTATGCTTAAGTACAAACCACGCTTTCTGAAAAGCACTTGGTTTCCATGGCAACGATGCGAAAAATTATTAGTCCCCTACCGGTGAAACCGGAGGGGACTATAGGTTTCCTCTGAGTCTGTCCATCCGTCTGTCTGTCTGTCAGTCTGTCCCACTTGGTTTTCCGCACTTTTTTTTCTAAACGCTTGCAGATATTGAGCTGATTTTTGTTATGTGAGTGTATCTTAATGAGTTACAGGTCAAGTTTGCATTTCATTCCGCTTCAATGATTTTTGACGGAATTACGACCTTTTCAATTTTTCAGGGTTTTCCGCAATTTTTTTCTAAACGCCTGCAGATGTTGAGCTGATTTTTGGCATGTGACTTAACCGTGAAGCGTTATAGATCAGGTTCGCATTTCATCCCGCTTCATTGATTTTATGGCATTTTCAATTTTTAGCGGGACCCAGATTACACTTGCCTGTAGGGCACTAGTATTGCTAATGCAATACTCTCAGAATGCTTGTTTTTTGCTTGCTTTTTTCTATCATACCCTTTGTTCTGATAATTTTTAGTCCCCTACCGGTGAAAACGGAGGGGACTGTAGGTTTTCTCTGAGTCTTACCGTCCGTCTGGCTGTCTGTCTGTCCCTCTGTCTGTCTGTCAGTCTGTCCCACTTGTTTTTATACGCCGGTCTTAAGACAGGACGTATTATGTTATAGCGTTCATGTCCATCCGTCCGTCCGTCTGTTAGCTTTTTCGTGTCCGGCTCATAACTTTAATACTATTAGGCATAGAGTTATCAAACTTTGTCAGCTGATGCATCTTTGGTAAAAGGTGTGTCACGCATTGAAAGTAGGTCGCTCTGACCTTTAATTAAGATGCTGTGGCCAAATATGGAAAAATCCTGTCCGGCTCATAACTAGAAAACTATTAGACTTAGAATCATCAAACTTGGCCAATTTATGCATCTTAGATAGAAGGTGTGTCGCGACCTATTTCAAGGTCACTGTGACCTTTAATTTAAGTGAAATTTTAAAAAAAAAATTTTTTTTTTACTATTAAATTACACAATCCCAAAAAATGTAGGAGTGTTGCAGTATCCATATTAAAAAAATGTTAAATCAAGAAAATACTTATTTTTTTCATTATATACTGTAGATTCCTAAATATACGCGAGGAATAAATTGTCGCGTAATTACGCGAGAAGCACCACTCGCGAAATAAAATTACTCGCTTTTATTTTTATGTTGCTTTAATGTATGTAAAATCTCTAGATAAAACACCCATTCGCGAATTATTGTTCTCGCGATTTGACGCCCTTGGGCCATTTCGCGATATTAAGTACTCGCGTAAAAAAAGGAATCTACAGTACTTTACAGCAATCTATAACAAATGTAATGTTATAAGAGAAATTCCACCTCTCCCATGGGTTTAATTATCAAGCACTGGTCAAGTAGAATTTTGATAACAGAAAATTGCATGTCAAATTAGAGAGAAATTAATGAGTTTAGTGTGAGGAGCTAACTGGTAGAGCATCTCTGATCAAGCAGGTGTTATCTATATCTCTTGGGACTGGGCAAATGTTGGATTAAATACATGTAGTTCTTGTTCACAGGCTAGCCTAACTTTTGAAATGAATTTGGTGAAAAGTAATTAAAACTAATTTGATATTGCATAATAATAAAATTTGTTGATATTTTATAATAATCTAATTAATTAAAACTAATTATACTTGGGGGGGGGGGGGGGTAATATTGAAATCAGCATGCCCATTGTCCATATGATTGCAGCTTAAAACCATCTAGTTTGACATTAAATCTAAAAAAATCAAGTATTTAAAAAAAATGTTTTAATTATGGTAGATAGCCACTACAAATCTAAGAGTCATGCAGGAACCTTATTAATAATGTTGCTTCAAGATGACACAAGTTTTTTTTTCTTTTTAGAAATTTTTGTAACAAATTTTTAAAAAATCTTTGTTTTCAAATTTAACTTCAGGATGACATAAATGTGCATTTTTATTGCACTACAAAGCAAATAGTGCAGATCCATTCATCCCTTGGGAGTAATGAATGGACATGCATCCAGTTAAAGATTAATTAATGAGTTCAATGTAGAAAGGCTAGCTGTCTCAATCATTTCTGTAAGAGCATCTCTGATCAAGCAGCTCTTATCTGTATCCTTTGGGAATTAGACAGAAGAACTGCTGGTCAGTTTATACATGTAGCATATGTCATTTGACTGCCAGCCTTTTTATTTTCAAAATTAATTTGGTGTAGATTAAGTTGTTAAGACTAAATTGATATTGCTTAATATGATATTTTTATATTTTTTTGAAAATATCAACTAGAGCATCATGTCTCACAAATATGAAAGATGTGTGTGTGTTTGGGGGGGGGGGGGGGCTGCAGATGGGCATTTGTCAAGCTCTAACACAACCAGTTGAGGATCTATAATGTAATATTTGTTAAAATTAATGCGTACACCACAGAAGATGTATAAACAAATATTATAAGGAATGGAAAAATCATGGAAGTCCTTGTACCGGTATCAAGGTTGACATGATTTTCTTGCACTCTAAACTGTTTTTGATAATTGAACAATATTTGATGGGCGTATCATGCTGTGGCGGGGCACTTTATTCCGCACTCTTTTTCTAAATGCTTGTAGATATTGAGCTGATTTTTGGTATGTTAGTGTATCTTGATGAGTTACAGATCAAGTTTGCATTTCATTACGCTTCAATGATTTTTGACAGAATTATGACCTTTTAATTTTTTCAGGGTTTATTCGCAATTTTTTTCTAAACGCTTTCAGATATTGAGCTGATTTTTGGTATGTGACTTTACCTTGATGAGTTATAGATCAAGTTTGCATTTCGTTCCGTTGCATTGATTTTTGATGGAATTATGACATTTTCAATTTTTAACGCGAACCAGATTACACTTAGGGGACTAGTATTGCTAATGCAATACTCTCAGAATGCTTGTTATACGAGTTTTAACCAAATTTATTTTTATGCCACTTTCCACATTTTTGTAACTAAATGCTCGATGCTTGCTGATTTTGACTCGTAACAACATCTTTGAAGGAAATGAAATTAATTTGTAAATCAATGAATTTTACATAGCATGTGCTGGGGAAAAAAATCTCTACCCAGCCACCTTGAAAAAAAATGGGTCAAAGTACATCAAAAAAAACTTTTAATGATGGCCTTATTTATTTATATTTTCAGTATCTTATCCTTCACTTGTTCACAATATTAGAAGATATTGTATTGCTGGGAATCTATCAACCAAGGGCTAGTAGAAGTATAGAAGTCAACAACGTTCAACAAGGTACAAATTTGCATTTTTTTCTAGAGCTGTATGTATGATAAATAATAATTGTATCCTTTTTCTTGCTTCAGTTGATTTCCAAACTAAAAGAATGAGATACAAGTGCTTAAATGTTGCAGGTCATGAAAAGAAATTTTCCCTGTAAATTGTACATGTATTCAAATAGATTTCAAAAAAAAAAAAAAACATTTATTCTAAGAGTTCAGTATGTTTTACAAACCTAATGCATATTGCACAATTCTTAGTACAGATAAAAAAAAATATGTATTAAATATATATTAATCTTTTAATCTGCTCTACATGCCATTAAAATTAATGCTATGTGATTTGGATTATCTGGAGTTAAACTGCATCAGTTTTATACATGCCTTTATTTTTTGGTAGTTGAATTATCATTTTAAAAGGAATCATCTCTGTTTTTGTTTTTTTTTTTTTATAAATTATGCTAAACAAAAGATAACATTTTACTGAATATTTAACATTGTATTTTTTTTTTCATTTTAATTTACCCATGCAGTTTTACTCAATAAACTGTACAAAAAGTGTACCTTTTCAAGTGAAAAAAAAATTGCTGTTGTTTTTTAATGTGTATACTCAAATTTTTCATTTAGATTATCTTCAAGGTAGAGAACTCCAAATTTGGGTCATTAAAATGTCAGAATATGTATATTTTTCAATTTTTCACAGAGTAAATATTTGTTCCTTTTTAGTCAAATTTCTTTGTATCTAATCAATAATTAATGTGTCTGTTTTCTCTTTTCATGCAGGTGTAAAAGATGAATACAGATTTAGCTTGGGGTATCCTTTTCATTGAACTAACCATTATTCAACTAAAAAAGAGTATTATTAAAAGTAAATTTTATTTAAAGTTGGTGCTCTGTACATTATAACAAGTAACAAATATTACAAAATAAGAACTAAATAAACCTAACTTTATTATATCCATTAATAATTTCTTTGACTGTGATAAGCATGGTTATCACTAACTTGATCCTGAAGCCCTTGACTGCATTCCTTCTATGGAGAATATACCAGGACAGAGGAGGGAGATTCTCGGACTTTAATTTCCCCAACCTCCCACAATTTGGTAAGAAGCTTTGTATGTCATCATCATCAGGTTTTAACTGACAGCTTTAATAGATCATGATTTCCAACCAAGGTCATTTAGTTAAGGTTAAGGTTAGAGAGATTGAAAGTAGAAAGTTCCTGTTCAGAGCTGGATTTTATATTGGAGGAACTGAAGGATGTTAATAGACAAATTAACATTTTGCTGGACTAAAGATGAGACATTTGAATAGAGTGAAGATGTATTTTAATTTATTTTAATTTCTTGATTTTCGGATCTCCATATTTACTGGGGAGGATTAGTATCAAATATCTTTTATCTGATTAGGTATGGGAACATAATTATTAGAATTGTACAGTAAAACACTGTTACAGTCAACACACTTATAATGAATTCACATTTACAGCAAAGAGATTATGAATTTATTGGATATATATAGGATCTCCCCATGATTTGTGGTTGGATACTTTTATCCAATGAGGTGTGTGTGTGTGTGTGTTTTTTATCCCTGAGCCTTGATGAGGGGATAAAAAACACAACATGATGGATAAAAATCATATCTAACCACAGATCATGGGAGATTCTTTTCATCACATGTTTTTTACATTACTCTTAATGTTTTACACTGATTTTATATATGAATCACATTATTTTACTTCATCACTTTCATGCAAAACCCATTGTGATGTCACAGCAGTGGGATATGAAAAAAATATCCAATGAGTGATATCCACGAGATAAAGGAGTAAACATGATAAAACAAATTATGTTTATAATGAGTTGAAGTTGTTCATCCCTGGCACTTAGCTATGAGTTCTTTACTGTACATGTTTTCAGATCTGTACAAAGTGCAAAACAAAATCAAACTAGTGCTAATTGTAACGGGAACCGTTACGGATGTTCCCCAAACGGCTCCCCAAATCCCTTATGATGCCCCATTTTCTACAAGCTTAAATAAATTAGAGAATACTTTTGTAATATAGATGGACACTTTATTTTTAAGGGTATTTCATTGGAAAACTACTCCGATATAGCCATATGGGTATTAGCCAATCAAATTTCAGCGCATGTGCTTGCACATGTTTTCTACATTTTTCACTTTAATTTTCTTATAGTGTCTCACAATACATACAGTTGTGTTAAATATTAAAGAATTTCATTGAAAAATAAGAGAGATGTAACCCTTTAAGTATTAGCCAATCAGAATTCAGCATACGCACATGCAGGTCCTTGCATTCAATTTTGATAGTATTATAATGTAGGAGCTCTATGTGCTTATCCATGTCATAAATTTCATCCTGTTTTGTTGAAAACCAAGGGAGTTATAGACATTTAAAGTTTCAACCAATCAGATTGCAGCACACCTGCATGCGCGTGTTTTCAAGAAATTTCCTATATAACATGTTGTAGCACCTTATAATATATACTTATATTCTAAATTTCAAAGTATTTTGTCATAAAACAAGGAAATTATTGAGATTTTTGTATCAGCCAATCAGAGAAGAGCGCACGTGCATGCGCGTGAGTTCACGCTAATTTGACCATGTTAACTTGTCTAGACTACTAATGTATCTTTATATTTTGAGTTTCAAAGCAATTCATCAAGAAATACCAAAGTTACGGCTTCATCAAGTATATCAGTCATTTCACTCATTGCACGCGCGCGCACGTGCATGCATGTGCGCGCAAAATGACCTTCGTTCCGAACACCTACACAGCATGCCTATTAACCCTAAAAAGGTTTCATGTCAATCGGATGAGTGGTTCTATGAGAACACTCGCGGACAAAAAAGTACCGGAGAAGAAAGTAGAAAAAAAGAATAATAATAATAAGAAACAGAGTAAAAACAATTTGTTCCCAAACTTCGTTTGGGGAACATAATGAATACTTTTCATTGTGTCATCACTTAAATTTGCTATACATGTACTTGCATTATAATTGTTTTGTAGCTCCCAAATCATTAAGGAATTTGTTACTGTTTCTCCATACCATGTGCACCTTTGGCCAAAGCTTTTGATCAATGATAGATTAATAAACCTATAATGGTATTCAGAAAATCTCCATTGACCCAATAGTTTTTAGGTCACCTGAGTCACTCAAGTGATCTATTGCTATCTGTTTTTGTCCTTCATCATGTGTTGACATTTAAACATGTCCAGCTTCTTCTTTGGAACAGCTAATTTAAACCAATTTCAACCAATTTAACATAAAGCATTTATGGGTAAAGGGGAACAAAAATTGTGAAATTCATGGCCCCCACCACCCTGGGGCCTGAGGGATGGAACAAAACCATCAAAATTAATGCAGTCTTTAAAAATCTCCTTCTTTACTCCTGGACATCAAGCAGTCAAACTGTTGGCATGATTGTAATAAGCATTGATCCCTCTTCAAAAATTGTGAAATTTATGGCCCCAGGGTCAGGGGTTCTGGAATTAGGGTGGGGCTCTTTTGATCATAGAGAGATTCTTTGAGAATCTTCTTTTCTGCTCCTGGGTTACAAGCAACCAAACAAAGTGCTTGGTTTAGATGAGTAAGGGTTCCAAAATTGTGAAATTCATGGGCCCTGGGTCAAGGCTTCTGGTATTCGAGTGGGACTGTATTGATTATTTAGTGAAAATGCATTAATTCCTTGAAAATATGCTGCTCTGCTCCTGGGTATTAAGCAAACAACCTAAGTGCATGATTATGATGTGCAAGGGTTCCTCTCTCAAAATTGTGAAATTCATGGCCCCTGGGTCAGGGGTTCGAGTGGGAATGTATTGATTATTTAGTGAAAATGCATTAATTCTTTGAAAATCTGCTTCTTTGTTCCTAGGTAGTAAGCAAACAAAGTGCATGATTATGATGAGCAAGGGTTCTCCCAAAATTGTAAAATTCATGGCCCTTGGTCAGGGGTTCGGTTGTTAGGAACAGGCTCCATGCACAATATAGTGAAAATGCATGATTTCTTTGAAAATGTTCTTCTCTGCTCCTGGGTAATAAGCAAACAAATTAAGTGCATGGTTTAAATACTTGATTGCACAGGTGTCTTTTTCAAAATTGTGAATATTGTGTCCCCTGGGTCAGGGTTTCAGATGTCAGGGTGGGACTCTGTTGATCATATAGTGAAAATGCTTGATATCTTTGAAAATGTTATCCTCTGCCTCTGGGTATTAAAGAGAAAATTAATGCATGGTTAAGATGAGCAAGGTGCATAATCCAATGTTGTGAAATTCAAAGCCCCTGGGTCAGGGGTTCTAGTGTTACAGTGGGACTCTATTGATTATATAGTGAAAAAACATTAGTTCTTTGAAAATATTCTCTGCTCCTGGGCATCTAGGAGGCAAACAGAGGACAAAATTTAATGAGTAGAGGTGTTTGTCCTAGATTTGTGAAACTCTGGACCACAGGGTTAAGTCTTTTTGTGTTTTGGGGGGACAGGACTCATGTAGGGAAATTTGTACTCTATTGAGAGAAGTTATTTCCCTTGGCTTTTTGCCTGTGATAATTTATCATATAAATAATGTTATTAATGGGTCAGTTGAATAAAAGAATTCAACAAGAATTACTTTCATAGTTTTTAATGTCTAGGTAGGCTTGTAAGTAATAGATAAATAAGTAGAGTGTTCCAAGGCATGCAAGTGTCGCCTGCTTTGTAGCTTCATTAACGATGTACATGTAAATAAATCTAAGAGTGGTCAGCTTTTTGTTTACTATTAGCCTGATAGTTCATGATGCATTTGCCTGCAAAGAAAAAATGGCATCCATGGATAGTATAAGATTGTGATAGAATCTGACAATCAAAGAAAATATGGTTCCCTAACCCTCAAATGAACAATTAAATTGAAAATATTAGAAATAACTATTTATCATTTTATTCATATGTGTTTCCATTAATTCCCCAAAAGAGATTTCAGTCTGTCTTTACTGCAATTGTCTACACGATCTATTGTGGAATATTGATCCCGATATATTTTCATATTGTTTAAATATAAGTTTGGGTGGTAACTGAATATCATACAGTTTCAAAGTACAGTATCATGAGCTCAACATGTTTCCAACAATCCTCCAAAAGAGATTTCAGTCTGTCTTTACTGCAATTGTCAATCTACACGATCCATTGTAGAATACTGATCACGATGTATTTTCATAGGTATTAAAATATAAGTTCATATGGTAACTGAGTATCATACAGTTTCAAAGTACGGTATCATGAGCTCATAAACATGTATAAATGCTAATTATCAAAATCCTGCCTCTCAAAATTCAAAAGTCATAAGTTAAATTAAAGTGCCCGTGGTATTTTTTGCAAAGTAGGTCAAAGGTTAAGGTCAAGTGGATTGTAATGCTGGTATTTTTCATAATGTCTTATGACAAAAAGTGCACATGCTAAATGGTGTAGATTTACCTCTTAAGGTCACAGGTACTTGTGGACAGGATCCCCCCCCCCACAGGTCAAAAAATATTTTCATGTATTTTTTTCATAAATTATTCTTCTAGTACACATTTACAATGTATTCCATAAGAAAAATCCAAAAAATAACGCAGAATTAACGTTTTACTAAAAAATCATACCCGCGGTATTATAAAATAAAGAAGGTAAGTCACTTCCATTTGTTTACACTTGACCCCTCTTGGATATCAGGCCCGAAATATCATTTACCTAATACATGTCACCAAAATGTGTCATGATATCTTGTTTCGGTAGATATTTTTGTCTTTAATCGTGCTATTTAATTGCCCAGGCATTCCATAATAATCCGAGTATTCATCATCAAACGTGAAAAATGCTACAAGATTTGGAAATGTCAAAGTAGAAATTACGGAAGTGATGCAAAAACGACACCTAGCGTGTAACTCTCGAGTTCCGAGTTTTATAGAACTAAGGGAAAAGTCAGAGGTCTACGAAAAAGTTCGGGAAAATTTTGATAAAGAAGTTGAAATTGATTCATTAGAATTAAATTCTGCTTAAGATTTTCGAGATGAGCGAGGGTAGTCGTCAATATTCCCTTTAAAGGATGTTATCACTGATACCAAATAGCGGTTTAAAAATCGCTTAAACATTTATTTACAACTTACAAGACATGTACCCCCCCCCCCTTTCCCTTCTACATGGACATGCTTGCAATTAATTCCGATAATATTAAGCTTAATAATTATGTGTATTTTTTTAATATTCTTTTGAGATGATTATATTTTGCCAAGGAATTTAAGTGTGAGTCTTTCCAATATAATTCTTAAGAATGAAAATCAGAACCCCATTTTTTTTTTTAATTTTCTTGCTCTTCTTTACTTTCACGTCGCACTGCTGAGTTTATTTCTGGCCTTGATTACATATATATCAAGCTGCTAACTTCTATAAAATAAAGACTTTTAAAAAAGTTCTTTAGGTACGTCTTATCTAACAGTCACAGTTAGATAATTGCCATAGGCGTCGGAACGGGGGGGGGGGGGGCTTAGGCCCCCCTCCCCCACTTTTTTGCAAAGATATACATAATATAGGCATTGAAAATTGGGGCTTACCTTTTTTCATTGGTTTAGCCCTCCCCCTTTCAATTAGCCACCCCCACTTTTAATTTGCTTCCGACGCCTATGATTGCAACTTGTATTACGCACCTTTTGACGTTTAAATATTGCATGGGTTGTACAACCATTCATCAACCGGTCAATTGTTTTTCTCCAACACTGTAACTTGTAATGCCATGCACAGCCCCCGTCCCCAAATTAATCAATATTGATTATACATGTAGTGAATTCATAACAAATGGAAAAAAAAGATTTTTTGTACAGTTTTAAATAATCACATTTCTGTCTTTACTTATTTTTAAAACTAGTTTATCATTCTAAATATTATATTTACTACCACATTAATTTAACGGATATCCACCTTTCCGCAGAAACAATTTAATGAAAATTCCATATCCACGCAGAAGGGGAAGGCGGCCGAGGTGGTGTGGGGGGGGGGGGGGTTACATGTAAGATATTATAATGTTTAAGCGATTTTTAAACCGCTATTTGGTATCAGTGATAACATCCTTTAAAGGGAATATTGACGACTACCCTCACTCATCTCGAAAATCTTAAGCAGAATTTAATTCTAATGAATCAATTTCAACTTCTTTATCAAAATTTTCCCGAACTTTTTCGTAGACCTCTGACTTTTCCCTTAGTTCTATAAAACTCGGAACTCGAGAGTTACACGCTAGGTGTCGTTTTTGCATCACTTCCGTAATTTCTACTTTGACATTTCCAAATCTTGTAGCATTTTTCACGTTTGATGATGAATACTCGGATTATTATGGAATGCCTGGGCAATTAAATAGCACGATTAAAGACAAAAATATCTACCGAAACAAGATATCATGACACATTTTGGTGACATGTATTAGGTAAATGATATTTCGGGCCTGATATCCAAGAGGGGTCAAGTGTAAACAAATGGAAGTGACTTACCTTCTCTATTTTATAATACCGCGGGTATGATTTTTTAGTAAAACGTTAATTCTGCGTTATTTTTTGGATTTTTCTTATGGAATACATTGTAAATGTGTACTAGAAGAATAATTTATGAAAAAAATACATGAAAATATTTTTTGACCTGTGGGGTATATTCGGGGGGGGGGGGGGGGGGGGGGGGGGGGGGGGATCCTGTCCACAAGTACCTGTGGGTCAAAGGTCAGGAGGTTAGTAACCATGGTAATTTATGAAAGTCATAGTGCCAAGTGCCAAGCAATATATGTCCATAATTATATCAAGCCCATACCTCTTACAGATCTCACGATATAGGTTGTAACAGAGGGACAGACAGATAGGTAAACAAACGCCTGATAAAGTGATCCCTACGTGATGCTTTGCAGGTGACACAAAAATGAGACAAAAATGCCATATCTTTATACATTAGATATTCTTCAAAGACCAAGAGAGGCTATTGTAAGAGAATACCATGGGTCCGTATAAGTGCTTAAGTTTAATTGCATAGATAGTGACAAATGGGAGTTTATTTGCACTGGCAAGTACAGGCAAGTAAGATGATCTACTTTATGATTTGTTACTGAGTAACTTTTTTGTTCATCCCTGATCATCAAATTTCCCCTGCTTTTGGGCAACATATCTTATCTATCAATTTATTTTGATTTATTTAATACTTCTATGGATTCTTAACAGTGTTGTATTATACTCGGGTGACCATATAGGCCCTTGGGCCTCTTCTTTTAACTTTGCCATGTGCTAATTTGTGTTACAAGTACATGTTTGTGTGCTATGTGTGTTACAAATACATTATAATGGTATGATAGGATAAAGTGTGTATGTATCAAAGTAAAAAGATTGTTAAGATGCACATACAGTGCATATAAAGTACTGAAATAACATTATTGTGAATGTTATAGGAGGCAGTCCCCCTGGCCAGGGTAACTATGAGAATATAGATCAGCCAGTTCCAACTAACAATGTAGAGACAGCATCATCAAACATAGAGAAACCACATCAGTAACTAAACAACAGACCATCAGGTGTCACAGGAGTGAATCAGTCACTCACTAGTCATAGCTAAAACCAGACTAGCTAACTTTACAGACATTACAGCTAAGATCAAACCAGTTAACAGCTCAAACCAGACCACTTAACTAAAAGCCAAACTATTAGAGCTATAACAAACCTAACATTAAATTTTAAAACAGTTTACTATAGTAGTCCTTATGTACATGTAATCTATTCAAATGCAAACAGTTCATAATACTACATATTCACTGGATTTTAAGCAGTATTCACCAGAGAGTCAGTGCGTGTGCAGCAGCATTGTGACGTCACAATCAATACCTCAAACAACGTTGAAAACAGTGGTTGCAACAGCCATAGCCGGATGTGTATTTGAGCAGGAAAAATGTTAGGCAAGTTTATCCCAGGATTATTTTCTGAACAATTTGATGGCTTCCATACAGCAAAAGAAAAAACAAAGAAGTTACAGGTTGTTATCTGGACTTTTTCTTTTTTCTACGACAGAAGTTTGTTAATGGAAATGGTATCGTCATGCAGCCTTCAATGTCTTACTCATTCAAATCCTGACTATATAATTAAACAATTATGGACTCTTTTGGTTGTGAACATGGTTTCAAATTGTTTCACACCAGAGACTTTGGCTTCCCCTCGGTCAATATTTTTCTGATGAATAACAAACCATATTCACTACCGAAAGAGTCCATAATTGTATAATACTAAATGAAACCACAGCATTACAGCTGAAAACCAAACCAGTTGACTAATATTCACCTTACACCATAAACCAAGATTTAAAACTTGCACCAAAATAAAACTAAATCAATACGTGTAGCTAACACCAAGTCAGTAAAGCCCAATCCAAATTATTGACCTTTGGCTTTTGAAAATGGATTATATATGTATGGGGTTTTTTTTTGCACCACCATGAATAAGGCTGGGGCATATAGTGTTTGTCATGTCCACCTTCCGTCTTCCGTCCTTCCATCTGTTCATCTGTCACACTTTACATTTAGCCCAGTTTGAAAAATTTTAATCCATACATTGATACAGATTGGTGAGAGCTTTTGAAGTATATCATAATTTTTTTAAATTGATGTTCCCTGTGACCTTGACTTCACATATAATTTTCTGACCTTGACTTTTCTTTGACCTTGACATTACTTATCTTTTTTTTGCATTTAGCTCAGTTTCAAAATAACTTTTCAAGATACATGTATCTCATACATCAATACATATTGGTGGGAAATATTCAAGTATGTCATAATTTTCTGACCCTGACCTTCCCTATGATCTTGACCCCCACTATTCCTCATTTTACATTTATCTTAGTTTAAAAGAACTGTTTAAGATATTTTCACAGAACTCCAAACAATGATACATGTTGATGGGAGATATTCACTTGTGTCAAAATTTTCTGACCCTGACCTTATTTATGACCTTGACATCACTATTAATTAGTTTGCATTTAGAGCAGTGTAGAAGAAACTGCCCTTTTTATTTTCATCAAAACTTGATAGGAGCTTTTCAACTGTGTAATAAATTTTTGACTTTGACCTTCCCTATGACCTTAACTTCAATTTTCAAGGTATTTTCAGAAACTGCCCTTTTTATTTTCATCAAAACTAGTACACTGATACATATTGATGGGAGCTTTTCAACTGTGTAATAAATTTTTGACTTTGACCTTCCCTATGACCTTAACTTCAATTTTCAAGGTATTTTCATTAACTTTATACTAAGTTACATATTGGTTAGAGCAATTATATGCTGTCATAATTTTTTTTTTACCCTGACTTTCCTTAGGACTTTGACCCTCCTATGACCTGAATACCACTTTTAAAGATTTTTTAATTAAATTTCATATGACTTGCTGTGGTACATACATGTACTGGTGAGGGCAATTCAGCTGTGTCATTTTTAGTAGACAAATAAAGCGTGTTTTCATGTCGCAATACAAATGTACCATGTGCGAGGCATTCATGTTCTGTGAACATATTGCTAGTTAAATTTCAAAAATGTGTTTATTCCTCAAATACTTTCTTTTTGTGATTTAGTTTTGTGTAAAGAATTATCTCTGTTCTTGTTCATCAATGCAAAAATCATGAAAGGACAAATTAAGACATTTTTATTTTGTGTTTGTTTAGTGTGTCCAAATTTAGGAAATACCCTACAGTGTGATCCAATTGATAAGGTTAAAAAAAATTGAAAGTCAGTTTCAAAATTTCAAATTCCTTATTACGATAAGGTATGTATGTATTTATGTGACATATGGACTGCCATGATTTTTTTAACATTGAGGGTACATTGTGCAACCATAGATATTTCACATATTAAGCTGTGGTAATGGTGTAACCGTTTGAAATTTGAAGTATTCTACTAGGTATTTGCTCCATGTTTTCTTTTGCACTTAAATTTTAATACACTTTCTTTTTATTGGGATTACATGTATTTCTTCCAAGATAAGGCATGTAAGGGGTAGTATGGTTTATGCTATTATGACTATCCTGTGACTTTACTTAAACTTGATGTTCATTTTATAATCAGGTATCATCCCATAATTTGTGTGCATAATCATAAGTGCAGGACTATAGCACTCTATTGACCATTTATAGGTTAAACTAGTCCATTGATTCTCATCCCTTCTTCCTTTCATAATGCTTGTGTGGGTACATGTGAACATTCCAGTTTTTTAATGTATGCCAGTGACTGTGAGGCTACTGAAATTTAGATGTTTGCTAAGAATATGCCTTAATATGTTATAGTGGATTATTGAATGTTTTTTTACCTATTAATTGTTGTTACAAGATATTGATGTGCAATATTCACTGGTCAGTGTAAATGAAATATGCTTTATAATTTGATATCCCTTATATATATTCTGTTATTATATTTTACATTTTGTTTAAACATTTGTAAAAGTAAATTTCATGTAATATCTACATTCCTCATTATACACTGTATGAAGCAATCTTGTTTTAAATCTTTTTTGTAAATATTGATGTACATTTTTCAGCATTCCATCATTGAATAATCTTTTAATAAAGAAAAGTACTTCTTCTGTGTTAATATTATTGGGAAATTTGTTTTTCAGTCTCTTCATTCATTGCATACCTAAGTTGGCAACCAAATGACTGGTTCAAAGTTCTGAAGAACTACAAGAATAAGTTCATGTACAAGTTATCACTTCAAATCTTGTTTCTCCTGGATACTATATGTGTATGGTATCATATCCCCTAGAGATGGATAAGAGAGTATATTGGCTCATCATACAACAAAATCTGGCATAGCATCGAATTTGGCTCCCAACCAAATTTTGAACTGGGCTTAACTTTGACCTCTGTAAAAAAAAAATTGCCTCAATGAATTTTTTTTTTTTTTTTTTTTTTTTTTTGGAATTTGATTGATTTTTATAAGTTTTAGTTTTCCAAAGTTACAGCAAATAAATAATGATAATTCTTTTCTTTTTTTTTTTATTATAAGAAAATAATAGAATTTATTGGTTCTGTTGTTTTCATGGACTTTATTGGTTACTTGTTTAGTAATATTATTCTCAAAAGCTGTGCTCTTTTCCTAAAATGCTTGCTTCTGGGAAATATTAAACAAACTATCTTCATTTGACAAAATTTTCTATCTCATGGGGTATTCTATTGTCAATTTTTTCTTTAACATAATACATCAAGGGCAAATCTAGGAATTTTCCCGGGGGGGGGGGGGGGGGCTCAATATACAGTTACCACTGAAATTCCTTTCATTCAATGACAATATCCACCCTGGGTCACATGCTCATTATAATCTTGCAAAGATGTCCATGAATAAGAGGATGTAATGTATTTTCAGCATATGTCGTACTTGGATTAAGGGGTCATGATTTCAGAATTTTGGAAGAGATGTAACTGCTCGTTATAATCCTACAGTGTGCGTGCTAGGTGTCCCAGGGAGATTTTGGAAGACTGGATGAAAGTTGCCAAACCTCGCTTTCAAGATCCAAGCTGGTGAAATGTTGGGGAGATAAATTGCATTATTTTTGTTCCCCTTAATCCATAGAAGCTACACACAAAATTTTGTTGAAATAAAGTCAACCATTTCGGAGAAGAAGCTGAAAATGTTCTAAATGTTACGGACAACGTACGAAGGCTACGGAAAACCATAAAAAATAGGTCACATAATTCAGGCGCCCTAAAAATAATTGACACATTTCGATGAAAAAAGGGGGGAGGGGTCTGGATGTCCTTGGAATTTTCAGAGTTGTTAAATTTCCATGTAACGAAAAAAATGGAACCCCCCCCCAAAGACTGTAAGGAAGGAGAGTCATGTATTTGAAGAAAGTTGACTAAGGAAAGTGTCTTCTAACCTCTCCCTCCCCCCCCCCTCCCCCCCCCCCAACACTCATCACCACCAAACACAAACGAAATATGTATTTTAGGTTTGTTTACTTTTTCGGTCAACAGATTTCCCACCCTGACATGTGCGGTTAGGGGGTATGTGGGATATTGCATTAATTATACCTAAAATGTAAGTAAGATAAGTCAAAAAAATGATCCAAAAATCTTAAAACCTGAGAGCTTTCAGCGACTGGGCCCCCACCCGATTCCCAACGGCCTTCCCCCTTTTTCAAGAAAGCTGGATCCGCCACTGATATGCCCCCCCCCCTTTGGAAAAAAAATTCTGAACCAGCCCCTGAAGAGTACTTGGTCAGATGACGCAGACACTTCAAGGAGGAATTCGAACTCGAATAAATGAATTCTTTTTCCATATCAAACAATAACCATAGGGTAAGAAGAAACACTCTATAATGTTTCCAGCAACTGTCATGTTTCATATTTCTAGCATGCCAACATGAAGTGGCTGCACATTCCTGTAACAGGTATACTGTCGATGTTATTTGCTCCTTGGGGAGCTTAATTTCAACAGAACGTTTGTTGTTTTCTACAGAATGTTTGTTGGTTTACATGCACTTTTTTCTCTTTGAAACAAAGGTGAGTATCTTTGAAATAAGTGACTGCACATTCTTAGTTTCAGCAAGAAGTTGATGTTTGTTTACGGAACTAGCTCAGTATCAATCGTTTTTTTTTTTTAAATGTTCATGCTTCTTCATTTATGGAATTAAAGAAAAACTGCATGGCGAGTTCTATAAAAGTCCTAAAAACGTTTATTTCATGGGGACTGGATTGTTTATGGCAATGGTAAAAGGGGGAGGGATAAATAATAGGAGTGAAACGGTTCACCGCGGTATCGATTCACCGCGGTATTTTTTCTCGGTTTGATACACGGTGCAAAATCTCTAATTTTCGGTTCGGTTCATTTTTCGATCGGGATCGTTATTCAGTCGGGTTTGGCATAAGGCAAAACACGTTACTCAGTATAAATAAGTATAGAAAACGTAAATTTTTGATGACTGATAGCTTGTAAAATAATTTTTGACAGTCAAATAATTTTAATCAATTTCTTCTAGTCAATTTGCAAATAAAATTCGTAAAATATGTGACTAGATTTAGAAGAAGAAAGCATAAAACAACGTTGAATTTGTTTCCTTCTATCAAAATGTATCGTATCGAAAATAACCGAACCGAGACAAAATTATACAATACGTATCGAACCGTGAGGGAGATGTATCGTTTCACCCCTAATAAATAAATCATAATGGTAAGAAGGTGAGGGGATCTCTTGAACTGATTAAAACGAATAAAATTTTGAATCATATTTTTGATCATGGCGATCACTGGATGAAGGACTTAGTGGGATGAAATTCATGACTTCTTGGTCCAGGCTACACACACTGTTTCTGTAATAAATTTTTGTAACCCATAGTATAATAATAACGTACAATTATTGAGGTCAGAACGATGATTTAGACACCTGAGGAGTACAATATTCACCGAGCATGGTGGGCGAGGTGAATATTGTACTTCGAAGGTGGCTAAATCATCGTACTGGCCGAAAAAACAACAATAATTGTTTTATTATATGATTAAATGATTAAATGACACAAACTCATTAAAGCAATACATGCCATTTTACTTGTTTACATTTACTGAGGTACTAGCCAAACACAATGAGAGAAAAAGGGTTAATTAAAATGAACATTTTAATAGTTGTATTATTTTCGAATTTTAATGTAGAAAAAATAAATATCAGGCGCGCATTCGGGTTCGATTTCGAAAAGAGGGGGAGGGGCATTATAAGGGGGGAAATGACAGCTTACCTGAAAAAAAATCTTTGACTAGCTCCCCTCCCAAAAAAAGAGGAGGATTCTCCTAAATCAAAATTTTATTTGGTGGGATGTTAAGATCCATAAACGGGGTGAGGGGCTTTCATTGAACATTTTTATCCTTAAAATTTAAATTATAAATTTACCTTCTCAAAAAAAGGTGGAGAGAGGGGCAACACTCCCACTCCCACACCCATCTTTTACCCAAGATTCTATGTGTCTTAAAAGTTATGTTCATATGAGTGGAAGTCAGGTGCAAGTGAAATAACTTTTCAAAACTATTTGTATCAATTTGAAATTTTCCAATCTATTTTCAGTCTAATGTTGAGAAAAAAATAAATCCTTATATTTACCTAGAAGGTCACGTGCAGGTGAATATAACGTAGTATTTTTTCTACAATGTTGGATCTCAACCAATCAGAGAGATAGGAATTATTCAATCATATAATAACACTTATTATTATACTATAGGTTGAAAAATACAAATTCATTTTCAGAGTACTTGTGTGTAGAATCAGAATCGTTTTTAACAAAGTTAGTTGATATTATATGAAAATTCGTGAGTTCCATTCCTATTAAAACAGTTATCTATGATGTCAAATACCCTGGGCCATGTTTTTCCAAAGAACTTAAGACTATGACCAATATTTACTTTTGCAGTTTATTTAATTCTTTGCAGTAAGGACCCTCTATATACCAGTGCAAAATGTTTTTTAGGACACTGAGAAAATTATATCGTATAAATATGTAAATATTGAGGTTATATAATATATATTTAATTTTCAATGTATGGCATTTACCCCCAGGAAAAATGTTCAAAGACAACAAAGTATCAATGAACAGAAATCACTGTTGTTTACTTCAGTGGAGAAAATGGATGCAAATAAATGTTCAATTAATTTATCTTTGCCTTTTGAAATGTTTAGAATGCTTGAATTGATCACAAATTGAGCAAAACACTGTAGATCTCAATTTATTTGAATTAAGATCTAAGGGCAGATCACTCTAACTGTAGAATAAAGCCACAGAATCAGAACTCTTTAGTGTGCACTATAGAGAGGGTTCTTAGTAAAATTGTGATTCTCATGAAATAAGAAGATTGCAGTTTTGTTATTTAATATAATCTCTTAAAATTGTCCTGTTTAAAGTTGGTGAGATTACTCTGTGATATTTTTGGACTTAGTCGTACGTTCTTTCGTAAAACAGGGCCCTGGTTTTCAATTGGTCGTGGGGAATAATGGTATAAAGTGTAGAGGTTTAATTAACAGCAAGTATATACATTGATGTTAACCGATACATGACAGAAAATTTCCTTTATATTGATCAAATGTAAAAAGACTTCGTAATGTGTCGAATTAGGGGTGTTTTTGGCATATACTCCCACGTTCTTCGTCAAGTAACTGGCTTTCAAGACTTATGTATTACAAGTTATGTTTGTTATTTAATTGAGAAATTGAATAAAATTAGTAACATTTAAAATAATTACATTCGTGTATAACTGATAACGTGTAATCAATGCACTGTACATGTATATACTATTACAACGAAGTGGTCATTGCAGATGTTAAATTAATATTTAATTGTTTCTCATCAATAAATTTCAGCCCCTGGCAATGGACGAAAGTGGTGGCACTTTGTAAATTATCATGATAACTGGTGCTCGGTTCACATAGCGAACACATTCCACGATAAAATGGCTGAACCTGGTCCGTACGTAGCAAATTTTAACATACGTAGATGGACAGTAAATCAAGACGACTCTATTAATAGCACTTTCGACGTTTGGGACAAAATACTAAACTTGGACGAGGAGTTTGATTCCTTCGTCTTGCACCCCTGGGCCTGGGTAGAGGCGGATCTAACAATCCCATTTTACGTGTACGTTTTGCCAGTCCTGGCGCTCCTGACACTATGTTCGAACACTCTTATGATCACCGTGTTCGTCAAGGAGAAAATGTTTTCGTCGATAAACATTCTGATGATAGCTATTGGTATTTCTGATACTTTACACGTGATCTTGCCATCTCCTTTCTTACTTGCGTTGTATTTTTCGGACGTCTCTCCATTCATCCCTAACCATTACTGTCGATTGTGGGATTATTTAGCCAAGTATATTCCAGAAATAACGCACACGTCGTCAATATGGCTGACCGTTTTACTCAGTTTCCATCGCTACATCGGTGTGTGTTATCCTTTCTATATCAGACAAATCTCGACAAGAAAGAGAAGCGTTTTGTGTGTTATAGCAGTATATTGTTGTTCTTCAGTGCTTCATTTCTGTCGGTTTGTGGACACGACGTATGTTGATTTTCATGTTGTATGGGGAACAAAAGACATTTTCACTTGCAAGGCGGTGCATACCGATTGGCTAAAAGGATACGAAGTTCTGTATGAATGTATCTACTACTGGAATTGTATTGTACTAATCAAGGTCCTCCCTCTGTCCATCGTGGTGACGTTAGATTTTCTCATGGCTAGGCAGCTACTTCGTGCCGATAATAAACGGCAGCGTTTTCTATCGGAGAACCAGACCACCAAAGAGAGTCGACGTGTGACGTGGATTGTTATTGCTGTTGCCGCCATCTTTTCTTTGGTGGAGATTCCAGTAACGATCATACTTATCCTGTGGACACTCTCCATGGTTCATGACAAAATGTACGTGTCGGAAGTGAAACTGGGGGAACTGAGCGTCATTTTTAACATCATTATCTACATATCATTCCCGTGTATTTTGTTTCTCTATTGTTTGATGTCTAGGAAATTTCGTAAATACTTGCCGTGTTTATCTCTGAAACTTACTATTGTAAATAAGTTCCAAAAAGCAACTCCAGAATCCAACGATACCGAATGTTGATTCTTATTTATTTCTATCTTCGCATACAAAATGTTCCATAGTTGTAAATATTGGAGTAAATCATAGACACTGGTGGTTGTGTTTTAATTTTGGTTATTAAGAGGTTAAAAGATACCAGGGACCTATATACTAGGTCCCTGAAGATACTAAATAAATTCTCCGTACAGTATAAGATAAGGGTGTGTATTTTGACTCGTGCAATTAAGGACCAGCACCTGATTCAACAACACACACATTGAAATCATCATGTCACAATTCAGAAGTCAACAAATTAAAATAAAACATTAATTTAATCCTACATTGAAATGCATAATTTCCTTCTTTTTGGCTTTATACCAATAGTTTTATAGCACAATTTTAAGAAGTCTTTGAAAAATATACAATAATTCTTTACAATTGATATCTGATATTTCTTAAAGAAGTAGATAATGGTGTCTTTGTGATTTTCTCTGCTTTTAGTCAGGTAAAGTTCTCTCTTGTCCCGTGCTAAGATGATCTGTTGTTCTTCTAATTGGGCGGTAATTCATTTGTTACTTGTGGAAAACAGAGCTAGAAGACCAGCAGCTAGTCCAACAGACATCAAATAGTTACTAACCTGAGTTAAGGACAACTCTGTTCATTAGATGATAAATCTAAAAATTCTGTTCAAATATTAGTTTACAGTGTGTTTTTATTTATTTTTGTTCATATTTTATGAACTTTCATATGATTTTTCTTTATTCCTTTGTCACTCACATGCAAATGATTCAAATAAAACAATGTATGGAGTGCTGTGTCAATTTTACTGAGAGACTGAAGCTCACTGGACACATCTCCAACAAAAATGAGGAAGTGTAATCAGTGATCAAAGAAGAGAGTAAAATTAGAATTTTGAATAAAATACTGAGTTTATCTCTTTTTTTTACAGTTCAATTCTAAAGGAATTTGTTAATCCTTAATGTCCCTGTACTGTCCAGCTGATTTTCTGAAATGTTCTTTTTCCTTTCTGTACTCTTAACCTTACTTTTCATTAAACTACCTTACTTTCAAATTAAACATGTATTTCAAATCCCATTTTAAAGAGAAAACCAATTCAAAGCCTATATCTGAATTTGAATATACTCCAACAAATGAATATAAAAGGTTTGCATTATAAGTTTTAAAATATAAACCTCTCTGGTGTTGCGTATTGTATTTACATATTGAAAAGAAAGGATACAACATGGGTCCAAAGTTCTTGAGGACGTAGAAGGAACAGAGGATGAGGAGAACCAGATAAAAAGCATTGTTGTAGAAGATAGAGAAGGTGGTGGCCTCATAATCTGCTACCTCATTCTTCTTCCAAAGGATCCTGTTAAAATATTGTAACAAATGAAGAATCTTTATAAATATCATGTACCTCAAATTCATCCTCAATCCTTTCTCCCCAGAAATGATAAATCCTGTGCCACATAACCTTAAGTGATTACATTTATACACATTATAAAGAAATGAAAAGAAATTTCTTTTTTTTCATTGTTTTTTTTTTTTTTTTTACCTTTCATCTCTTTCCTTTCTTGTCATTTTCTTGTCATCAGCAAACTTTTTCGTCATCTCCCTAGTGACTGCTTCTTCTCTTTTAAGAGCAATTCTGTTGAAAAGTCATGATAATATTGGTTTTGAACAAAGATCAATAGGGTGATATTTTACTGAATTCCAAATAAAAACTTTTTTTGCAAGAGTAATGCCCTATTAAAAAAAATAATTAGTGAATTCAAAAGATTTAACAATTTTGTAACCTATTAAAAAAAGAACTTGTAAAATCATATTGGAGAGGTATCAATCAATCACTGAATACATGAATTTTATATTTAATTGGAGATTAAATAACATATGAGAGAAATTGCCTTTTCACAATAACCATGGAACTGCTCTTTTGCAGGGCAAATTAATAAAATTTGGCAAAATTATTGTTGGCAGATAATAAAATGACATTTATTAAACAATTGCTGTTATGTCATATTTCCCCAAACTATATCAATTCTCCCTGCAAAAAGAGCAGTACTCAGGGCCAGGGAAGGGGCCACACCATGTGCCATATGCGCATACTGTCGAAAAATGGCGCAAAATGCGGGTATGCATGTTTTATTACTTTGTAAGTTCATTGCAGTCCGCACTATCTGTATTCTTCATCGAAGTTCTAAAGATAGAATCTGTGATGTATTATATAATAAAATCGGAACCATCATTCGGCATATTGGCATCCACTGGCAAAGTTCAATTTGTAAGTGTCAAGCTGACCACAGCTTTACGAAAGTCACGCACATGGAAAATTTATATACCTTACAATGAAAAACCTTTTCAAAGAAGTCCACTTATTTTAGCCTGTCCCGTGATCCCTAAATCGGCATCGTTAAAAAATGGTGCTTTTGGTTTAAATATAATTTTTCTAAATACTATTTGGTTAGAATCTAGATGATGATTGACTGAAGTTCTTAGAAATGGAAAAATCATTTGCACTAGTCAGTGTCATATGACTTGTCAATTCCTATCACACTTTTCTTTTTAATTTTCCTAAATTATGTTGTCAGAGATATATGCATTATCCTATAGCATCATACTATGATTTATTTTTGAATGGCCCCAATATATTTCCCCTCAGCCCCTTAAATTTCAAAATGGCCCCATCATTTTATGAACAGTGGGGCCATTGGCCCCACCTGTTGCTTGACCTTCCCAGGCAATCAGTACTGCAGTTATCATGAAACAAAATGTACTTACTTGTGCTTCAGGACAAATTTGACATTCTTGTAAGCATAGGCCACAAGGTAAGTACTGACAAGCGTTCCTACTGCAAAGAGAATTCCAGACTGATACAGGTCCATCTGGTGAATCCTCCAAAACAGCCCTGTAATTAGACAATCTTATAATACACTGTGAAGATTCAGTAGTAATTGAATAATTATTCATACTATCTAAAATAAAATATAAATCTTTTTCTTCAATTTTCCTTCATTGTCTTCTCTGAAATTATAAATCAGTATAAAGACTTACTAGGCAAAACCTATAAGAAACTGGAAAGAAAATCATATATAATTTAGCTCTTGAAAACTTCAATTTCTACATACTGTAACTGTAAGCTGTATAAATCAATTTTCGTCCTACAGACAATTGAAGACCTACGGATTTAATTTAATATCCCCCCCCTTCCATTATAATGACACGAAGATTTTCTAGATCGAAGAAGGGGACACTTCTAACAACCTGACCTCCCCGCCATATACATTCTTTAACCTAAAAATTAAAGGTTATAGAATTTATAAATACATATGTTCACATTTGATATGCATACGTGGCAAACTTACATATGGGTATAGCTGAGACGATCAAAGCATTGCCATAAAACAGCGCAGACGATTTAGTGGACACATTACGACTGAAATCCTGGAGAAGTAGTTCTTCCTCTTTGGTTAATGATTTTTGTGCTTTTTCTTTCTTGCTAGCCATGACTGTTGCGTGTACAGTATTCAGTCCACAAATGACCGGCAAGTGACGAAGCTCGGTAGTAGTAGAGCACCTTACAGTATTTTTTAAACATTGAACCCGACAGAAATAAATCAGACCCCCCCCCCCCCTAAAAAAAAATCGACACACAAGCGCATAAAACAAAAGAAACAATAAAAATAAAAATAAGATTAAAAAAAAACAGGCCAAAAAAATATAAAAAAAAAAAATCATCAAAAAAGAAACATATCCGGTGTACTAGTTAGTTTGTACTAGTTAAGCAAAAAATAAATCATATTTTTCAAGAAAAAAAAACTAAAATCAAATCATGGGGAGGTACGGTGGTACATTTAGGACACGTAATAATTTTTTTTTAAGATACCAGGAAATATTTATCTCGTGAAAACGAAAAACTATCTCGTGAAAACGACATAATATCTCGTGAAAACGACATATTATCTCGTGAAAACGACATAATATCTCGGGAAAACGACTTATTTTCTCGTTTTAACGACATAATATCTCGTGAAAACGAGATATTATCTCGTGAAAACGACATAATATATCGTGAAAACGACTTATTTTCTCGTTTTCACGACATAATATGTCGTTTTCACGAGATATTATCTCGTGAAAACGAGATATTATCTCGTGAAAACGACATATTATCTCGTGAAAACGAAATAATATTTCGTAAAACGACTTATTATCTCCCGGAAACGAGAAATTATCTCGTGAAAACGAGATATAATCTTGTGTGAAATAAATTTTAGAAAATCATATTTACCAAAATTGATTATTTTTCCCCAATTTCACTTACATACTTATTATATATGGATCATGCTTTCTTTCATAACCAAGTAGTTTTCTGCTAGATTTGAGAAACTTTTTCTTCTGGTATATTGTATTGTGAGCTATATTAATTAATGTCCTTCTGACAAGACAATGTGCTATCCTGAAATACTTATTATTGCCTTTTCAAATCTATTTGTCAGTGATTGAGATAGATGACAATAAATATGTTAATATAATATTATATTTTATTAAATAAAAGTTGCATTGAGCATGTATACTAAGTTATACATCCATAGTTACATTATAATTATACATTATATTGTGTAACCCTGTGCAATTTCAATCAAAATGTCCCCTATAACTGAGCTTAAGATACAGATCAAGTTTGAGTTTCATTCCTGTTGATCGAATTAAAAAGAGTTATGACCATATTTGCCATTTTTTCCAAACTGTTTTACATAACATATATTTGCTGAATATCAACGTTGGTTTGGATCTAGTCTCCTTAATGCGACATTTTTTTTATCTAGGAGCTGTAGTATTTGTATTCTGAAATTTCTTAATATTTTTTTAATGATCTTTGAAACCAAAATGAAAGCATTCCTTAATGACTTCCTCTCTTGTACACTCTTCAACCCTATTTGACAACGAATAGCAAAATACTAAATCAGGTTGTTCAATGTATGTAACAAAATTTAACGTCGAAAAAATATGTCGTTTTCACGAGATAAGTCGTTTTCACGACATATTATGTCGTTTTCACGACATATTATCTCGTTTTCACGAGATAATATGTCGTTTTCACGAGATAATATCTCGTGAAAACGAGATATTATGTCGTGAAAACGAGATAATATGTCGTGAAAACGAGATATTATCTCGTTTTTACGAGATAATATGTCGTTTTCACGAGATAATATCTCGTTTTTACGAGATATTATCTCGTGAAAACGAGAAAGTAAGTCGTTTTCACGAGAAAATATCTCGTGAAAACGAGATATTATGTCGTGAAAACGAGATAATATGTCGTTTTCACGAGATAATATGTCGTTTTCACGAGATATTATGTCGTTTTCACGAGATAATATGTCGTTTTCACGAGATAATATGTCGTTTTCACGAGATAAATATTTTTCCTGGTATATTAAAAAAAATAATTACGTGTCCTAAAAGTACCACCGTAGGGAGGCAACAGAAGCTGCTTCAAAATATTAAGTTTGCTTTTGTAGGATGTAAGAAAACAACTCCTGGAGATACTTTATCAAACAAAATATCCTTGACTTTCATGAAGTACTACTGTACTGATCTATGTCATTCCCTTTTGGGGAGGAAGTTTCATTTGAAAATATTTTAAATTGTATACACACAAAAGGATAAGAAGATTTTTCTCTTTTTTCAATTAGCGAGTTAAACTCATCAGTTTAATTCAATTACTGTTATACTTGTTATACTTGCCCTAAGGATATAGTCACAATTGATAAGTACTATACCTGAAACCCCCTCCCCCCTCCCCCCTTGGAATTTAAGGAGTTATGAAATGTACATAGTAAAGCAACTAAAAAATGACCTTGGAACCCCCCCCCCCCCCGAAAACTCGGACCACTCTTTAGCTGGTAGGAAGAGTCATACATATGAAGCTATTGCTAAGTGCACGAAATAAGTTGAAAGGAGTAAAATTTACTTTATTTTATAAATAAACTGTTTTTCCTCTAGTTTATTTTATAAATAAACTTTTCCCCCCTAGATCCGCACCTGAGAATAATAGAAATTGTTATCAAACCCATGTCGAAGCAAATGTAAAAGAATAAAAGCAATTTAAGACCGCGGAACAATAACTGGCAAGGCTGGAAATATACAGCTTACATACACGATTGGACGCGGACGTCTGAGAAAACATCTGATTGAAATTATAGTTCGAAATTCATTTTCAATCCACCGTAGCTACATTCTTAAGTACAGTGTTGCTGATTGATCCAGTAGACAAATAATTTCGATTTCGGAATAGTTTGACATTCTATAAACCAGAATTTTCTCTTCATTGTTTTTAAAGAAATTAATTATAAATTGGGACAAACATTCGATTCCTGTTTGGTGTGCATGTGTGTGTGTTGTGGAAGGGGGGGGGGGCTGAAAAATCCTGGAAATAATTAAGAAAATTTTTTTTAGTTTGGACACCCCTTCCCCGTTTTTGCTTGTCAAACATTTTTCAGTCAAGAAAAAAAAAATAATATAGTCTCTTGTTATCCTAGAAATAAATATATTCTGTCATGTGAAGGCATGAACATAAATAATCTGATTCGACAAGATTTGCAGCCCCCTCCCATCTAGAATCAAATGGCCCCTGAAAAAATATCTATCTTCTGTAACTTCTGCGTGTCCTTAAAAACATTGGGAAACAAGATGTGTTTGTGAAACACTGATGTCCCCGTATGGCAGCTTATGACGAAGGTTAAAGTTTCTCAAATACAAGTCAAACTCCAGGACAAGAGATCAAAAATGTTGGTACCCAAAGATCTTGTCTCGAGGAATACACCTGTGAAATTTGAAAGCCCTAGCTCCCACTGTTCAGAAGTTATGACGAAGATTAAAGTTTTTTAAAAGTAAGTAAAACGTCAAGGTGAAGATCAACCGGGGCCCCAAGGGAAGGTCTTGTCACAAGTGATACACATGTTCATGAAATGTGAAGGCCCTAGAACCAAACGTTCACATGATATGGCCAAGGTTAAAGTTTTTTTTAAAGTAGGTCAAACTCCAAGGTCAAGATCAATGCCAAAATTGCTGGTATCCAAAGGAAAGTTTTGTCCCAAGGATTGCACATGTGAAGTATGAAAGCCGTAGCACCAAATGTTTAAATGGTATGGCAAAGATTAAAGTTTTTCAAAAGTATGTCAAACTCCAAGGTCAAGGTCAAAGGGTCAAAGTGGTTGATATCCAAAGGAAGATTTTGTCACAATAATTACATATGTGAAGTATAAAAGCCCTAGCACCAACCATTCAAAAGTTATGGCCAAGGTTAAAGTTTTTCAAAAGTAGGTCAAACTCCTAGGTCAAGGTCAAAGGGTCAAAGTGGTTGGCATCCAAAGAAAGGTCTTGTCACAAGGAATAGACATGTTAAATATGAAAGCTCTAGCACCAATCGTTCAAAAGTTATTGCCAAGATTAAAGTTTTCAAAAGTAGGTCAAATTCCAAGGTCAAGGTCACAAAGAGTCAAAGTTGTTGGTATCTAGAGAAAGGTCTTGTCAATGAATACACATGTGAAGTTTGAAAGCCCAAGCACCAACTGTTCAAAAGATATGGCCAAGGTTAAAGTCTCATAAAATTTTTGCAAAAGTGGGTTAAACTCCTAGGTCAAGGTCAAAAGGTCAAGTATGGTGGTACTCAAAGAAAGGTCTCGTCACAAGGATTACACATGTGAAATATGAAAATCATAGCTCCAACCAATCAAAAGTTATGGGCAAGGTTAAAGTTTTTGCGGACAAACAGACAGACAGACAGATGGACGGACGGACAGGGCAAAAACTAAATACCCCCGAATCTTCGATACGGGGGCATAAAAACTACTTAGAATACATCTCTTAGTGAGTAGTAACCATTGCACATTTGGAATACATTTTAAATGCTGAAAAACGCTCGCTCCATATTTATTAATGATAGGTGTTACACGATCAAACTCAGTCACTAACACAAGAAAAACAATATACATTTATTGACTAGGTTCAAGGACAACATGCGTTTTGTCGGATCCCAAAACCAAACTGTTTCCTGTGGCCGTTATAGTTATTTTCATTCGAATATCGACGATACATCTCAGTGAACTCGAAAAAAAAAGAAAACCACAAAGTCTACCACATCTGTTTCGTATTTGGATGTTGTTTGACTATAGACGTTAATGGCTAACTAAAACTTTGGTATATGACCAGCTTTTCCATCGTCAATTTTCTCTATATATGTACATGCAGTGACATTCCAATTTCACCTACATGCATGTGGTGTTTATGTCTCCTAGCTGATTCGGTATACTCAATAGCATGCAAGAGTAGTATCAAGTGTTACCTCGAGGCAGACTACAAACAAATACGTTGATGTTCAGGAATTTCAACAATCTCGTTTAAAGTCAACATTTTGCAAATAATGACCTCGTTTGCAAATATATCCTATCCTTGGGTCGTATTTTGACTGACGTTTCATGCTAAATTGTTAGGTCACTGTTTTTAAACTTATTTTGACTACGGATAACTGCGTTGACCTTATCAATACATAGGACTCACGGCGGGAGTGGTCATCGTCGGAAACCCACGGCTGATTACGCTTCGTTCCTCTCTCCATCACGTGATGGAGAGAGGAACGAAGCGTAATCAGTCGTGGGTTTCCGACGATGGGGTGTGGTAGGTGGACAGGTAATTACTTCTCCTTTAGTTTCAAGAACTTATGAGATCTATCAATTAAAATTTCGTTATGTTCACCTTTTTCTTTACTTCACCAGCACATTCTATTTTATCTTCGTGATCGGAAGGCCGTGAGTTCGAATCTCGGCCGCGACAGACCTAAGTCGATAAAAAATAGGTAGCAACTGTTCCTTCGCCAGGCGCTCGGCACTTTGAAGTGAAAGTTGCGGTTCCTTCGGATGAGACCTTAAAAACCGAGGCCCCGAATCACGGCAGGCGTTGGCACGATAAAGATCCCTCACTGCTCAATGGCCCTGAGTGCCGATTAATGGTCTAAATTTGAAACCCTTAACGTGTATAAAGTGACGTCTCTATATGTGTGAAAAATTCTCGAATGGGACATAAAACAACATACAATCAATCAATCTATTTTATCTGCACTGCACATTGTGTATTTGTGGAGGGGATTACAGCGGCGGTACCTTAATAATTGACATCTCAGGCACTTTAAGTGCAAAATGTCTGGGTTTCTTTTTCTACCAAAGTTTGTCTTTATTACGCAGAGTAGAATTAAATTACTTCTGAGCATTAATATTTTTAATTATGATATAAATAATCTAAAATTTTATGAGTAAAATCTGATCGATGATTTAAGCAATTTTTCATAGGCCTATATAAGTGCATGTGACATAGATGCCATATATAAGTAATTAAATAATGTATATTATGTCTACTCTATCTATTGTAGGTTGTTAGGAACCTTAACAATAAAAAAGAAGATAATTTATAATTGTGTCCCCTCAATAATTTTTGCATGTATAGGCTAATCATGTAATATACTATAGAAAAGAAAACGAAATGTTTTTTTTTTTTTGGTTTTGTTTTTTGTTGTTTTTTTTTTAATATGTTTTGCGTGTTCCATTGAATATTTCTGTTTGGTTGTGCACCTCTAAACTGAAATTGCATATATGCATTCATGCTTGTACAAGTTAGTGAAAAAATGAATTTGTTGCCACTCTTTTGAAGGTGAGTCTTACATACAAATATACTATACACTATACTAAATATACTATATATTTTTAATGATTAATAAATATTTATTTATTTTTAATTTTAATTGGATTAAAAATTCCTTAGCTAAAAATCCCTGGGTAATATGTACTGTTTTAAATGCCACTTAACTTGTAATTTTTAGCATAGAAAGATTGAAAACATTCGACATCACTTTATTAAAAATTATGGGATGTAAAAACCCAATCAATGACGTCACGCCGCGCATGATCAATTTAGACGAAAAGCCGCTCTACGCAGGGGGAAGGGACAGGGCTATCATTGCCCCTGGGAGAAACAAAGTAGCGGATATTTCATGCATAATTTTGACATCGTGATACTCTAAATTCGTTGTACACAATGGCAGGGAAGTTAAATAAAGACGAAATGGAAGATAGCATGGATTTTGAAGAGGAGGCCGGCGAAGGTATCATTGACATTGTTTAATTTTCCATAATTAGCAACTCCTAACTATTTTTTGTTGACACAAGTTTTCGTGTAATGTGATTAGGATTTTCATAATGACATTTGAATAGATCATGACTTAAACATCGTTTAGAAGTTACTAATGGCTCTGCTTGCGTTAAAATACCGGTATTTGTTGTGTATTTCAACCACGAGTAGAGGATTTCCCTCTATTCATTTGCATATATTTGTTACCTGAAATATCACTCTAGAAAGGGATTTTCCCGTGTATTCTGACGTAAATATGTCATTTGAGGACACATAAGAGAAAAAAATATAAATTTCTTACATTTATTGAGATTTTTTGGGTAAATATTTTTTCATTGTGTGGATAATCAACAATCGATGGGATAAATATCGAGCTATATATCAAAGCTCATAAGAATACTGCGCATGCGCTAAACGTAATTAATGAGGTCGAGATAAATGCATGTCGGGATGTACATGACATGCATTTCTTACATGCAAACGTGAAATAGATTTTAATGTCGTTACAATGTTGATAGTTCCACGATTTAACCATTTGCTAAGTTTGATATCTATCATATAAGCATAACAAGTGTTGCACGTGTTGTTTACAACTTCTAGTTTCATTTTCACTTTAGCATTACTCGATGATTTTTTCAAACGATTAAAAAACGATAGTACTTTTGCAATTATATAATAAAAGTGAAGAATCACAATGATTACAAAGCAATTTTTTCATTGATAATGTGGAAATATGCTTGAATATCAACTTTCAGTTGATGACTCAACCATCTCTTCTCCCACCCCATCTCCCCGCCCTGCTATAACAGCAGAGGTTAGAGGGACCAGAATGGGCGTGTCTTGTGAGTACAGTAGATAAACATCTATGTACTTCTTGCTGCTTGAGCAATGTTACTTGTAGTTCTATTGCATGTAGGGTTTACAGTGAAAAAATGCAAGATAGTGCATGTTCATAAATTATTATTCTTCCTTATGAAAACAAACATTTTCAGTGTGTTGTGAGGCATATATTAAAAATGTATTTTCCCCCCTTTTTGTTGGTTCCAGTCCTACAATAGACAGTAACTATATTCATTAATATGACATGTCATGGTTTTGGGGAAAATAAATACCAGTAACTGTAACCTTTGTTCATTTTTGTAAGAACTGTGATAGGATCTGTGTTTGTGAACATATTGGCATTGCTGTATTGTGCTTTGCAAGTCATGTAAAATATGGTTGATTTTAAAATAACTGTGCATGTGGTGGTCATGGTCAGCTTAAACCTGTGGAAAAAAAGCAGGAAACTACGCAACATGAAGGGGTTAAATTAAAAGCTGTTTCAGTCCTAGTTCATTTCTGTTTCAGAAAAAACCCAAATCTTTTGACATGTGTCAGTATAAGTTATGAAAATAAAACCTGTGCTCTTATACATCAGTGTCATATTTAACAGGTCAATGTTCCAATTAGTTGTATTTTAATAAATGAAGTAATATGGCCAATGCATTTCAGATAAGTCTTAGTCACATGGAAGTGACACATGTCATGGACCAGGTACTTCATTCTCAAAGAAAAAATAATGACAAGGTCCACTTAACAATTCACTGGTGTCAATGTTTATACATTGGATGGACATGTACATTGTTTATTAAAAAATTTAAATGTTGGATATGCAAAGTAGCTTTAAAAGATTGAAATTGCATTACTTATTAAAAAAAAACCCTTATGTAGCTTTGAGGCTTGTTGCAGAAACAGAATATTCATTTATGTGCACTGCTACATTGTGTTGCACCTTTTTTGTAATAATTTTTTTCAAGAAAAATGACAATGATATGAAGGTTAGAATTATTTCAGCTTGTCGGAAGAATTTACTCTAGCCATAGAAAGTATTTTTAAATCTGCTTTCAGATAAAGTTTCATAATATACAACACACCAAAAAAAAAAAAATACATCGTCTTTAAAGGAGATAGGGATCAGTTTTGTTTTATTGTGGCTAACATGACTGCTTTTTAAAACTTTTTTAGATGAAAGTTTTGGGGATGAAGCTACCACAGAGAAGAAAGGCAAGAAACGGAAGAAGAAGGATAGTGAAGAGAAGAAGAAGAAAAAGAAGAGCAAAAAACCGAAGAGATATGAAGATGATGAGGTTTACTTTTTTAAAAGCTATTTCTTGTACTGTGTAAGCTAAAAATGACTAGAAGAGGTGTATGTTGGGGATTAAATTTTGTTTATTTTATTGTAAACAATATCAACAAAAATGAATCCCAAACAAATTTTTTATATGGCTATATATTGAATATGGGTACTTCTGAAACAACAAAACGGAGTCCCCACAGAACTATTTTAGATCACAAATCAATGAAATTTTATCCCAATGAAAAGTATTGAAATATGGAGTGCATGGAGGTATCTTCTGTTTATATTGTAGAAAATGTTTTTCAATCAGTGACATGAAATCTGTGAAATTGGGAATTGTACAAACTGATTTTTTTTCTGGTATGAAAACTGTAACAACAAGTTTCCATGAAAGTATTTTGGTCTATAAAATCACAAGATTCTTATCTCCGCCGCATCATACTTACCTGTTCAAGTTTACAATAGCTACTCATTCCCGGAATTTGTTACCACTGTCTAACAGGTAAGTATGATGCTCGGAGATAATTATCTCAAAGGAAATTTATAACCTTAGGAAAATTGCTGCTGCTACAGTAATTGCCAACATATAACTACTAAAGTAGAGTGTTGTTTGGAAAATAAATGTTAACAGGAGCATTTTCTTGAATTCAAACAGTTTACATGAGTAAAAGTGATAGAGTTGTTGTAGCCAATAAAGACTAGCTTTAATTGAGAGCGTACACTAGTATGGAAAGGTGTCTGTTGTCCATCCATCTGTCTGTCTGTCAGTAAACAGGGTTTTTTTTTCAAAATGCTACTCCTCCTACAGTTTGGTATAATTTCATAACAATTACACCATGATTCACCATTCAGTTTATTAATTTTGATTTTTATCAATGATGTTGAAATGGTTTCTAAAAATTTAAATCTGTGTTGTTCTTTCAAAACTCTACTGATACAGTTTGATCCGATTTTCTTAATTTTGGTACACAGATAGACTACACCAAGATACATAATGCTGTAATGATGAAATAAAGATTTTGATTAATGATGTTTCCATGGCAAGTGAAAAAGAATATGCAGTGAAAATCTCACAAAATTCTACTTCTCTTTTAGCTGTGGTCTGATTTCAATAAAAGTCTCATAATTCTTTATATCAGATTGAGATTTTGAGGAGGCCATCTTTAACAAATCGTTTGCCCTCTTTCGACTAACTGACTAAAAACAGCTAGATTCAAAACTTTTTAAAACTTAAAAAAATTCATTCATTCCAAAATTTTCTCATTTATCTAATAAATATTCTAACTTCATATTCGTAAGTTTTTCTTAATAAAAATTTTTCCCCCTACCTACCTACCTACCTAATTTTTTTTTATCTTGAGTCAGGAGAGGGCAAGCAAACATTTTTTTTAAAGATGGCCTTAAACAATGTTAACTTTGAAAATATTTTATAATGCTACTCCTTGAGCAGTTTGGATTTGATTTTCATAAAATTTCATTTTATTAAAGTTCATAAACTTTAAGGATGAATGATTCAGTAAATGTAAAACTATAAAATGGGGCATTTTAAGTCTAGACGCAACAAGTGCACACCAGTAGAGCTACAGTCTCATCAGAGACTTGTGGATGGGGGAGGGGACTTAAGAGGAAAACTGGTTCACAGTCACAGTGAGCTTTTTTTTTGACTATGTTAGGTTTACTGCAGAACAGTGATTCACTAAGAGAGTTGTGATTATTTAAAAAGTGTATTGATATATTTGGATCATTGTAGGACTGTAAAGTGGGCTTTATTAGCTTTTAGATTTTTTTTTGGTGGAAGTTGTGATATAACTATGATATAATGATTTCCAGGACTATGGCTCAGGGGTGGCAGATGATGATGAAGAGGAGTATGTTCCAACCAAGAAAAAGAGGCAGAAGGATAGGACAGGAGGAAGTACTCCTAAGGTAGTCCTAACTGCTTTAAGTAGCTTTGTTGTGATTATACAATCATTTTTTTTTTGGTCAAGAATTAGAAATGTCTATTTTTTATGGTTGTTAGTTGATTATGATCCTGGTTGAGCATGGTACTAATGCATGAGAATTCTCATGAGAAGAAAAACCTGCTGATGTAAGAACAGTCACATGTTTCCAGATCGGTCATCTTCCTCATAAACACCATAAATTAGACAATTGTTCCTCTTTTTTACATTTTATCTAGTCTCTTTTCCAAAAGTTTAAATTAAATGGATTGGTATAAGAATGGTGGCTATCTAAAACACAGAATTTGGTTGGATGATTATGAAAACCGAGATACATGTATTTATGCTAGTTCTGACATTCTTAGTGTGGAATCAGCTAAAAAAAATTTTGCTTCAGAATATCTGATCTCTGATATCTGAATCAGCTAAAAAGAATTTGCTTCAGAATATCTGATCTCTTACAATTTTATCTCCAGGAAAAGAAGAGTCCCTCTGATCTTATAGCTGAAGAACTTGGTATAAACAATGTAGATATACCCTTTGAAGATGAGGACTATATTACCCTTAACAATTATAAACTTTTCAAACAACATGTGCAACCAATTATACAAAAAGCAAATCCTAAAGTTGCAATGGCTAAAATGGTGACATTAATTGGGGCCAAGTGGAGAGAGTTTGCACAGGTAGTCGCTCAGCACAACAAAGAAAAAGAATCGGGAAGTCCGCCGGAGAAGGAGAAAGCTGAGACATCTCGAGACGGAATAACTTCTGACAGGGAGGAGGAGGCAACAGACACAGAGAATAGAGAAAATGGTAGGGGAACACTCGCAGTAATGAATACCCTCAAATTTTGACAGTGAACCTCATCTTATTTTCAGTTTAGGTTACAGAATAATGACTTACAGAGTGTACATAAAAAGGATAGATAAAAATTGATGATATTTCAGACTTAATATGGTTTGTTTTTTAATTGTGTGAAGAAAAGGTTTGCTAACATTTCATTTTGTTTAAAAAAAAAAATTAGCTGTGTGAGGTTTGTCTGTTATTTCTGGAGCTTTATAATGTTTTTTAAGATGAAGACACAGAGCCCCACAGTGATCCTGTACCAGAGGAAACCAGTAAAAAGAAGAAGAAAAAGTCCAAGAAAACTGTGCCAGCCATCAAGATCAAAATCGGAAAGAAAAAGAGGGGAAGAAAGAAGGCCAATTCAGTATGTTAATCCCTTGTTTTTGAGATGATAATGCAGTACATTTGATAAATAAGGATTAATTAAGAATGGAGAATTTCTTGTAATAAATAGACACCAATATGGTGAAAGATATAAATTTTAAAATTTTTCCACAGGTGTAGTAAAATTTTTATATCTGAAAGGTAGAGTAAATTATAAAAAGTTCAAAACACAATGAGGATGTAAATATGGTTAACATTTGTTTTCTTGTAGGATGATGATGGTGTGGGATATGATACGAGCGATGAAGAATTTGAACGTCAGCTGGAAGAGGCGTCAATTCTGGAGGAGGAAGAGAAAGCTGCAGCTGAGGCGGCACCCAAGAAGAAATCCAAGACAAAGAAAGGAAGAGGGCGTGGAAAGAAGAAGACCAAACTCACCAACAAGTATCCTACTGATCCTGATGCTGATGGATATGAGGTAGATCTTAGTTTTCTGATGGATATAAGGTAGATCTTACCTATTTAAAGTTCATGTCAAGAAAGTTGCAGGTGGTGAATTCTGTACCATCACCAGGTTACTGTAAATACAGTGCTTCACAAGCTGAATGAGAATTTATGTTTTTTAAAATGAAATTTGTCAAACAATTTTTCATGAAGACTCTGTATTCCTACATTGACCAAACTTTCTTCAGTGGTGGTTTACATATTGCAGGTACCTCCTATCTTCTACAGAATTAAAGCCATGTAATCTTTACATGAACATATTGCTAAAGGTTTTTTTTGTGTAACTCTATCATTATGAAGATATAATTGAGTTTTTTTCATCATTTTTTTCAGACTGAACATCAGGATTACTGTGAAGTTTGTCAGCAGGGAGGGGAGATAATCCTCTGTGACACATGTCCTAGAGCTTATCACTTGGTTTGCTTTGATCCAGAGCTGGAGGAACCTCCAGAAGGGAAATGGAGCTGTCCACACTGTGTAAGACACTATTACAATTGCATCTACCAGTATTTACATTAGAAGTAAATGTGACATATCATGCTGTAATAACTTTGCTATTGTATATGTATATATTTGACAAAAAATTTACAAAGTTGGGCTCAGAATAGAAGTTGACATTTTAAAGTGGGAAAATCACCAGAATCTAAGGGATTTGTTGATTTTGTATGCAAAAGGAGTGTTTTCCCTAAGAACTAGCTACCAGCCAAATTGACTGCTTCAACTGATAGAAATGCCACTTAGAAATCAAAAGCAAAAATTAATTTTTCTCAGGTCCACAGACACTTTGTTCATAAACCTCAGCCCCAAGCCTGGTACAATTGATCTCTAACCCTTTACTTTGAAATATAGGGAAAACACTACAATAGTTTCAAATAATTAAAACCACTGTGAATAAACTTTGTATAAATCTACGCCATTGTTTTTAGGAGGGTGAAGGAATTAAGGAACAAGAGGAGGACGACCACATGGAGTTTTGTCGGGTGTGTAAGGATGGCGGAGAGCTCCTGTGTTGTGACACCTGTCCGTCAGCCTATCACGTCCACTGTCTTAATCCACCAATGAAAATGATTCCAGACGGAGAGTGGCATTGTCCGAGGTGTTCAGTAAGTAAACATTATGATTTTAAGACAACTACATTCAAACCTTTTTTCAAATATTACTTAATGACCCACTGAAGATACAGTATGTGAAGTACATGTGCATTTGTTTTTCAAAAGTGTGAGCCTCTAAAAGGCAGGGTAGCAAAAATATTGACATGGCGTTGGACTGAGCCCATACAGGAGGAAGGAAAGATGGAGGAATTAGACCACACCCACCCACATCTGCCTGCCTCTACTAAAAAGGTACACTGTTTAAATACTACATAGTAAACAATGCACTCTGTATTTTAATATTTAGTACATAATAAAAGTCTCAAATAAGAATGTTGCATACAATGTGACATGTTTAATATCTATGTTTTAGTTCCTGTATGTTTAATGTTTGTGTCATGAAAAGTTCTCACTTTTAATTTATGACCAATTCTTTTTCTTGTATCAGTACATGTAAAGTGTTTTCATGTTAAAGTTTATGCTGTGGAATCTTAATATGAACTGTAATTCTTTTGAGAAAAGAGAACGGTGATTTTGCTTCTTATGTGCCTGTGAAAATTCTCTTTGGACTGTTTCAAATGAGGTTTCTCTGGCTCTCCAACAGATCATATGCTCAAGTTGATCATGAGCCAATAGATTTGTTTCTTTTCTTTTGAAGTTAATGGTAAAAAATGGGGGTAAATATGAGCCCATGGATTTGCAAAGATTAATTGAGTTGAGCAATAAGGCAAGTGAACGCCTTTTTTCATTTCATTTGCCAGAAAGTTGTACCTTTTTGTTGTTATTTACAATCTTTATGACAATGAGCATTAATGTGAAGCCAGTATTTTGATATGGATTGTTGGTTAGGGTCCCAATGTTGTTCCTCACTGCATGACCTTTTTGGTGTAAGAATCATTGCTCTAAACTAACACTGTTTATACATTGCTCATGTCTTTTCTTGTATAAAACGATGATAAAACAAGTTGAATCAACATGTTTTTAAAGATACTTATTTAAGCAAAAGTAGAGACGCATGTCAAATTCATTATAACAAAGATCTAATGTTCTGTGTTTGCTCTCTTTGTTGTTGAATTCTGTAGATTATTAAGTGCTCTAGCATGTTGGAGTAAATAAAAACGTTAATCATTTAATAATTTTCTCAAATGTTCCAAATACATACACCTTGTAGTTTTCAGCAATGAATCAATGTTTATTTAATTTTTTTTGTATTTTGTAGAATCGTAAACCTTTGCGGGAGTTCTTTGTCAAATGGCATGACCTGTCTTACTGGCACTGCAGCTGGATTTCAGAATTACAGGTAAATATCCCTGGCCACTTAATTCTGTACTACATTACAGGTAAATATCCCTTCCACTGAACTCTATTACACTACAAGTAAATATCCCCTTCTCTTAACTCTGTATTACATTACTGGTATATATACCCCCTCCACTTTAATTCTTTTTAAGTTATTACCCATTCAAAAAAATGCAGAAGTAACATTCTTAATTCTTAAGTTATTCCTCCCCCCAAGAATAGCAGAAGTAACATTATTAATTTTTAATCCTGCACACCTTTGCAAGATCTTGCAACAATAAAGTGTTCATAGTTGTATTCCAATTTACTATGTGTTTTAGCATCAGGGATTGGGTCGATTACTTTCAAATTTATTGAATAAATTACAATTACATTGAATGTACATCATGTTAAATACACGTTTTGTCCAAATGCAAAAAAAAAGTCCAGTAAATTTCAGGGCTTCATGATCTTACTGTTTATTATATTTTTATTAAAAGCTGGATGTGTACCACCCAGCCATGTACCGAGCGTATATACGAAAAAATGACATGGATGAACCACCTCCACTGGAGGATGGTAGTAGTTATGGTGGAAAGGACTACAAGAAACAAAAAAAGAGTAAAGATGGCAAGATACCAGTGGAAAGAGAGGAGGACGATGAAAACAATCTGGAAGAGAAGTTCTACAAGTATGGAGTACGACCGGAGTGGTTAGAGATCCACAGGATCATCAATCACAGGTAAGGAACACACAGTCCTACAAGCATGGAGTATGACCAGAGTGGTTAGAGATTCACAGGATCATCAATCACAGGTAAGGGACACAGTCCTACAAGTACAGAGTACGACCAGAGTGGTTAGAGTTTCACAGGATCATCAATCACAGGTAAGGAACACACAGTTCTACAGGTATGGAGTACAACCAGAGTGGTTAGAGATTCACAGGATCATCAATCACAGGTAAGGGACACACAGTCCTACAAGTACAGAGTACGACCAGAGTGGTTAGAGATTCACAGGATCATCAATCACAGGTAAGGAACACACAGTTCTACAAGTATGGAGTACAACCAGAGTGGTTAGAGATTCACAGGATCATCAATCACAGGTAAGGAACACACAGTCCTACAAGTATGGAGTACGACCAGAGTGGTTAGAGATCCACAGGATCATCAATCACAGGTAAGGAACACACAGTCATACAAGTATGGAGTACAACCAGAGTGGTTAGAGATTCACAGGATCATCAATCACGGGTAAGGAACACACAGTTCTACAAGTACGGAGTACGACCAGAGTTGTTAGAGATTCACAGGACCATCAATCACAGGTAAGGAACACACAGTCCTACAAATATCGAATGCAATTAGAGTGGTTAGATTATCAATCACAGGTAAGGAACACTTAATCCTACAAGTATGGAGTACGACCAGAGAAGCTAAAGGTCCACAGGATTAGATTTGACATAATAGATGCATACGTACACATACATTGTATGTAAATTTTATACATGAACATGCACCTCATGTACCTGTATAAAATTTACATGTGTACGTATGTGTATTGAGTACTTGTGGTATCATTACCATTTATAATTACAGGAATGGTAAAAATGAGACCTGGTACTTGGTGAAATGGTGTGACTTGCCGTACGACCAGTCCACGTGGGAGAAGGAGACGTCAGATCTTCCAGAGATGACTAAGCACATCAGTCGCTACGAGGCCCTTAGGTAAGGTTCTACTTGAAAAAAAGCTTCAATGATATACAATTATAGGAATTCTAAGCAGTGTATAATATACTGTTTGAATGTCCTGTTGTTTTAGAGCTCTGATGATGGGAGATAAGAAGAAGAAAGGAAAAGGAGGAAAGAGAAGTAAAGATGACATTCAGGTCAAGATGCCACCATCTTACCCCACCACAGATGTAAGTTAATTAGTTGTGGCCTGATATTGTAGTTCATGTCAATATCTTGCCTTAAAAAATCATCCTAATAGACAATTAGATGTATTTCATTTTAAATGCCAATTGCAATGGATGCTAATGGCTCAAAAATATAGTTCTTTGAAATGTAGATGGTAAAATGTCTATTCTTGCAAAACGAATAATCTTTGAAATTTTCTATAGTTGAGGAAAAAGTGGGATAAACAGCCTGAGTACATTGATGCCACTGGAGGGACTCTTCACCCCTACCAGTTAGAAGGGGTCAACTGGCTGAGGTATTCCTGGGCTAACGGCACTGACACCATCCTAGCTGATGAAATGGGACTTGGAAAAACTATTCAAACTATCACATTCTTACAGTCACTGTATCAAGAGGTAATGTTACAGTCATTTTTCGTGTATTAGGAATTAATGTTAATGTCATTGTATGAAGAGATTATGTTAAATTAGGAAACATTAAATCTAGTAATTTTGATGGTTTGCGTGTATATACGGAGTGCTTATGTTTGGTTTATTTCGTTTAATTATTCAAATTATTACATCAATCTTTGAGGTGGATTAAGACTTTTTTGATGATTGTGGATTTTGATGATTTTTTATTCTTGATAATGATATTTGCAGAGCATGCAATCTGCAAATGCCTTCTAGTTGCAGACAAGACTGTGTGAGTGACTTCTTGCTAATGTTATATTTTTCAGGGACATTCTAAGGGACCATTTCTTGTAAGTGCTCCACTATCTACAATCATTAACTGGGAGAGAGAGTTTGAGTTCTGGGCTCCGGACCTGTATGTGGTGACCTACATTGGGGACAAAGACTGTCGCTCTGTCATCAGGTACAAGCACTTGGCAGAATTGCCTTATCATACAAGGATTCTATTCTGTATGATTTTATTTGTTATCTAGGTTCAATCAAGGGTGTACAGGAATTTACCCTGGGTATTATTTCATACACTCTGAGGCTGAAGGGTGTATGGAATACAACTTGGGTAAATTCCTGTACACCCTTGATTGACCGGGATAAAGAATTTATATCCTATATAACCAAATAAATTCTTTACACAATAAGTGCCGAACCAAACTATTGATGAGATTTACTATATGCTACAATGCATCCTGCTGTCATTATTATACCCCCGCTCTGAAGGAGAGGGGGGTATACTGTTTTACCCTTGTGTGTCTGTCTGTCTGTCCGTCTGTCTGTCTGTCCGTAACAAACTTTGGTTGCAGTTTTCTCAGCAACTACTCATCAGAGGTGCTTGAAATTTTAACACACTCTTTGTTTAGGCATGCCATATGGTGGGATTCATTTTTGTACGAATTCGATGTCAACTTCCTGTTTATCCGTGCGTTTGTCCGTACCATACATAAAAAAATTTGGTCGTAGTTTTCTCAGCAACTACTCATCGCAGATGCTTGAAATTTTAGCACAATCTTTGTTTAGGCATTCCATTTGGTGGGATTCATTTTTGTACGAATCCGATGTCAACTTCCTGTTTATCCGTGCGTCTGTCCGTATCACACATAACAAACTTTGGTCGCAGTTTTCTCAGCAACTACTCATCACAGGTGCTTGAAATTTTAACACACTCTTTGTTTAGGCATGCCATATGGTGGGATTCATTTTTGTACTAATCCGATGTCAACTTCCTGTTTATCCGTGCGTCTGTCCATACCATACATAACAAATTTTAGTCGTAGTTTTCTCAGCAACTACTCATTGCAGATGCTTGAAATTTTAGCACAATCTTTGTTTAGGCATGCCATATAATAGGATTCATTTCTGGAACAAATCCGATGTCAACTTCCTGTTTATCCGTGTGTCTGTCCGTACCATACATAATAAATTTTGGTCGTAGTTTTCTCAGCAACTACTCATCGCAGATGCTTGAAATTTTTTCTTTGTTTAGGCATGCCATATGTTGGGATTCAGTTTTTACAAATCCGATGTCAATTTCCTGATTATCACTGTTTGTCCATAACTGAACTTGTGTATTCACATCAGAGCGGGGGTATTATTAGTGAGCATTGGCTCACAGACTTCTTGTTCATTGTGACATCACATTATTTACCACCATCTTCAGCCGGATGTACGGAAATTTACACCCAATATTTTCTAACGAAACCTTGTGTTACAAGCTAAGAAGTAAAGAGAAATATTATGTCTCTTAATTCCTTGTTTTTATTTTACAGAGAGCATGAGTTCTCCTTTGAAGAGAATGCAATACGATCAGGAGCTAAGGCTAGTAGGATGAAATCGGACTGCCAGGTGAAATTCCATGTGTTACTGACATCTTACGAGCTGATCAGTATAGACAATGCCTGTCTAGGATCTGTTGACTGGGCAGTATTAGTTGTAGATGAGGCTCACAGACTTAAAAACAATCAGTCTAAGGTATGTTTGATTTAAAACTGGATTTTTTATAGAGTTGTTGTATGCATGTTCATGCATATATTATCTTACCCTAGTCTTAAATCTTTTAATTTCGTATTTAACAATGTTTTGTTTTCTGTATAGAAAATTGATTTACAATCGGTGTTCGAAACTCACCGTAAAATTAGCTAGACATGCAGGGCTGACTGCTAATGAAAGTTGTCAGTCCTACCAAAAATCCTCTAGCCCGAGAAAATAATTGTCTTTTATAAATTTGTTTTTAGCGATAATGTGAATGGGGCCAGATCACCATAACTTCGATTCTGAATCTATAGGCTAACAAATTCTACCCCTTTTACCTATTACACTCTGCTACTGATACTATAAGTTGATCTGAGAAAAATTTATCAAATATATGAATTTTAATTTAAGGGAAATTTTAACAAGTCCAGCTGGGCATCGATATGTGCAAATCTATATGCCCACTGCAAAGTTTGTGCGTCTCGGGCGGTCGGGCGCACGGTTATTTCAAACACTGTTTACAATTATCTTTTTCTTTCAGTTTTTCCGTATTCTGTCAAATTACAAAATTGGGTATAAATTACTACTCACTGGAACACCTTTACAAAACAACTTAGAGGAATTGTTCCATCTCCTGAATTTCCTAAGCCCTGATAAGTTCAAGTAAGTCTTTGACTACTAATTATTACCCTTAAGGTATGTCACTCGTGAAATTTCTTATATCAAGGATTTTTTGAGAAGTATATTTTGGATAAGTACTCATATAGTATGACTCAAAATCGCAGAGAAAACAGGGGGTCAGTGTGCATTTTACTGAGCTACGGTATAATTAAGTTGACCTTTTTGCACTTAAATTTTAACTCTTTGGTTAATCACTTTAACCTTTATCATATTTTATCAGATGTAATCATGGCAATAAATATAATCTTATTTTATGTATAATAGTTTGATTAATATTTATCATTGAACAAATCTTGCAAATTAATGCGCAGAAATTATTGTGTGACCTTTTTGCACTAAAAAAGTAACATATTTGGGGTATTAAAAATCTAAATAGGCAATAAAATATTTTCTTGTATCAAACTTTTTACGACTTAAGTGCTGATCAGTCTAAAGTATCGAGTAATTTAAAACAATGAAAGAAAAAGTTGGGGTCAGTGATGTAAATTTTGAAATATTGGTCAAAATATGCGATTTTCCGGCAAAAAACGGTGTAAATTTTATCTTGACTTCTTTAATATATCTTCATTTCTCGGCAAAGTTTGTTGAGGGAAGGTGTAAAATTTGTTATAAAAATATAAATTGAGATCTATATTTAATATTCCTAGCATATCATAACGGAAAATATTCTCTGAGTAAAAGTATGTGAGGCTAAAGTTCCAGCTTATTAAGTTTAATAAATGTGCAGATTTGCAGAATTTTCTGCTAAATATCCCTCCACCACAAGAAATAGTCCCTCATAAATCTTATTTCTTTATGAATTTTTGAGCAGTTTTTTCATTGAATGTTGAACAATTTACATTGTTTCATTTAAATATGTTATAAAAATTGAATTTTAATAAATAGTTTTGAAGTAAGAGGTTCTGCCTGAACTTTTCTAAAAAGCTGACGAGTGACATACCTTAATTGTAAGTTGGTTGTATAACAAAACCTCAGTATTAAACCAGCATTATTTCTATCAAGTTGTTTATCCTCTTGAACAGTGACATGACAAACTTTTTGGATGAGTTTGCTGATATTGCTAAGGAAGACCAGGTGAAGAAGTTACATGACATGCTGGGACCTCACCTGCTGAGGCGACTCAAGGCAGACGTACTCAAGGGAATGCCATCTAAGAGCGAGTTCATTGTCCGAGTGGAGCTCAGTCCAATGCAGAAGTAAGTTAAAGAAACCGGGATATACAGGTGTATGTAGTGGCCTCTAAAAGTTACATGTAGCTCATTAGCTCATTAATTTTATGTTTGGAAATCTTAGTTTATGGACTGTACTATAATCATATAATGCAATTTTTTTGTCTTTTCAACAGGAAGTACTATAAATACATTCTGACGAGGAATTTTGATGCTTTGAATGCGAAAGGAGGTAATAGTGTGTCATTGCTCAACATCATGATGGACCTGAAGAAGTGCTGCAATCATCCATACCTGTTTCCCACTGCCTCAAATGTTAGTCTACTTATTTAATGAAGTTTGGTATTTGACAGGAAGATCTCTATGTCCATTATGAGATAATGTACAAGAAAACAGTATTAGTTTTCATGTTAATTTATAAGAATAAACAGAAAATAATTTTTTTTCCAGGATGCCCCAAAACTGCCTAATGGAATGTATGAAGGAACTGCCTTGACCAAGGCCTGTGGTAAATTGGAGCTACTGTCTAACATGATGAAGAAGTTAAAGGAGAAGGGCCACAGGGTGCTCATCTTCTCACAGGTACAATAACAATATACACAGATGTTTCTTCAGCTGTTTGGGAAAAAAAACCCATGAAATTTATATACATTCATTATGCAATCTAAACACACAGATTATCAGTTATGAGAGAACATAAAATATATACCATGTGTTTTCATTATGCATTTCCAGATGACCAAAATGTTGGACATTTTAGAAGATTTTTTGGAGTATGAGGGCTATAAGTATGAGAGGATTGACGGTGGAATCACAGGAAGTCAGAGACAGGATGCTATAGACAGATTCAATGGTAAGACTCTCAGATTAATGCTATAAATAAGCAGGGCCTAGTTCTCTTTCCAGTTTTCAGAAAGACTATGTTTGCATAACAAATTTGCTTTTCTCTGGTATAACTGGTTTACTGACACTTCTGTTATCTACATTCTGGTCTAAATTTAATGCCTATTGTTCAGTTTGCACATGTTTTCTGTAATTATTAATGTTTTCTTCAGCTCCTGATGCCCCTCAGTTTGCATTCTTGCTGTCAACAAGAGCGGGAGGTCTAGGAATTAACCTGGCTACAGCTGACACTGTCATCATCTATGACTCAGACTGGAATCCTCACAATGACATCCAGGCCTTTAGTAGGGCTCACAGGATTGGCCAGGCCAACAAAGTCATGATTTATCGTTTTGTGACTCGTAACTCTGTGGAAGAGAGAATTACCCAGGTAAGTTAGAACTTTTGAGTTCATTTTTGAGGCACGTTAAAGCATCTATTGATAGAATATATGGTAAATTGTTTTTTGAAAACATTTGGATTCAGTATATTGGTGAAGACACGTTACAATTTTAAAAAATTTTTCTAGGTTGCCAAGAAAAAGATGATGTTAACTCACTTGGTTGTGCGTCCAGGACTAGGAAACAAAGGTGGAGCAATGTCGAAGCAGGAACTGGACGATATCTTGAAGTTTGGTACAGAAGAACTGTTCAAAGATGACGCAGAAGGAAAAGGTAAGACTTAATTTACTGAGGAGTAACCTCAAAAAAAACAATCAGTGTTAAAAGTGAATTAATCTGATTGTGCCTAAGAATGTAAAGATGCAGGATGATGTTGTGGAATCATCATTGTTCATGGAGTACTACTGTTCATGGGTATTCCCTACCAATGAATTTACATCCCCACAAATGATAACTCTGTCAACATAATCAGTTCATTGAATCTTCTATGAATACAAGTTACCCATGAAATTACGTCCCCAAAAACCAGTAAAACTTTGGTTGTGCATACATTGACCCCCATGAATTAAAATAATTTCTCAGTAGTTGTAGGGTGTACAATTTGAACAGCTGTAAAAAAGGAAGAGGGTTGAATGAAGTAGTATGATGCATTGTGACACATTGACTTTATATGTTGTACAGAGGAAGAAGAGGCCAGAATTGTTTATGATGATGAGGCTCTGGAGAAACTACTGGACAGGACTCAAGCTGGACAGGAGGAGAGAGAGATGGCCATGAATGACTACTTCAGCTCCTTCAAGGTCGCAACCTACGCATTTAAGGAGGAAGAGGTATGGCGACATAAACAGATTGTTAGCGCTGTTATGATATTAACTTGTACTTTTGTGTATTATCATTCAATTCTATTCTTAAACTGTTTAAATTATTGTTTTTCAAACACATATGGTAAGCTATTGCATTGGTTTTTGAGTAGCATGTGGTCTCGTTAAAGTGTTAAGAAAACAAAATTTGGTTCAATCTACAATATTTTGCATTGATTGACAGGAGGAGGAGCCAGAGACAGAAGTTCTGAAACAGGAGGCGGAGCATGCAGACCCCGCCTACTGGGAGAAACTTCTGAGACATCACTATGAGCAGCAGCAGGAAGACCTGGCTCGAACTCTTGGAAAGGGCAAGCGTATCCGTAAACAAGTCAACTACAATGACGGAATGACAGGCCATGGGGATGATGACACATGGAAAAATAACTTCTCTGATATTGACTCAGACTTCAGTGCAGCAACAGGTACAAGAGCTGTTATTATTTAGAAAATAAAATTTTTAAAATAAAGTAGCAGATTAAGTGTATTTTCTTGCAGTGTATTGTTGCTAACAATGTATTTGTATCTCTGTAGACAATGATGAAGATGATGATGAGTATGAAGATTCAGAAAAGAGTAAGTAACAAAGTTACAGGACAAGGTCTTGTTTTTTTATGAGTGAGTGAGATACATATAGTGACAGGTCAGCAGTTTGTTTACTTACACAAGAGTTCTCAGTGAATAATTGGATTCTAAAGCTACCTTTGACCTTGCATTGAAACAGATTCTGGTAGCTTTTTTTTCTCTCTATAGACAAGAGAAGCAGGAGAAGTGGGATGGAGAAGGATCGCCCCTTGCCACCACTTCTGGCTCGTGTTAACGGACAAATTGAGGTAAGGCATTATTCAAATATTATGTCTGATTCAATCGTAACATAAGATAGAGAAAAACTTATGTTAATAATGCTCAGACATACAGAAAGTAAAGCATATAAGGCAGGGCAGGTTATAAGATATACCTGTCCTGCAACCGTGATGCTATACATACAGTGCTAGGCTATGTGAATTGTTTCTGGGGTATGTTGTCAAATTCAGTTGATGAACATGTTTAAGAAAAAAAAAACCCCAAGTATTTTAATTTTTGAAGCGCTTTTGTGTTTCACATTGTTGTCTAATTCAATTGATGTCCTGTATGAGAAGAAAAAAAAAACTCCTGCTATTTGATCTCAGTGAATGTACATGTGCATGTGTAAATATGTATTTGTGTATAACAGGTTGGTATATCTTTTCACATTGTAATGCATTATACAGGTAACTCTTGATGGCTCGAACTTCTATCTCTCAAAGTTCTTGATCGCTCGAAGTAAGTCTCCAGTCCTGAATTTTTCCCCTATATATCTAAGCAAATTTACTCTTGATTTCTCGAAACCCTTGATCCCTCGAAGTCAAAATGCAGTCCCGCTATGCATATTCTATAGGAATTTACCCTCGATACCTCGAAGTGGCTATGTGTATACAAGGTTATATAATTAGCACCTTTACTTGGACATTTAAATGGCCCCAGGCAGAAGACGCGGGTCTCGAGGAAAGGAGTGTTTATTCAGGTGACACTTATGTTGCAAGGTGATAATTGATTTATAATCAATCATATTTTGCCTATATGCTATTAAAATAATTGCTATTGACTGTCTTACGATAATTTAGAGATGCAGTGTCAATGAAAAGTAATAATTGATTAAAAGTCGAAACACTAATTTTAATTTTTATTTCGAGTCAGTGTCAAAGTTAAACGAAATATGAAAAAGCAGAAACAGCCTCAATGTCAATATGACGACTATTATTGGACAAATACTTACAGAACTGCTTTCAATGATCATGTTTGGAATAGTCAATGCTATGTACGATGATGTAAAAGTCGTTTTCATGTAACGATCGAATGCGTAGTATGTTGTCCGTATTACACAGAATAAATTACATAAATAAATATACATGAAATACGTTTTTTGCTTTATTCGGTTTAATGAAATATCCATCTAAATTATGAAAAAATACCGTTGTTTTATAAAAACCACGTGTACAAGGTTAGCACTGCATGAAAATCATTACATCCGGTAAGACTAATTTTAAAACCTGTCAACAAACACGGAAAATTCTTGAAAACTCGAACTCTTGATCTCTGGAAGTTTTTCCTCGGTCCCGTGGACTTCGAGGTATTGAGAGTTACCTGTATTTACTATGTACAGATATTTCAGAAATTTTTTTGTCTACATGGTTTTCATTTCAGAAGAGACACAAATGTTTGTCTGATTTGAATGTGAAGCATTGGTGAGAATTGCCCATGTTTTTATTCCTCAGACATACAGCAATTTAGGCATTATTTAGGGAGGTCAACAGTGCAGTGTTTACCTCTATAGGCCATGCTTTACATGTCTAGTCGTGATTTCTGTAATGTGAGGAATTCCCTACTATGGTCTTCAAGAGTGTCTGAAATCAGTGTGTATTGATATCTTGCACAGGTGCTGGGATTCAATGCCAGACAGAGAAAGGCTTTCTTGAATGCTGTGATGAGATATGGCATGCCCCCACAGGATGCATTCAATTCTCAATGGTAAGAAACAAACAGTTGTGTTTTACACTTCACAACTTTGAAATACATACAGTTGTTTTCTAAAAGCAATTGACCTACACTGCATTAATGTTATAAATTCATTGCAGGCTTGTGAGAGATTTAAGGAACAAATCTGAGAAGGTGTTTAAGGCCTACGTTTCCCTGTTCATGAGACATTTGTGTGAACCAGGGGCAGATAATGCTGAGGCTTTCGCTGATGGAGTTCCAAGAGAAGGGTTGTCTAGGCAACATGTCCTGACTAGGATAGGCATCATGTCACTTGTCAGGAAGAAGGTAAAATATAGTACATGTATAGCAATCAATTTTAAAGGTTGTAGCATCACTTTCCTTATGGTAACATTAAGTATTCTTTTCATTTTGGTCAACTACAGTGTACATACATGTAAATGAGACAAATTTAAAGTATAATATATGATTAGAAGTAAGAAATGGAAATTGATTTTCTTGTAGGTCCAAGAGTTTGAACAGATAAATGGACTTCACAGCATGCCCTACATTCAAGCTACAAAAGCTCTCGAGATGATGAAGAAGGAAGCAAACAGCAAGTCCCCAGCTCCCAGATCTCCAGCACCAGGAAGTAAAGAGGAATCATCTGAAACAAAGAAATCAGAGGATGGAAAGGACAAAACAGAGGACAAGAAAGAGGAAGAGGTCAAAAAAGAAGGGGAGGAAGAGAAAATGGATGTCAAAGAGGAAGTGAAGGAAGGGGAAGAGGAATCCAAGAAAGAGGAAGTTAAAGAGGAAGGCAAGTCTGAAGAAAAATCTGAAGAAAAAGAAGAAAAGGTACAGAATCAAGTTATAACATCTGTTTGAGACTGTATTTTTAGGCTATTTGAGTCACTGAGGTGACCAATTGCTGTCCGTTTTTGTCTGTTGGCCGTAAACTTGGCATGATTGCAGGATTGTTCCTAAGACCCAGGGTCCGGGGAATTTTGCAGCCTATAATGATGTAATGCACAGGATATTCTGGCATTCCCCCTCAACCCCCTGTGAAGGGAAGAACCCCAAACCCCCTTTTACTTTTATAATGTCCCCTGCTATTTCAATTCTTAGGGACAACCCTGGATTGTAATAAGCATTGATCACTCTACAAAAATTATGAAATTCATGGCCCCGTTAATCAGGGTATCTGGAGTTTGGGTGGGGCTCTATTGATCATATAGTGAAAATGCATTAAATCTTATAAAACTTCTTCTCTCCCTTTGTAAAATAAGCAAACAAACAAAGTGCATGGCTATGATAAGTAATGATGTCTCTTCCAAAACTGTGAAATTCATGGTTCCTTGGTCAGAGGTTCTTGTGCTTGGTGGAGCTCTATTAATTATATAGTGAAAATGCATTAAATCTTTGAAAATCTCTTTCGTTGCTCCTGTATATTTAGCAGACAAACTAAGTACATTATTATGATAAACAAGTGTGCCCTTGGGTCAGGGGTTCTAGTATTAAGGGCTCTATTGATTAATTTGTGAAAATGCATTTATTCTTTGAAAATCTAGGAGGTACAAGGAGGGTGAGCAAGGGTTTTTTAAGAGATTTGTATAATTTTTGAACACTGGTTAAAGGTTTTGGTGCTGTTGGGCTCTATTGATCTTGTAGGGAAATTTGAACTCTACTGAGAGAAGTTTTTTAATGTTTAAATACAAAAAGTACTTTTGCAGCTTTAAATGGACAGGTAGACTTGTAAATAGTTAATAAATATCAAGGGCGCTGCATTTGCGGAGCCTCCCTTCCAAAAGAGATATCAATCCTGATATAAATTATTATTTGTGTAACTTCCATTAAACATGCTCTCACCCCCACCCCCACACTCACAAGCACATTACTATATCCCCTCCAACTTTGTTGCAAGGGGATAAAAATAAGACAAATATACCTTATACATGTATATGTACATTAAATGTTATTCACAGACCAAGAGAGGCCAGTGTTAGAGGGATTGTGCTGGGTTTACCATGTTTTTACTGTTTTATGTGCTCAAGCACTATTGTGTTGTTTAGTCTGATGATAGTGACAAATGGGAGTTTATGAGCACTAGCAAGTAGACATGTAAATACATCTACTGTCTGAGTTGATGAGTACAACACTATTTTGTTGATCCTGATCATCCTATTTCTCTTGTTTTGGGGCAGCATGTTTTCATCTGTCAGTTTACTTTGTTTCATTATATACTTCTCTGCATCCTCTACAGGATTATATAATATTCAGGTGATGGTTAAGGCCATTTGGCCTCTTGTCCTTTTATAATAAATGCTTATTATTGATCATTAAAGAAGGAAGAAAAGACTGATAAGAAAGAAGAGGAAATGGAAACAGATGAGAAGAAGGAGGAAGACAAAGAAGTGAAAGATGAAGCCATGGAAACAGATGAGAAAAAGGATTCTGAAAAGGAGGCTGAAAAAGAAAAGGAAGAAAAATCGGAGGGTATGTATTGGTGATTTCTGTTCAAGCAGGAAATTAAATGGTTAAAGTTCTCTCATTAAATCATTTGATAAATTTATGGAAAGTATTTCTCAAATCCACACACTTTCAAAACTTTGATTCTGAGATAAATTTTCCATGTTTGTAGGGGAAAAAGACAAACAGGATGAAAAGAAGGAGGGCTCAGACACCAAAGATGGAGAAGAATCCAAGGAAATTAAAGAGGAAGGAGAGGTCAAGAAAGAGGAAGAGGACAAAACAGAGGTCAAAGAAGGTAATTCTCACATTGCTTGAGGTTCTGGACATCTATTCACAAAATATCTTACGATCAGTCGTAGTCGTAAGATTGTCGTAAGTTTTTTTTAAAGATTTCGGTTATTCACAAAAAATCGTACATTTGACGTTACGTCAAAAACAGTCGTAAGATTACGTCTAGTCTTTAGTTGACGTAAGTCTATAAATACTATAGATGGTATCAACTCTAAAAATAAAAATGGCCACCACGTTATCTTTATCGTAAAAAAATAATCAAAACGGAGCAGGAAAAAATATTTTGGGTCGGCACAAATCTGTTTGAATCACTGACCGACGGAGAAATGGTACCGTTTACTAAGAGAGGAAGTCAAAAGGGAGCGTCATCCCCGTAAAGATATATTGACAATGCAAAAAATAGATAAAGAAAGAAAGAAAATAAAAAGAAAACAAAATGCCTGCAAAAAAATTGACATGAATAAAAATTTAGAAATTTTTTTTTAAGGGGGGGGGGGGGGGGGGGGTTATATTCTCTTTTCAACAAAATAAATTTCTGAAACTTAAGAGAGTAATTTGCCAAAACTAGATTTTATAAAAGTAGGGGTTAATCGCTGGCCTTCAATGAAAAGTACAGTTCACAAAAAAAAAAGGGGGGGGGGGATACCACACATTGAAGCAACCTGTCCTGGGACCAATTTTCATGAATTCCAGTGTGTAAAAGGGGTATGATATTCATATTTTTATTGTATTTACTTAAAAAGAAATTTTTCAACCCGTCACTATGTTTTTCAAGAATATTTTTATTAAAAAAGATATATGATGCTGGCAAATATTCGCTACTAGGAAAACAATGTACTTGTTTTTAAACTTCAAGAAAAAAAAACTTTTGTACCATAGAATAAACTTTGCCGAGACAAGCTTTACACAGTCAGTATCGTTTGTAAAATTACTTCAATTTTGTTTCAAATTGAACCAATAAAATTTTTTTTATTCGAACTACATTAAATTTAATCACATGTATTTTCTTTCGTTTCTCAGCAGATTTGAACAATATACATTAGAATTTTATTTTCATTTTTGTTTTATTCCACTTTTTATTTTATGATGCCTTCAATAATATCTGGTGGTTAACTGACTGAATACATCTTATTTTTTCAATTGGCTGCGCCTATCAAAATTTTCCGTCCCTGGTGGATACAATCAAGTTTGATGCCGGTCTCCCCGGGTACCTCAGATCGTCAGATTCAAGTATTCTACATATACATCCATACGAAATCTGTAAATTTCTTGAATCTCATTTGAAATACTTATGGTGGATCGGACAACATTAAGAAATACTGAAATTCATACAGAATTCCCTGCGGAAGTAATGAAATGAAATAAGACTTTGAAATATAAATTATTGTCCAAGACATACTTAATGGGGCTCTGCTAAGTCTTAGAAACAGACCATTTTTAAGAGTGACCCATTTTCAATCACTATGAATCGGACAAAATTTCACCATGCATTAGACTATATGAATGGAATCTGTAGCGAGATGCAAATTTAGTGATTTTTCCTAAAAAGTCGATATTTAATTTTGCGAGAAGTAATTTTAGCGATTTTGAAATACACAGAAAGAAAAGAGTAACTTCCAATATGGAATGAATTGTTAGCGATATTTAATGTTATAATGAACTCAATAACCTCGAATCCTCGCTAATAAAATTTCTGCTATTTGAACAGGTATAAGATTTTTTTAGTTACTGTCTGATTGTGAATATTGATTATATTCCAGATTGAGTTTATCAATCAAAACAAATCTTGAATTTATTAAAAATTTTCTAATTGCTAGATCTAGAAAAGAGGCCTTCGAATAAATATTGAACATTTTTAGCCAAAATTGGCCTTTTATTAATGTTTAACATGTTCTTTTTCTCTAAAAAAAAACATGACTTCACACCTCTGATTATATTATTAAGCATTTTGTTTTAAAAAAAACTGTGATTTGATTGTTGTTTTAAGTGTACGTATTCCAGACTTGATTTCTCAGTATGACGCTAAAAATTTTTAATTAATTTTTTAATGAATATTTAATTTAACAAGGGCACCGCATAGCATAGCATCCCCTTGCAAAAGAGCACATCAATCCTGATATGAATTATTACTTGCTTAACTTCCGTTATGCACGCACTCACTCACGTACTTACCCCCCCCCCACCCCCCCACACACACAAACATACACAAGTTACTACATCCTCTCGAACTTCACACAATTTTACTTTATATTTTCCCTGAAGAATATTTTTATAATTCTAAGTTAAATACATAATTTGTTGTTATGAAGTTTTGAATATTGAGCATGTTGAGTTTTTGATGTTCCATGTCATGGGGTATAAGAGATGCTGCTGTAGTTTGAATCATTAATCAATGTAAATTTAGTTGAGCAGTGAACATATGAATGATTTCCAAGATATAACTGAATGGAAGTGTCTAACTTTGCAGCTATCATTGTTTACCGACAACTTATAAATCACCCTTGCTGCAGTGAACAAAAATGTTAATATTGATTTTCATTAAATTTTGTTATTATAATATCAGTCTTGCTGCAGTGAATTTACCAAAAATGTTAATGATGATTTTCAAAATTTTCTTATTGTTAACAAACAATATGGCTTAAAAAATAATAATATATACGAATGAATCAGAACTGAGACAACCCGTTTGCATTCAAGATTGCGTCATCGGGTTTCCCGCATTAATTGCTTTATCTGCGCATGAGCAGTTGTCGGTATCTAGGAGAGAGAAAATCTTACGATCGTTTTTCACTTACGACAATGTATTGATCTTTTGACCATTTCATGAATAGCTCGTAACTTTAATCTTAGGATTATCGTAAGTTCAAGCCGTAGTCGTAAACTTACGATTTTTTGTGAATAGATGTCCTGACCTTTTTTTTTTTTTTTTTTTTTTTTTTGCAATAGCCATTTAAGTGAATGAATAGAATAAATATGTGTACATGAATTATGTCATTTTTTTTTTCCATGATCCTGAAATTTCTTAAAGTACTAAGTGATCTTATTGCAATGAAATGTTTCCAAATTACAGTAAATCACACTTATAGTGAACACACATAATGAATGGACGCTTACAGCTAAGTGATTTTCATTCACTGTGACTTTAGAATATATTGTAAACTTTACAGATATATCGAATTACACTTGTAACGAAGCAAAATTGTCTCCCCCTGGCATTCTGTTATAAGCATGTTTTACTGTACATGTGTTGTAAATTGTACATGTACTTTAACAAAACTACTTTGTTGAAAGTTAGATATGTTAATCTGAGTTAAAAAAAATATGTTTATATTTATCAAAGTGCATCAGAGTAAATTCATAACTTTTCTTTAGGAGAGAAAAAGACCTCAAATGAGGAAGTAAAAACTGAGAAGAAAGATGAAAAGAAGGAGAAGGAAGAGGAGAAGAAGAAAGAAGAAGGAAATCAGAAATTTATGTTCAACATTGCTGATGGAGGATTTACTGAGCTGCACACACTTTGGACCAATGAACAGCGAGCTCTTCAGCTTGGGAAGGAACATGAGGTCTGGCATCGTCGCCACGACTACTGGCTCCTTGCAGGAATTGTCACGTATCCTTTTACAGCAATAATTTTGTGCTTGTTATTTTTCAGTGTAAAATGATCAATTCTATTCATGTGGTTATTTTGCTGCAATTTTTCAAGTCTGAATGATTGATCTTCAAGTTTCATTGTCCTTAATCTATGAAAAGACATGGCTATGGTAGATGGCAGGACATTCAGAATGATCATAGGTTCCAGATTATCAATGAACCTTTCCTAAGTGAACAAGGAAAGGGCAATTTTCTGGAGATCAAGAACAAATTTCTAGCAAGGAGGTTCAAGGTCAGAAGTGATGGCTGTGGACTAATTATTAAGTGGGTAATTTTCAGATAATGCTGGCAAAACATTTGTATAACACATCATTATTTGTTAACTTGTAGCTTCTAGAGCAGGCTTTGGTAATTGAGGAACAGCTGAGAAGAGCAGCTTATCTTAACCTGACCCAGGATCCCAACCACCCAGCAATGGCTCTCAATGCCAGGTACTGGTCAACAATTTATGGCTGTAATTATTGAAACCAATGTCTAGATGAAGCTTTATCATAACATATTTAAGGGTATTAGTGTGAAGATTCCAGTTGTACTCCTGAATACAGATAATACAAGAATCATTATATCTTATTAATTTTTTTTACTGTAGGTTTGCTGAGTTGGAGTGTTTGGCAGAAAGTCATCAACATCTATCTAAAGAATCTCTAGCAGGCAACAAACCTGCCAATGCTGTTCTCCATAAGGGTATGAGTCATGATTCCTGTTGAAGAAATGTTCATTTTATACAAATAGAAATGGCAATTTATTGCAGTCAGGATAGCAAAGTTTTTTTTTATTGTGTACATGTCACTGTATGATATTTTGGATAATTACTACGTTTATATTCTACAGTTTTGAACCAGTTGGAGGAACTATTGAGTGACATGAAACAAGATGTCAGCCGTCTGCCAGCCACCCTGGCTAGGATTCCCTCTGTCAGTCAGCGACTAGCAATGTCAGAACGTAGCATCCTTAGCCGATTGGTCAATCCAGGACAGGCTGCTGCCCAATCCTCCACACCCACTACCACGGCAACTGCCTCCTCCTCCCACGCCTCACCCTCCACCTCAGCGGCATTCCTCGCCCAGTCAGGTCTACCAGCCGGCTACACCGCAGCTAACTTTCCAGCAGGCTTCAGGCCACAGTTTGGCCTTCCTCAGTCTCCATTTGGACAAGGTATGACTTGAATCCTTTCATGAGAATGGCCTGTCACTTGCCATTCCAAGGTTGTTCACAGAATTGTCACCTTTCTTCTCTCCTGTGCTTTTGCAGGACCTTTGGGTTTTCCTCTGATTCCCAACATGCCAAGTCAGCATGATATTAGTACAACAATATCTGCCATCTTGAGTCAGAGTGGTATGTGTATGACCTTGATGTTAAAGTCAAGGTCATGCTTGGTTGTTGTCACATGCTTGCCTTTTCTTTCTGTTTTCAGTTTTTGCATTGACCAGAATTTGTTCTATTAGATGTATGGGATATTAATTAATCGGATATAACATTGCTTATTATGAGAACCAGGTTGCTTCTGCTCATGGGATGTTTTTTTCTCGGTGTTAAAATTATCTGCTTTGTTTTTTTTTCTTTTTTATATATAGAGTAGGGTTGGTTTTACTGCATCAGCTGACTTGAACATCTTAGAGAATTTCAAAATGATTGATTAAAACAAAATGTACTGAATATTTCATAATAGTCTAACTAAAAATAATAATAGTTAATAAAATGTGTATGTTTGTATGTGCTTCAGCATGCACATCTGTATTAATTTCCATTTTGTACTGCATTCTTTGTGCGTATGTAGGAATAGTCAGTAAATCTCCAGTAACAGTAGTGAAATGGTAGCTTGTCATAAATATAGTATGATACTCTACATACATTCTCCTTGTTCTATTATAGGCCAGCTGCTGGGACAAGCTGGAGCAGTGAAATCCTCAGCCACCCCTAGTCCCTCCCATAGGTCACCGGCCTCCACCCCAGGTACATAGTTTCTATGTTTATTTTATTTATATGACCTGTTAAAAAAGATGATATTTGTTCATAAATGTAGTGAACGGGAATGTTTGGCTCAGCATCATGATTTTTTTCTTGGTTTTTACGGAGCTTAGGGCCGCCCACTTACGATCAGGCAACAGCACCGTTTTTGCCATCTCCGGCTGATCCTTTTACATGGCAAGTCAGTGCTGATTCTGCAGCCAAGTCAGCTATGGAATCTTTACTGGGTCAAAGCCTTGCCCAGACAAAGGCATGACTGGCATGCTTAGTGTCTCTGATCCCTTATGTTGTTTAAAGAAATCGTTTTCTTTTAAAATAAGACAATTTCTTTGTTGTGGTTTTTGCTTTTGATAGATGAATTTGATCAGAACAGCTTTTGCATTTTGAATTACATTTGGCATTTATTCTCAATTCTATTTTTTCATTGAAGGGGGGGGGGGGATGTAGGCGATATATATGCAGTGTATGATTTTAACATTTCAAGAAGTTTGGATTAGTAATTACAAATGATTCCTACCCAGTGCTAGATTTATTTTGCTGAATTTTTGTACATATATTTGTAAATGTACAGTGGCTTGGATTTTTATTTTAAGCATATTCAATATTTTTGAACATAAGTTAGTTCAAAAGAAGTTATATGGTAGGCTTGCATGAATGGTAGAGCAGACTTGTAAGTGGATGGTTATAAATAGTCATTGGTTAATGTTGAATGCTGTTTGTATTTATGGAAACTACTGTAGAGAATTAAATTTGATGATACCCACATTTTCATTCGACCCTGTATTATCTCCATTTTTTGTTTCCTATTGGTTGCAAGGGACTTAATTTTGAGAAAAAGTTTTCTATCATAAGCAACTTTGTGCCTGTTACTTAAGTTTATGTTGTACAATGGCAGTCAGATGATAGGTATCAAATTTGAAACATAATGACAGGTACATGTATCTTAAAATCAAAGAAAGCCCATTCCAAGCAGTGTGTTATGATTTCTTGTCATTTCAAATCTCATTTAATATCCTCTATTCATTTTTATTGTTTCAGAGGCAAATAGTTTTTTCCAGAGATGTTAAGCCTTTTTTATGATTTTGTATATTTATTGGTTATTTTGAATTTTCCAAAAAAAAAATGTCTCCCAAATCTGACCAATGGAATTTCTTTCTATTAAAGATGTCCAAGTGATGATGGAAAGAAGGAAGGTAATTGTCTGTGCACACATAGAATGCATCAAGGCATTAACCCTTCATTACTGCTTTTGCTTGTTGTCATACTTAATAAAGCATGTTACACAGTGGGTAAATATAGTGTGTATATTTCAGGAAAAAAGTCCAAATTCTGTTGTGATTTTGTAAAACTCTCGAGGAATTGATAAAAATATCACATTTATGTTCATGTTCACATGTTAATAAAACAAAGCAATTCTCCATAACAACTTTTTGAGGTGTTAAACAAAATGACATTGTTTATTTTATATGAAAATATCCTTTAGTTGTATAGATTTTGATGCCAGACATGCAGTTAGCTTCTTGTGAATTCAGCTATGATACTCTAGTAATTGATGTAGTAATCTTTACTTACCCACTAGGATGTCATTCCTGTGCTCAGTTGGTAAAGAACCTGTTGTGACAAGAATTCACAAAGACAAACATATCATGGGTTGCAATAACCAGACTAGTGGAGTGCATGATCATGATGAAATAACAAATTATGAAAATGCAGTTAAGAGAGAAATATAACCATGTTGTTGGACCAGAAAATTTATTTGACAGTGTAGAATGAAGGATTTGTTTCCATCTCTTGTTCTTGGCTTCTATTTTGAACTAAGAGTTATTTCATGTACCTCTTTCATTTTATCTACCTGATGCCAGTAGTAACTGAAGATTGTTATGACTTGAAACTTTTACAGCTTTATGGATATTCAGCATGCTTTACCCCACCTGCCATCGGCTTTGTCAATTTTATTTCTATTCATTGAACTTCTCATAGCCATAGAACTTTCTCATAGAGATTGACCTTTTCCTTTAACTTCATCATCTTGTAAAACTTCCAGTTTTTCGTGTACATAGAAGTAAAAATGAGTACATCAGAGGGAAGTATTACTGAATGTCGCATTCTTATTTTTCAGGACAAGTAAATGGCAGTAAATCTGAGAAAGCATCAGAAAAAGGAGTTATCACCCTTGGAGATTGAACATGGCATTCATCTTGGACAAAAGGAGAGTGAATGAGAGACAATATGTGAGAAAGCAGTCAGTGTTCAACACCGAGGAGATAACTTAACTTTATTTTGCTTTTATGGAAAAAGACATTCCTTCTGCATAATTTTACAAACATTTGTCAAGTGTCATTGTCATTTATCAAATTGTATTCAAAAGAAAAAGTATTGTTGCAACAATATCATAATTATTCATCACTACTGAAGCATTCATTCATAGTGCTTTTAAAATATTTCCTGCCTATTGCCTAAGCATTGAGAGGCATGTTTATTTGGGTATTTATGGTATGTGAACATTATAGTCCCATATTGCTGTTCTGTTGTGATTTGTAACCAGCAGTCATTCAATGGTGCTCCCCTTGTAAAAGCTCATCGATAACACAAATCCTCATTTGTAACAATATTAAGTGTTCCTCTGTTAGATGTGACTTTAATTGTGATTAAAAACATTGATGCGAATTATCTAGTTACTAATAGGAACTTGGTAATGAATTTTCAACATTGATTCCGAGATGTTTTAATTTTTGGGGGATTATTGTGTTTCAAATAGTAGGTGTAGTTAACTGTTATATAAATTCTGTTTGCATTTACAATGAAATATTTGTGCTCAAATGTTTTAATTGTATGGATGGGTTTTCATCCTTGTGCAGAAATAAATGATACTAGAAGTTTTTAAGTGTGAGGTATTTTTATCACCAAGCCTTTTATGAATGTTGTGTGGGAAGGGGGGGGGGGGGGTGATATGGCCGATTCTGCTTCTTTGTCCACCCATGCAGTTGTTTCTTTGTAATGGCAAAATTTTGGAAGCTCAGTTGATGAAAGATTATTTTTGGTGGTGTTGCACAGTTTTTTTTCATAAATTATTTGTGAAGATGTGGGAAGTTCAGTAATAAAAATAAAAGGTTAAAAAAAAATAAATCCAGGATTTATTTTATTCCAGCATTTCAGTCATTATATATATATATTTTTTTAGTTTTATATAAATTGATCTCTTTTCATGTAAATGCTTTATAGAATTTCAGGACAATTTCATTTTCATTTTAAAGCAAAAACAATTCATAAGTGTTTACTTGTTCTCCTACAAAAGATGAACATCCAAATTTATTGGATTGTTTGAGAACTATTGCAAAATAATCTATATTTTAATACAGCATTTTGCCTACACACATATAATACTATAAAATTGCTTTAATTTAAGAGAGATTTTTTTTTAGGTCTATAAATTTTGTCAAAGGTCAAGCAATTACTTTTGTTCATATTTAATAGAACCATGGAAGGAAAAAACATTTTATGGCAATTTCATCATTTAAAACTTTGGAATTTAAAAAGTTTTCTTGGGCTTTGCCCCCTAGATCTCACCAGGGTCCTGCCCTGAACCCCCTAGGACCTAATGGGCCTCTTTGCCTAATTTGAATACAGTAATTTTTTTGCCAGCTACATCAGTAATTTTAGATAATGTTTTTTGCGGTTTTTTACAATAAACATACAGTGTATAAAAATGTATTGTGAATGGGATTGGTTTGCAGGATGGGCCTACATGACCCCTCGTCAGCAGATTACTTGTGTCCTGAGGATGTATCACGAGTTCTTGACTCACGACATGTCACCTACACTACAGTCAGGAAAAGGGGAATTAATTAGGGAGGAATCTGTCATTTGTAATGTCAAGAACTGGTTATGTCTGTCAGTTTAATCTCTTAGTTTAATTTAAATATAGGTCCTTTTCAAGGGGGTAAAGTGAACCGATTATGCATTCATGGTATGTTTCAATTGCCTCCCTTATTTAATGGAACTCTTTTGATTAGGAGGAAAATTTAATGTATTTGCGGAGAAAAACAAAATCTGGTGAACAGGTGAAGACGAGCAAACACGAAGCAAATGTTTTCTATCTACACAGTAGATAGAGGTAACCAATCGACATATACACTGATGATAGACGAGAAAAACATGGTAATCATAATTGGGTAAGATTGGGACGACAATGCAAGTCGTCTGTTGCAAAAGGTTGTGTCATCGTCTGAAGCCACGGCATAGCTCTCTATCGGGAGAGGATCGTAAATTTTGGCCGTGGTTTGCAACGATGTTGTGTGTACTCGAGTTAAGTAAGTTTGATACCAATGGTTTGAAAAGCAAACGTTTTTTAAATGATTGATTTTAAGAAAAATTCTAATAACACCGATTTCATCTTGTATTAAGGATAAATAACACAGACAAACTTTTTCCAGAAATCAGCAATGTTTCTCATTTCAATTTAGATTTATATTCAAAAAATTAACCTGAACAAATTTAGGGAAATTTTGTAAAATTTTGTCAAAATGTTTAGAAATGATTGCAAAATTTTGTAAAGAATTACATAGAACACAACCCAAATTCACAGATCTAAGCACCAAAGAAAACTTACGATTTCTTTAAATAATATTTTAGGGATTGGTTATTTATGTCATTTCTATTCAAAATCAGTCAAAAGATATACATCAAGCCATACATACAAATTTTTGTTTGTTTTATGTATCCTTGAAAAGTGACCAAAAATTAATGTGATACCTTGCCAATAAAAAAAGTCATTAGTGTTAATGTTAGACATCTAATAGATCTATTTTGTGGAATAGTTCTTAAATTTTGCCTTGTCATTTTATCATATATATGTATATATATATATATTGCTTACACCCTACTGTGTCTCAGGAAGAGCCCTCATCACACCAGGCCTCAGGATTATGAAACAGACTAAAGTCAATTTTTCAATCATCTGTAAGATGTTTACTATAACTAAACTCTAAATATGTAACAGCAATTTGATGTCGCAGTATTGAATGATATTTTTATTTTGGTCTGCTTGACTTCTACATCATTTCAGCACACATTACAGATTTTGACTTAAGCTTATGTTTCATGATCCCAAGGCTAGGTCCATAGGACAATATCATTTGAATGATGGAACGTTCTATCTCCAGTGTTAAAAAATTTTAGATAACTGTTTTTGTACTTTTTCTTTCTTAAACTCTTCTTCAAGATAACTTGTATGAATTAGGAACATCCCATTTTATAAGATGATAAATAGGTATTTATTTAATTTTAACCGTATATTAATAAAGGAGTCTACTTAAAATGTATCATAAAATTAACAGTTTGCTTATACATGTGTACAAGATTTAAGATAATCACAGGTTTGTTAAAACAGCTAGTAAAGATGCTTATACATGTACTCACTTGGACAGTTGAACTTCATACCCCCCCCCCCCCTTCCCCTTCCCATAAATCATTTTAACGTATTTGTAATTTTATTCAATTCCATACCATCAATCTGAAAAATTTACCTAAAACAAAACAATTTAAAAAAAAAAATCCGTTCCACTCCATATGTAAAATCAACCCTTGCACCTATGAGTGGAGTATGGAAGGTTTGTTTTTGGAATAAGCATTTTGGTCAGAGGAATGTTTATTGAAATTTGATTTTTATACTTAATGTTAGGCCATTATTTACACCCTGAATTGTGGACACATTTTCCCATTATTTCCCAATCATGACAAGGAGCACACGGCGGTTGTGACCAGTCGGCATGGGATGCTCACTCCTCTATGACACCTGATCCAACGTCTGATGTTTTTGGAGGTCCATGTTTGCTCTGCTCCCGATTTGTATTGTTTTAACGGACTTTGAGCTTGAATACTGTTCTTTATCTCTATATTTCATTTTATGCATTTCTGTGTTGTTGGTATACTGAGTTTCTGCAGTACATTTGGTAATTTAAATGCCCATGTTACAGTAGCAGAAAGGGAGAAAATGTATTGGATCAAACATGGATTTGAACCTGGTTCCCCAGAGCTCTAGACAGGTGCTCAGTACCAATCAAGCTCTCTGACAACCAGCTAATGAATCTCTCTGACTACCTCCTTCATTCCACCTTTAAAAAAAGTTTGGTACATGTACTTCATTATTTTATTTTTCATTAGACTACAGATTTTAGTTTCTTCCTTTACATACATCAGTTAGTAGCATAAGAACTTTCAAAACAGTATAAAGATAAGTCTCTGAATGAGTTGCAATGAACAAGGTTAACATAAGAAATAAGTCATGTTTAGAATGTTTTTTTGGTTTTGTTTTAACCTCATCCCATATATGATTATTAGCTCACTCGAGCTGAAGGCTCAAGTTAGCCCTTCTGATTGTCGTTGTCATCATCATAAACTTTTACAATTTTTTCTTCTTCTGCAGAACCACAGGGCCAATTTCAACCAAACTTGGCACAAAGTATCCTTGGCTGAAGGGGATTCAAGATTGTTCAAAGGAAGGACTATACCCTCTTCCAAAGGGAGATTATTAAGAAAAAGTAAAATTTGGGTGAGTCATACAAAAAAAAATTCTTCTCAAGAACCAATGAGCTAGAAAAGATGAAACTTATGTGAAAGCTTCATGGCATAGTGTAGATGCAGATTTCTTCAAATCATGACCCCGGTAGGTTGGGTCACTATATGGGCAATCAAAATTTTACATATGAATACATTGGGAAAATCTTTAACAATCTTCTCAAGAACATGAAACTCATGATAAGTCATATTTATGTGGAAGCATATTCAGGTAGTTAAGATTCAAATTTGTTCTAATCATGACCACAGGGGGTAGGCTGAGGCCACAATGAGCAATCAAAGTTTAACATAGGATTAGGAAGGAAAAAGCTTTTTTCTTCTCAAGAACAAAGCCATGATTCATCATGTTTATATAAAAGCTTCCTTAGTCAGTGTTGATTCAAGTTTGTTTAAATCATGACCCCAGAGGAAGGGTTGGGTACATTAGATAATCAGTTATGTATAGGAAAAAATCTTTTAAAAATCCATTTCTCAAGAACAACAAAACCAAGATCAGTCATACTTGTATGGAAGCATCCACAGATAGTGTAGATTCAAGTTTGTTCAAATCATGACCCCGGGGGATAGGGTGGGGTTACAATAGAGATCAAAGTTTTACATGGTATATATATATAGAGAGAGAGAGAGAGAGAAATTTTAAATCATCTTCTCAATCATGACTCCTGGAGGTAGGGTAGGAATACAATGGGCAATCAAAATTTTACACTTGAATATATAGGAAAAGAATCAACTGGTGAAGAACAAGAAGGCCATAGTTACACAGGTGAGCATTGTGGCCCATGGGCCTCATGTTTTTTTTTTTTTTTAAATCTTAGATGTTGGGCAGCAAGAGGTGTGGGATAAACATGGTTTGGCATTTAATGAATTATAAATGATAAGCAATAAAAAAACAGAAGACTGCAGGAGTGTATCAATATATATTGTCTGTATACTACGTTGGGAAACAGAATGTCTGGACATTTTCTTCCTGGGATCAGCTGACAGAGATTGACTCCATTGTACACCAGAATTTGTTGTTTCCACACTGACTTATCTAAGATCATCTGACCCAGTGAACATTGTCTTATTTACTTCTTTGCATGCTCAGATAGTTTTTCAACAGAGATTAATGTCTAAATGCTGTGTCAAGGTGTAATCTTGATAAGTGTTCTTCCAGAAGGAAAATTGATTCTGAACAAAGATGTCACATTACATTTTATGCCATTTAAAATATGTTTTGGAAAAAGACTGGTATTTGTAGTTTCATACCCGTCTGAACAATTACCAAGTGAACATTGATTGTTTGTTGAAGTTGGAATCAGAA